CTAACACAGACCGACGTCGAGTTCAAGTGAGAAACTCCGCAGAGGAAGCATTTCAAGAACTAAAACGACGCCTGCAGACGCCACCAATGCTTGCTCATTTCGAACGCGGAAATCCACACCGACTGCAAGCAGTGTTAGGGCTCGGAAGCTGTCCTGTTGCAGGAGATTGACGGACTTGAAAGGGTCATCAGTCATGCCAACCGATCGCTCTCTAAGGCGGAAGTCAACTATTTCACAAAAGAAAAGAAGTGCCTTGCCATCATTTGGGCTACCTCTGAACTTTCATCCTTACCTCTACGGCAGCCTTTCAAAGTTGTGAGCGACCACCATGCCCTCTGTTGGCTAGCTAACTTGAAGGACCCTTCAGGTCACCTCACACAGTGGACTCAGCGACTTCAGGAATTCGACATCAGCGTCGTTTACAAGTCGGGGCGAAGGCACTCTGACACTGACTGCCTGTCTCGCGCCCCCGTCGACCCACCTCGCAGGACAACGAGGACGGCGACTGCTTCCTGGGAACCTTAAGCGTCGATGATTTTGCAGAACGACAGCGCGCCAGCCCTAAAATCAAGGGCCTTGTGGAATACCTAGAGGGCAAGGCTGCCGTTGTTCCAAAGGTATTCAAGCGAGGACTGGCGTCGTTTTTCTTGCGTAACGGCATCCTCGACAAGAAAAAACTTTTCATCACATCGGCCAAACTACCTGCTCGTAGTACCTTCAGCGTTACGTCCAGACGTTTTGGATGCTTTACACGACGACCCGACGGCTGGACACCTTGGTGTTTCCCGTACACTCGCGAGAATACAGGAGAAGTATTACCGGCCATGACTTGCCACCGACGTCACTCGTTACGTCAGGACATGTCTAGACTGTCAACGACGAAAGACACTGCCGACTAGGCCAGCCGGACTTCTCCAGCCTATCGACCCACCTAGCCGGCCGTTTCAGCTGATTGGCATGGACTTACTGGGGGCTGTTATCGACGTCGAATTCCGGAAACAAATGGATTGTCGTAGCTACTGACTACCTCACCCGCTATATACGCCGAAACAAGGGCTCTGTCTAAAGGCAATGCCACCGAGGTAGCAAAGTTCTTCATCGAGAACGTCGTCTTGCATCACGGATCTCCAGGAGGGCTCATCACAGACAGAGGCTACTGGCCTTTATGGCGGACCTAACTCAAGCAGTCTAAGGAGCCAGACAAGTCACCGCCGGACCACCGCCTATCCACAAACCAATGGCCTCACCGAGCATCTCAATAAGACCATCGCCGATATGCTGGCCATGTACGTTGACGTCGAGCACAAGACGTTGGATGTAATCGTTCCGTATGTGACTTTCGCGTACAACACCACCGTACAAGAAACGACACAGATGACGCCGTACAAGTTGGTCTACGGAAAGAAACTGACAACGACGCTCGACGCCATGCTGCCAAACGTCACTGATGAAGAAAACCTCGACGTCACCGTCTACCTTCAGTGCGCGGAAAAAGCTCGTCAACTCACCCGACTGCGCATCAAGAATCAGCAGGCGGCCGACAGCCGCCGTTACAATCTTCGGCGAAGCTTCGTGGAGTACCAGCCCGGTGACCGTGTCTGGGTATGGACGCCGATACACCAACGTGGACTCAGTGAAAAGCTTCTACGACAGTAGTTTGGACCGTGCAGAGTAGTTCGACGTCTCGGCCCACTCGACTACGAGTGGGCCCGACAGCATTGCGAAGTCTGAACGGCGCCGTGCTTGACCTGAAGTTGTCCATGTCGTGCGCCTCAAGCAATTTCATGCACGAACCCGAGGACTCTATTTTGTTGTTGTTGATGTGCTTTATTGGTTGTACATATTGTTTATTGTCTTTATTACTGTACCTTCGTCTTTTGTTCAAGCATCGGGACGATGCTTTTTTTCAGAAAGGGGCAATGCCACGTTCCTTTCCTCAAGTTTTATTATCACCCCGCTACGTTCAGCGCAAACCGCGCCTACGATGTTCGAAAAGCTTCGAGGCTGTAGTAGATTGTTTTGTTAAGATTACGCCCAGTTCGTGAACATTTCAGATTATTCTGGAACCTACGTCGCCGGTCAATAACGCTAGAACATTCGATAGCAAGTGTATAAATACCGACGTGCTTCGCCGCTTGTAGTTGACCGACGGCCGACGCTCCGTTCGCCGACATCAGCGCAAGACTTTCCGTTTACCGTGCACAGGTTCGCCCAAATAAACAGTGTATTATTTGACCCGCAGTCTGCTTCATTCGTCCACGTCACGACACCGCGACAGCTAACTCCATCCATACATCCATCCAGCCATCCACCCACCTACCCATCCATCCACCCATCCATCCATCAGGCTCAAAGTAAGCCGCGCATTCGAAAATAAAAGAGAAAACAAGTGCTCAAAGTCATGACGTGCGCTGACGATATGTCTTCTTGCTCCGTTGTCATCATCATATCCTGTGTAGATTTCAGAGCAATCATCGGTTCGAAAGCGCTTGAAGCATGCGACAAATACTCATAACTCCACTTGTACGTGGTTGGTGCAAAAAGATTTTTCGGCAAGCTATTCCGGAAACGTCACGCGCTTCACTCCAACAAACGCCACCGTTTTCGCCTCCACACGCAATTCCTTGCGAGCGTAGCGCTGTATGCACATATCGCGGGTGCTCTAAGCCTAACATGTCTTCTTGTATCGCTGTTGTTCGTGGCCTAACAGCATCAAGAGTGCAGCTTACTCGGAATTCTCGCTGTGCCCGGCAGATAAGTGCCCTTCTTCGCCAGTTGCAATTTGCAATATGTGCATTGTAAAACGTCCGATCATGCCATACTCGCATTTCAGCTAAATCAGAGTCACTCTGCATGCCGGCATAGCCGCATACCATGCCGCATAAAGGCGGTTTAACATGCCACGATTGCAGCGAAAAAAAAAAAATCGTCCTATTTGCTCCAATCGCTCTGTGCACAACCACCGCTAATGGCGGTTTCGTTTCTCATGAACCGCGAATGATCTGCGATTATCGATATGCGACTGGAGTGGCGAGTTCTTGCCACCGCTCTTTGTGGCAGACATGAACGTAATGTAATGATCTGTGCATTATGATATCATGAATTTTCCGTGAACGGTAACGAAGGGCCCGGTTGTTTTCGTCATTTAAGAACACTTTCCAATCTAAATTCATATTAAAATGCACAGCATCAGTCCATTACAAAAAAAAAAAAAAAAACCACGTCGACTCTATTTCGACGGCTTGGCCGGCCCGGCCCTATTTCGACGGGTCCCGACCAAAAATTGCTCCCGCCGCAGCGATCAAGGCGAAAATTTCACACATGTTGGAAGCTTGCCACGAGCCGCTGCGATGGGAGCGAACTGCCTTTTTTTTTTTTCGCTGCGAGCGAATTCGCAGCCTGAAAATCGCTACTTTTTGTTTAATTTGAACGGCCTTTACGCCTGCCACGAAAAGTTGAGAGTCGACGTGTTTGTTTTGGTAATGGCCGATGCCGTGAATTTTAAAATGAATTCACACTGGAAAGTGTTCCTAAATGACGAAACAAGCGGGCCCTTTGTTACCGTTCACGGTAACTTCATGATATCATAATGTACATATTATTACTTTACATTCGTGTCTGTCACAATGTGCGGTGGCAAGAACTCGCCGCTCCAGTCGCAGAGCGAAAATCGCGGTCCATGTGAAACGAAACCGCCATTAGCGACGGCTGCGAACAGAGCGATTGGAGCGAACGGAACGATTTTTTTTTTTTCGCTGCAATCGCGGTACGTGAAACAGCCTTAAGTAGTCACAAGCAAACAGCATGCAGGCCAGGGGCGGCGCCAGGCTGTTTTTACTAGGGTGGGGGGGGGGGGGGGGGGTGGCAAGCTAGCTCTGCTCCTACTAGGTTTTCAATATATGCTTCCGGGCACTTGGGTGGGCATAGGGGGGGGGGGGGGGGCAGGTGAGAATTTTGGGGGGGGGGGGGGGCTCCAGCCCATCCTTGCCCCCCCCCCCCCTCCCTGGCGCCGCCCCTGACGCAGGCACGCAGGTATATAGGTGCAAAACCACGCACGTAACCAAATCCTATTCATATGAAAAAAAAGCAATGGCAATCAGGTGGTGGTAGTGGTTAGAAGACGAGAAAAGGCACCTAATTTCTGCAACCCGGTCGGGAGTACGGCGCAGTGCCTGTCAATCAGCGGTTAACAAATGAAGTTTCTACGTATGCAACAGAAGGAGGAGTGAAAAGGGGTAAATGTTTGCATGCGTCACTAACTTCTTAATCTGATTTGTATAGACGCGACTCACGGACTCACCATTGATTGTTGACATGGTGTGATAATACTAGAAAAGCGGGCACAATCCTAAAAGAACATTATTATGAGATTGGCGTGATAACCCGTGAGCTCGCTGTCTGTCGTCTGCTTTTGCACTCGCTAACAAGACGAGCGTGACAAAAAATTTTTTGACTAGAAGACACTTCAACCACGACGTTTTTCTGAATTTCAAAAGTTTTGCCTGGTGCCTGCAGTACAAAAAACGTAGCGCCAGTCCAGTCTCTACTAACTCAACCTTTAGAAATCAGAAGCAACGCTGCGCAAAAAAAAAAAAAAAGAAAAGAAAACACGGCCTTCGAGACTTACATTGCTGAAAAGAAGACGTTATACTGCTATATGTCTTTTATAGAGACCTCTCTTACAGATAAAATTTGACTATATATATTAAAAATGTAGTTTTAAACGTTTTATTTGAAAAGTTTGGACAAAAAGTTTTAGTTTAGTTTTTTAGCGTAAAGATTGCTCTAGTAAACAGGTGCTCAGAGATAAACGTTGCATAAAACGCGACGCTTTATTTATTTTAAGTAGTTCTAAAATACTTTTAAAAACACAGTTTCAAATAAAGTTTGCCTAGTCTAGAATTTTAATTGTGTTAGTTGAAAAACTATTTTCAGTCTTGGCGTAGCTTTTGCATTTCCGTCGCTAGGGCACGCGCAGACGTGCGTTCAAAATGGCCGCTTCCTAAAAAGCGTTGCCGAGCGAAGAATGCGCATGGTTCCTTGTGTTTTCGGTCGACCCCGTTTAATTTGACCGCAGCCCACCCTGCTGTCGTGTTTGCGGGACCGACGTTACCCAGCTTTCGCCTCCGCGAACGTCATCCGTCGTTGTCCGCGCCTCAACTTCGCCGCCGTGGCAGCTCCCCCTCCCCACGCCATGCCCCCCCGTGTCCAGGCGAGGATCGCTGGTGGACGTCGTCCTGCGTCAATCATCGGCGGCGGCGGTGCTTACCGATCATGAGGCGTCACCGCCCGTCAACGACGGCTCGCGAAACCTGTGAGAGCCGGCGTCACGGTGTCTGACGCGCCCGCGTAGTTGACTTACGCGTCTATTTACATCACCGTCGGTGTCATTTCGGAACTCGGTTGATTTCCCTTCTCGCCATGGATCAGACGGAGAACAACGTTCAGACCTTGTACAGCATGGGATTCGTGGACATCGAGGAGATCAGGAACGCTCTGCGCATGAGCCAGAACGACCTGAGTGAGGCGGTGGCCATCCTGACCAACGATCAGGTGCGATACGGACCCTACACAAGCGCCGGCACGTCGGAAGACGTCGAGATGAAGGACGTCACGTCGACCGCGCTCGTGCCCACCGCAGCCCCGCCTCCCTACAACTCGCTGCCGGACGCCAAGGTAATTGGCCGCGCCAGGGAAGTGCGCGTTCTCTCGGGCGCGTAGCGCATTATAGTTTTCCTCTTTCACGCATCTTTCCGCTGTACGCAGCCGTGCTCTCCAACCGTACCGAATTCGTCCTTGCAGGGCCGGCAACGTGCCACCAACCGTCAAAAGAAAAAAAAAAAAACTATTTCAATCTCCCTGTTTGTTCCTACCAGCTTGCACTTATATCATAAATTTTTTTTTGTTTTTCCTAGCCGCCTCATTCTCCAGTCGAGGCCTTCACAGCAGCCTTCGTGACAGCAGTTTTTTTCCGAGAGAAGAGTTGGTTATCCGCCATTTACACGATTCCCGTGTTTGAGCTGCTACCTCGCGTACGTAATCCCGCAGGCCATTTAAGAGACACTGAAATACCGTGGCACACCGTGCAGTATTATGCCGATCGCGCCCTGTCGAGTAGATTAGGCCTTATCACTCGGAGATTCCCTCGTGATTCATCGTGACTTATCTCAAATGACCGAGTCTCATAAACAGGCTACTAACCTCCCGGCTACTCACTCAAATCTGTTGTCAGATAATCTGACTACCTGCCACAGTAATTATGGTGCCTAACTACTGACCAGCAGGTCGCGGTATCGAATCCTGGTCGCGGTGGCTGCATTTTCGATAGAGGCAAAAGTACTTGAAGCCTGTGTACTTAGATTTGGGCGCATGTTAAAAATATCCTCAAGTGGTGGAACTTTCCAGAGCCATTCACTCTGGTATCACTCATAATCATATTGTGGTGCTTGGGATGTTAAACCCCATTATTATCATCGTCATTCGTAATCTAACTGATGCACACGACAATCTTTCGTGGAGGAAATCGGTCACTGTGCTTCTGACTGCGATAACAGTCCCGTTCAAGATATGTCTACTTAGTTTGCCCTTTGCACTCTTCACGCAATTCCTATGTAGAAAGTCGTACCATTTAAACGTGAACTGTTCATTGGCACTCTCTTTCTCGTGTTTTTTCATGCTGTGTTGATTAACTGCGTTGTAAGCACATTTGGGGCCGAGCTGCATGTACCGAAAAAGCATCTCCACAAGCAGTACAATGCAAATACCATTGAAACCAATCGCCTTTCACGCTACGGCTTTGGCAGCGAATTTCTAGTGTTGCTGTCATGACAGCGACTACTCCTTCTACGCGATGTAAGTGGATGTCGCATGACAGATTGCTTGGTTGATTGGTTGGTTTGGCAAATCTAAGAATTGTCATTTGTCTCCTGGTTGTCATATGGCAAACTAGCCAATAGCAAGAGGCTGAAACTACATGAATGTCAGTGACACACTGCCTGCACTGAAAAGAAAAGTAAATAACTAAACATTCACGTAATAACTAAACATTCACGCATGTCACGAGAAAAACAGTGCATAACTTCTAGAAACAAAACTTCGCGCCGCGTCACATTACTAACCAGAGAAATTACTACAGTTTCAATAAGGAGTAGTCGCTGTCATGACAGCAACTACTCCTTATGGAAACTGGAGTAACGCCCGTGCAGTTAAATTAAGGAAAAACGAAGACAGTGATAAAGTTGGGTGGTAAATATTCAAATTAAGGTTGAAGGGTATAAAAGAAGCAGGGCATGGAAAGTTTCCACTGAGTGGGGTCGATAGCTAGCTTTGTACCAAAATTACAAGATTGATGTGGAGGGAGGGACAATGCAGTAGAGGAGGGATGTTATGTAATGAAGTTATCAGGTAAAGAAAAGCACTTCGAGATCACTGAAAAGGTCAGCCTAATTGCTGAAGTGCAGACACGCTGTAGCTTGGATGGAGCATGGCTTCGAGTGCCTCAAATGACAAGGGCGTCTTTTTGCATGGCCCTCGCATTTCATTCGTAGATGAATCATTTTAACTAAGTCTGTTTGATTAACTTACATAATTTGCAAGAGGAAATAAACATAATGCAAAGTAAATCTCTGAAAGGAAAAATTTCGAGTTGACAAAGACGTTTCGCCTGGTTGGGGGCTTCTGAAAACTAACTTGCCGTTTTTTAATCCCATAGCAGACACAAAATTAAGCTGATAAATTGCATGACTGTCAAAGCTAGTTATCTCATGAAAAGTTTTTGTGTTGTTTAAGACCCTTTGCAGTTGTCGGAAATGTTATAAATGGGCTACGTTTAAGCGAAGTACCAAAGTTATTCATATAGACAATCCTCCTCTAATTTTTTTTTTTTTTTTCGGGTTATGCAGCCGTGCTCTCCCAAGCCGGACTATGGAAACTCTGCGTTTCCCCAGGCAAACCTGTACGAGCTGGAGCAGCGTGTGTTTGTGGACCAGTGGTCCATCCCGTACAAGAAGGACGAGTCCCTCGCCAAGTGCCTAATTGCAGCTACAAACCTGGCCAAAGAAGGTAATTGTTGAAAGTCGTAATTATTGAAGGCTGTGCTTGCAGGGTTTTAATGAAAGTGGCATGGCTCGGGTCGCGAAGGAAGAAGTGTTTGTAAAAAGGAATGAATCAGACTGCAACAACACATGCAGGAGGCACAAAAGGACATGTTTGGGCAAAGAAGGAATGCACGTTCTGTCTCACCACAATGGATTGTGCACCTGGCTTGTTCTGATCGTTTACATGCTCTTCCATGGACACGAGGCTCGAAAATCGTCACTTTATTGCATACATCGTAATTTTTCGCAGTTTTCATTCGACAGTGCCAAGAAACAGAGGTTACAGACATCGTAGGGGATGTTGTTACTAAATGTTTTCCTGAACTTACGTACCATGCTGCTTTCGAAACCAGCTGCCAGGAGTGATCGCACAGTACAGATCAGCTGATGAATTGCTGCCAAGTGGCATTGAAGTGCAAAGCCTCTGCAGGCAGTGCTCTGTGGGAGCTTTGCCACATCGGCGAGCCAAATCGCGTGAATGAGGGTGTGCTTACCGTTGCACCTATCATCACAACGTTATGGTGATGCCTGAGCAAGCACAATTGTGCTTCCTAAATAATTCTCATTGTATGACTTTGGCTGCGACTTGGCTTGTACTATGGGACTTGGGCTTGAACAACAGGCATGGCAGCTGTTTCCCTCCTTTGCCCAACCCCCTATAGATATTCATCATAGATATCTTCACTTATTAGCCGAAATAGCTGAGTATTGTCATAGGCGTAACAGGGTATGTGTAGGCCACGTGAATGTCAAGTCCTAGCCACTCAGTTCAACATAGTCCACTGTGACTCAACAAAGTTGTACTCGTGTATTCATAAAGAGCTGCGAATTCACTACCACGTCACAAATCATGTTGCCAGGCTATATGGTGATAACAAACTGTTTCCGAGTTGATGCAAAAAGGAAAAAAAAAAACACTTTAGTTGTTATCATATCACTTCATTTATTGTCTTTCCTAACTTGCAGGTCAATGCGAATCAAACTCCGACTGTAGGAACTTCATGGAGTCATGCATGCCTGAGTGCTTTCGCAAGGCAAGTACTCTTGCTCAGCTACGTAGCCTATCTTTTCATTTTCTTATTATGTTGCTAACAGTGTTGCTACTTGACTTGTACTAGATTTTTTTTTTAATTCATAATATCTGTGTGTCTTACAGGTAGATTGTATGCAGGTTGTCAGTGTGCAGGTGCTATAGTTGGGAAAACTAAAGTTAAAAGGAAGCATCACTTCGTTTAGAGCAACATGTATCTTTCATAATACTGAAGTCAGTTGGAAGAGAAATGAACTTGTGGGGTCCCTACATCATGCTTGGTGCAGTTAGGGCATTGTAAAAACTAAGTTTTAAATGGCTGCCTTCTCTTGTACTGCAAACCTACAGTAGACTCGTGATAATTCAAACTCTGACAATTCATGCTTTTAGTTAATTCAAACAAAATTCAATTTTTTGGTTGGCCCTTTGTTTTTTCAATGTATTTAAAAGCCTCTTAATTCAAACTTCATCATTCGGTTAATTCATACTTTTTGCAGGCTCATATCAGAAAATGTCTGCTGCTTTCCCACTACTATTTAAAAGAAAATGTGTGCTTATTTTTATTCATTTATTTTTCAAATACTGCGGACACGTAGTCCAAGGAGGGAGGGCAGATAAAATGGTACAACAGTGAACATGTCGAAAACAAAAGAATAAATGAAACAAGAACACTAATACAGAAATAGAGTCAATACGTTTGGCAAAACGCTGTACAAACAAATTAATAATAATCAGCATTTTGGTGTCGATTCGATTACGCAACTCCATTCAGTTATTGTACGAGGAAAAGAGGAATTTTTACATGTATTCGTTCTCGCAAAGAAGGGTGTTAATGCATCTTGTCTATGGTGACGAGTAATCTTAACTAGTCTAAAGATGAAAAATAAGCACCTGAGGCCTTCAAGGAGAAAATCTTTACTAGCAAATAAATGTCTGAAATGAAGCACCTACAGTGGTAAACTGTGACGCTTCTCACCTAGCATAGAGAGAGAGCTTTGTGCTGAAAGCACATACCTATAGCAATGAAGCAGTTGGCAATTCGTAATTTTTTAAAAATGTCTGATCAGCAGTAAATGGCCAATAAACTTGTGGACTTTACGCTTCTGCTTTCTGTTCACTGCATGCAGTTAGAGCTTAAAAACTTACAAAATTTTCAAATGTGATAAAATCAATACCTGATCATAATGTGTGGTGTCACCTCAACAAGAGTCATCTATCTTGGAACTTCTGATAATTTAACTTCTTGATAATTCAAGCGAAATTCAGAGGTTCCCTTCGAGTTTGAAATGACAAGAGTTGACTGTAATATGAAAGCCTAGAATGATTACAGTACTTTTATTTGATGCGCTAGTAGTTCTTAATTAGCGATATCTTGTTGACCCATTGACACTCTCAGAGAGCCTTGTGACCCTCACAAATGTGTGAAGTTTTGAAAAATCAAATGCAGAATAGCATTTTTTTTTTGCCTTGCTTCTGCTTATTTTGTTACACGCTTGCACGACTTGCTTGTGCACCTGGTTGCGATCACGCTGAAAGTAAGCTGCGCATTCAAAGAAAGAAAAAGTGCTCTAAGTCATAGGGTGCACATGACGCTTCTTTCCCCGTGCCATCCCTCCCTGCCTACCTTCCAGCATGCTTTTCGGGGATACAGGAGAGAGAGAAAGTTGTAGCGTTCCCTGAAGGTAATGAGCTCAAACATTGAGCGACAGAAAGACAGTTGTCGTCCGCCATTTAGGTATTCTGCCTGTTCCAACCTCGCCTCTCTTCTCTTCTTCTCCCTGCTCTTGCCCTTTCGATGCTTCAGGCATGGACCACTTCAAAAGTAATTGCATGAGAGTGACAAATATCTTCACACCAATCGTATTTGACGTATTCAAAAAAATTTTGGGGGTGGTCAGTTCATGAGGAAATTAACTCCTTCCATGAATACTTTTACTGGTTATTTGAAAAAGTTTTGCATGGCCACTTTAAAGCAAACACAGGACTATCAGCTATATAGAACAAGTCAAGTATTCTTAAAATCCATGCCAGTGATTGAAAGGTATGAAAAACTCATAAGAATTGTGCTTGAACAAAGGTAATCATATCATCATGCTGCACGATTTTGAGATGGGATCTTTTTCATTCATCGTGAATTCCACTGATTAATTTTATCACTCTGTAGCATTAAAGAAATAAGTGCATGCCTTTTCTCTGCGTGTTTCGCTAATTCAGGATCTTGTGCTTCGAAGCTGCACTTCTGGAATTGCATTCTTACGTAAGCAGTGGTTGTATGGTTGACTTGACCATTGTTTTTTGTTTTTATCTCTCTTTCTATCCCCAGCTCCTAACTGCACTTGCAGTCCGCAACTGGCAACCGGATGTTCAGGAGGGCGTGTACAACATGCTGATGCTACTTATTGACCTGACGGTCGAGCGTCTCAGCTACAATCCCGTCCCTGAGAAGCTTCTCTCTATTGTGCTGACTATGGTAAGTCTGAATGCACGCCAGCTTCAGGATGCGCACACCTTAAGTGGGGCAGACTGGTCACAGACATTTTGATTGTTTATCTTCAGTGAATATTCAGTGATATCTTCAGTGATATTGATCAAACTGCACAGGATTATGCAGCTATTTCTGCTGATTTCAAATATTTAATGAGTTTTTTTCTAACTCATCTTGTTCCTGAGATAACTTAAGTTCACCCTCTAGTGTTTAAGGTCGCCATAAAAAAAAGTGAATAATTAAAAGCGATATTTAAGATATGCCAACATGGACTATAGATGACTATAGTCTATGTACTGCCTACAGATGACTTAGATTGAAATTACTATAAATTGAAAGTATGCAAGAGGTTTTTGCTTTTAGGCCTTTCTTGGTTATTTTACAGTAAGATGAACTCTCCATATTCAAAAGCAGTTGAAATTTTGTTACAATTTTGATGAGTAATTGATTAAAAAGACTTGTGCTCTAAATTTTGTTTCCATACTTGCATTCTATACACATACAGCTTTCCATTGCAAAAATAATTATTGTCGTACCTGCTCTAGCTGCAGAGATATTGAGGCATCAAAATTGAACAGTTGTAAATTTACTTTTTCGAGAAAGATGGAAAAAACTGAAAACACACAGCTTTTTTAGAAAGCAACAATCATGGTGCACATGTTTTGCAATCCTCATAAAGGTGCTCATAAATTCATAGCAGAGCTTCTAACATAGGTCCCGGCAAATTATAAAGAAGCCTTGAAGTCTGTTCCCCATTTTTTTGCAGGTTCTGCATGTTAACAGCACTAAGAATCTGGACAGTTAGAATGACATCACAAAACAATTACCACTTCCTGGTGTGTGCAAATTTGCAGAGAGACGGAAAAATACTTGCAGGAAACCAAATATGTCAATTTAAAAAAAAAAAGATTTTTTTGTCACTTTTTGGTCCCTAAAGACCAGTCTGCCCCCCTAACTTGAATAACTACTTTCACCTATTTGCAAATTCGTAAGAGCCTTTCTACGTGTTTTCCTCGGGTGAGATGGCAACACTCAAAAAAAGTTAAGGGTGCGAAAACGTTTTTGGGTTGTTCTAATTTGACACTAGGGCTATTAGAGGATTTCAGCATGCCTGAAATAGTAGTAGGCACAAAGGTGTCATTGTCGCGTCGGTTAGTGCAATACCAAACAGTCGTACAGACATCTCACCGCTCCTTGTCACACTATGGTTTCTTTTAATCAGCAGCGAAATATTATGCACTCCAAACTCTAGAATTGCACGCACACATCTAACGCTCACTGTTTCGAAATGATGTTGCTTGCCGCAACGAGTGCAGATGCAATTTCAGTAGATGCGATCATAGGTAGCAACACCGTAGTTCAGAAAGCACGTGCGTGGCCTGTGCACACGCATAGAAAACAAGCTACAATCCAGCTTAGTGGGCACTATCATCAACAGCAACTGTGCAGCTTCGAAGGTATGCGGATAATTTAGCAGTAAATTGAAGGCAATGATGTCACTAAAAGGCACACAGAGCCTCAGCATTCCTGTCGTTCGCTTATGACTGTAGTGAAGTTAACTTTGCCGCTTGGTTTTCACTGGACCTCAAGCGAAGCCTTGACGTGTGCATTTGCAGCTGCCCTGTTGCACCGTCCCTCGTTTGTCCATTTGCATGTGCCTAGACAGACAGACATGAGTTCCCTCCACAAGAATAGATGTTTTGTGTGCGTACTGTAGTTTGGAAAGGGGCTTTGTTTGTTATTAGGTGATACGAAATTTCCGATGACATGAATATTATTGCTTCTTCTTGAGATTCGTATATAAATATTCCACTGTAGTAAATACGCCAGTAAGACCACTTGCTGGTAATATTCCAGTTATCGAAGGATTATATGTTCATTTGTTTAAATATATTGATAAGTTTAACATGTTCCCATTTATAAGGGCAGTTTGTGAGTTAAAAGCACATGCGCAGCCATCACTGGGGAATGTTAAAGGTTAGCATTTTATGTCATTGTTACAAAACGTTTAAATGGTCATTGCTGAGGATAGGTAAATATTCATTTGCTTCGAATATTCGAACAGTACTCGGATTCACTTGAACACCAATTTCAGTTATTAGAAATTTTAAAGTAGTATTCAAAGTGAACGAATATTTGTATATTTGAGTGCACATAACTTTCTGTTGAGATGGTTCCACTGCTGTGTTAGGCTGCCGTGTCTTGAAACCTCTCATCCAGGAGTAATAGACACTACTGCGAAGCCAGACTTCAAGGTTAAATGTACATGTTATTTTTACCTAAATTAAATATTTTTTAAGTTTAGAAGCGTCTTATGCGGGCTAATATGTGCCTAGTAGTTTTTTTTTAAACATAACTTACTAATGTGCACCCCGTTGCTGCACACCTCTTCTACTATGAAAAGTTGCTTCTGCTCCACTTTGAACCAAAGCACTGACATTCACACAAGCCAAATTCTAAGTCTTTAAAATATTGTGCTAGTTAGTGTGGTCATGACAAGAATCCTTGTTTTCTATTATAATATCTGTACATGCCATTCGAACTGTACAAATTGAAGTCATTCGACTAAATCGCTATTCACTTTGAGCCTCAAATTGGCTATTTGCTCATCCCTAGTCATTGCTTGAAATCTTCTGAAGACACCTTTCACTTTATCTGGAACTTCTTGTATTCTTACTCATTTTTTTCATTGACTGTATGAGAGAAAACCAATACCTTCCACGTGTACAGTCTTTATCCTGCATGCACTGTGCTTTTTGTCTTTGCCACAGTGTGACTGTAGTGAGTAGAATTCAAGCCACCATACTATCAGTTCTGATCAAGTATAGTTCAGCAGCATTGTCCTGTTTTCTTTCAGACCTCTGCTAGATCAACCTAAAGCCAATTGCGTTTTCTTTTGCAGGCCTTTGATCCCGAGGCCGAGTTTCATGTCAAGAACAAAAGCCGGCTAAGCACACTAGAGCAAGGGCTTGTAGTCTATGCAAAATCAAGGGTTTCCCTGGTAAGTGACTAGCAGTTTGCAGCTTTTTTAATGTACGGCGCGCCTCATTGTAGGTCGAATTGTCAGTGACTGGCGACTGTGCTTGCCGCTGTCATTGTGCTGTGAGTGTACAGTAAAAGCTCGTTAATTTGACACCAATTCAATTGGGAAAATCAGAGAATTCGGATGCACTGTCTGTTCCTTGACACGCGTATGTACTTACTGTTCAGTGGCATCTAAATTTCTTTATTTCGGTTCTACTTGGCCGCAATGCAGTCCTATTCGGACGATTATTAGAGCACTCGAGCGGACAGGCACGAAATTCGATAAGCAGAAGAGCGAAACTTCAACGAGGTGATGAAGTCTGCAGTCGCCACCTTCATCAGCATGAACGATACGGTAAACGCTGGTAACGAGGTTTATGACGATTTCAGGTTTGTGGGCTTCGAGTTGGTTTGGAGAGGAAGGTCTTGTGCCGCGGCCACACTGTGAACAAAAGTCGCGATTGGCCGTAATTGAGGCTTACTGCATGCTCTGATGCAATGAGCAGAATCTATGTATTCATGAAGAAAATGAAAGTGGATTGAGATAGTAGTAGACAGTAGTAGATAGTAGACATTTGTTTATCGTTTTCTTGGTATTTTCTTGATACCTTCAATAATTCAGAATTCAGGTCAATCGGACACTTTTCACAGTATCTTGAAATTAGAATGAACAAACCTTTAGTGTAACTTCGTTTGCTGGGCACAGTTATGGCCAACCGTTGTGTTTACCCCTTGGAGGCTGAGTTCTTTACTAACCCAGCTGTGTGATAGTATGTATTTACTGTCAGCTGCCTAGAGTGGTCGGAGTGCCACAGCAGTCACGGTACATGACTGAACAGTGTAGATACAGTAAAGATGAGTGGTTCTCAGCCGCAGTGTGTCGAAGAGGGGCGTTGAACACACTCGCTGTTGTATTTTAACGAAGACAGAACAGGCTTAGGAAATTCAGCAATATTGCGGCTGAGGTGACAGGCTTCATTTTTAACAGAGGCGTTGTGGCAGCTTAAGTGATGTTGTTCAAGATGTTTCTGCAGTTTCTGGAGCTGGGCCTGCAACTGCGAATACGTCAGAACTCGCCTCCTAAAAACCCCCTTTTTTGGGGGGGGGGGGGGGGAGGCAATGGTATTGGATTGCGGAGTCCTAAGATGGTACCTGAACATTGACTCCTTTGGGAGTATAGTGTTAACATCAGTACAGAGTTTGCAATGACTTTTTTTTTTTTTCCAGGATCCTTACGGTTGGCTTTTAGATGTCATTAACAAGGTGAGCTTGATTTTTGATAGCTCTTGGTGCGATGCCATCAACTTTTCTTTTTTTCCACATTTGTCTCGTGTTGTCACTAAGCAGAGTTTTCCCACTATCTATCTTTATCTAGTTCGGGAGTCGAGGTGGCTTTGATAAGATACTGACCAAGTTTGGAGAAAACCTCACGGCAAATGTAAGTTCGTCTCCCTTCTCTTCGTTTTCATTTTTTTTCTCCGTGAGTGCTGTTGGTGCAAGGCTGAGGCGTAATTTACCAGTATTGACGCCAATCTGCCCAGGTTCAGATGCCGTGGCATAGTCAAATTTGTGATCAATTAACCCAAGGGTCCCAAGCTTTCCTCAACTAGGTGGGCCGCTGCCACGAATGTCACAATGCCACATATTTGGCCATTGTGACATCATGATGTGTGCTGTAATAATCAACTACAGTTTAGCCAAGTACAATGTTGGTTCAGTTTGTCGGCATTGCAGTCGCACTAAGGGACATTGCACTTTGCTACAATACTATGCTTTTTCTGCATTGGGCACTTCATCTGAACCCCTTTACAAAAGACACTGATGTGAGACACTTGGATATAAGAGACACCAGTCTGCCTACATTGAAATAGGGGTTGTGGAGAAAATGAGAATGTGTAACCCTACTTATAAGAGGCAACTCATACAAGGGACAACAACTGCTTCCTGGTGTGTGTCTCTCACAGAGGGGTTCAAATGTATATCTCGTTTTCTCTGGGTGTTCTTTCTGTCAGTTCCTTTTTGTGTTAGTAACTGCTTAAACCACCCACGTATGCCAGTCATTGTATGTGTTTGTCTCATTCCATAGACCTTATTCTCCTTTCGTTACCTTTATGCCACTAACTTCAATAAATATTGGCAAAACTAGTTAGAGTGCCGTATTGATAGGTGAAAGTTGTGCAAACAAAACTGCGGTTCAAGTACGAGGAGGGGGGGTGGCAGGGAGGCTGCTGACAAACATTCAAACATTCTCAAGGAAGTGATTGCATGGACCAACAACCTCATCAATCTTTGATTTTTTGTTCATACGGTGCTTAAAATATTGGTTCACTGGTTCCATTGCTTTCAATTCGTATCAGTGAAACAACAAACGTCCTCAGAAATTCAACTGAAGCATGCCACTTAACCACATCGTGAAATGCGGTATGTGCTTAAATTATGTGCCTACATTCATTTCAAAATGAGAAAGATGGGTCTGTGTCATTCTGCAATAAAATAACTGACTCTTGAAAGAAAAGTTTTTTTTTAACTACGAAGTACGAACAGCGCGAATTCAACACAGGGACACGAGAGAAGACTCAGACAAGCGCTGTAATAATGCAATACCAACTATCCCAAAGCTTCACTTCATTAGGTTATATCTCTTTTTAACCTTCAGTTTTTTTTTAGTAAGTGAAACTTTTAAAAAATGGAACAGACTTTTTTGTCTCCTGAGGATTTGTTTTTAGAGAGTTCATGGTGCTTCGATCTAATTCTGAACAGTGGAGTCTGCACAGGGAGCTGTGGAGTTGACGGTTGCTTTTGTAATTGCTTTCTTTATCACAGGAGATGGCTGCCCTGCTGAATCCTTTAGCCGTGTGTGCCCAGTTCCTCAACCCGGACACAACCTGCTCGCTTCTTTCGCCCTGCATGAATAAGGCCATCAGCTACATCAAGGGGCTCACGGATGACGACCTCAAAAACAAGGCAGGGGCAAACACTGGCTATGCTTTAGGCATCACTTCTTTTTGCTGGCACAAGCTATGAACTAAATTGTGCTGTTGTAACTGTTGCCTCTGCTCGTGATGACATATTGAGTGCAGTGAGAAGAGCCGCCCCATCCCTATCACTGAACCAGGTGCAGCTCTTTGGGATATGAAATTAGAAAGTGGCTTTTAAAAGTTGTCTTGTGCTCACGCATGCCGCGTCGTGCAGAACAGGGTGCCCTTTCAAAACTATAAAGGAACACTATAGGAATCTACAGTATACTCTTGAGGATTCACGAACTCAAGGGGGTCTCACGATTTTGTTTGAATTATAAGTTTTCATAAGTATGACCAGGGGCAATATACCAACTAGTATTGGGATGTTTATCATTTTCGAGTGCCACAGCAACATCACCGACAGCTCTCCATGATTGCCATTAAATTTTTTAGGTGTATGCAATCATACTAGTACTTTTTAATATATAAGGTGCACATGCAAGTACAAATAGCAGATAAAATGTGTTGTGTCTCGCAACAGCTTGTAGTCTGTTATGCGAGGCCCCATGATCTCATGGGTATCATGACGCGAGGGCCAATGGACTGGGCAGGGAGCATTCAGGCAATGGCAACACAAAATGCAGCCAGAAGAAAAAAATGCTTATATTCACTAGATACTACGTTCAAAGCGTGGACGATCAAGCAGCCGCCAGGTGCGCAGGCCATTTATAGGTGCCGAGACGCTCAACGGCGGGTGGAGAGGCGCAGCCTCGCTGCTAGACGCGCGTTTCAGAGCCTTTTCGGAACACTCTTCGGATAAATGCTTGAAGCATACTTGCTGGGTACCCACTACGCCATAAATAATCATAATTTCTGTGTAGTAGGCTGGCACTCACCATGCTATCCTTTGTCATTCTTCGGAAAAGCGTGGTATCCGCTAAGCACTTGCAAGGAATTTTTTGAGAATTTAGTGTTACATTCAGAGGCTGATGACGAAGACGAATTACACCTGAAGTGGGTATGTGCCACAGTTAATAGGTGATCAACAAGCTTTTGGAGTAGGTTGGACCATTGGACGACCAACTTGTTTCGCAATTCACTATTAGTGATGCTTTAGTGTTAACAGCTTTGTTGTTCTAAAACGCTTTAATACTCATATTTTAATGCGATTCTTTCCCAACATCAAGCCTGCCTAAGGCAAGTTTGTGAACGAGTTCCAAGCACCCGCGTGGCTCTGCGGTAGAATACAGTCGAACTCTGCTACAACGAACGCTGCTCCAACGAAATTTCCGCTACAACAAAAAATTCACGATTCCCATGAGCAGTCCGTAGGAGTCAATGCATAAATATTGTCGCCACAATAAACACTTTTTCTTCGATATTCTCGCTTCAACGAAATTTTACGATGCAATTCCAGGCTCAGACACTTATTTTTATGCAGTAAAACCCAATCTTTAACATTTCGAATCCATTTTCAGAGCCTGAAAATGCGTCAGCGAAGTCTAAAACACGCGTTGGCACCACCAGAAACCGCCGCTATACCGCTGCTGTGCAGCAAGCATGAATGCTGCCATTGCTCGATAGCAATGGCAATGAGACTGTTCTGCTTTTGCCATTGGCTTGCTTTGAACCACAGGCGATTTGAAGCTGAAGCTCGGTCGCTCAGTTCATGGTTTCCGTCACACAGCTGCTGGGTGCAACTGCGGAACAATGCTTTTCCGATTCCGATGCTTATCATTATGTTTGCGCTTGGCCAGTTGGTAACTAATCAGAGTGACTGTTCGTTAGCGTTATCAACAAAATCGGCTAACCGCGGGTGATGGATGATAAGAATGGCATAGAATAATGCAAAAGTCGCCGCTGCACGATACCCTGCCTTCCGTCTCTGGCGTTGTCGGATACTTTTGACGGCGGACAGCTGCTGCTGTTAACGTGTTAATGCAACTGGTTCGTTCACGAAGGCAGTTTTGGGCATTGTTTCAACGTGCTTTTCACCATGGCGTCGCTATGCATGGGTGACAATCACGTCACGACGTTGCTGGGAAAGAATAGGAAGCAGCGGACATTTTTTTTGCTAGCTCATATCAGCTATATCTTTTTCGATTTCACTACAACGAAATTTCCGCTTCAATAAAATTTTTTCCGCACCCCGTCAGTTTCGTTGTAGTGGTGTTCGACAGTACCGGGCTGGCATGCAGTGGACCCAGGTTCGAATCTCACCATGTCACCACATGTCTTTAGTGTTTTTTTATTTGAGTTTTTTTTTCTTAATTCGTGTGGTGGTTACAGACACCGGCGGCGGTAACGGTGGACAACTACGGTGCCGCGCGTGACCGTTGTTGTGATCTCATAACAGCTTTCGCTGTAAAATACTGAATTAGCCAGGTTTTTGTAGTGTGGTAGTTTGAAATAAGTGACTTTAACTACATTGAGAACATAGTGGGCCAACCAAATATTACAGATTTCTTTGAATTAATTGACTGTTTGTATTTTACTCAAACCTTGATATAACGAACTGAGATATAATGAAATATTGGTTCTCACAAAGTTACTGAAGAACAATTTTCTAATAGATACAGCGTTATGAATATACGTTTATAACAAATTTTTGGATATAACAAATGTTCTTAGTGGCAGATATGACTGTTAAAATGAGGTTTAAGTGTATCAAACTTTGAATTTTCTAGAGTCCACTGTAAAGAGCGAATGTTTAAAACTTGTTATCGGGCTGCGACGCTCATCTGTTTCTTTTATATATCTATCTGCAGAACATTGGTTCAGTGACTGAGCTGCTGAAGGCGGTGAAGATGCTGTGCGTCTACCTATGGCCTCAGGAGATTGCGAGCACGAGCACGCTGTGTCTCGATGTTATCCTGCGCATGCTCAAGTGCTCGCACTTCAACGCCCGCATGAATGGTCTCAAGGAGGTGAGCGCAACCACTTGCCTGCTGCAAAGCTTCAGTGATGTTGGCTTTACTCACCGTGTAGTGCAGCGTCACTAGTTTGGCTCCTACCAACCGTGGCCACATTCCTCAGAAAGTATCACTGCTCAAAAAATAGCGCAGAGCATGATGTGCTGTGTACCATGTATCATGTAAAGATTGTGCACTTAAGCTCTGCACATACATTTTATACAAAATGTTGCACTCTTACATGCACAGTTGCCGTTACGAATGCAAGTTCTGTGCACTTGCTCTAAGCAAAACGTGGCATTATTAGGGGTGTGTGAATATTCAAAAATTCTTCTAATAGTGTTTCTTATGCAATTCGTGCAAGAATTTCACTGCTCGAACTATTTGAACTTCTGGAAGTTAGCACAGCCCAATATAGTTAGTTCTGAAGTCTTCCAGTGCTCACATTCAAAGCACTTGGTGTATGTTAAAAAAAAAAAATTCTATTGGTACAAATCAACACAGCATTACTCTGTCAGTATGCTCCTTAATAGACCATAATTAAGAATGTGTAATCGGAAGAATTGTAGCATTCAACAGCAATTTTTTCACGTGGGTAAATTTGCTTTCAGTGCACAAGACTGCAATGAAAAGAATGCAACAGAGCAGAGTGCATGTCGTACCAACCAATTCATTTATTTCTCATTTGATAGGAATATAGCTGTGCAGCATTTGGGCGTTACATCGTGCAACAGTGAAATTAAATCTCGCAGTGGCGAGTTCTGCTTAGCAGTAAAGTTTCAGGCTAATCGCGCTTAATAAAAAAGCTCTTACTCTTCGGGCACAGCTTTGAATGTGTCAAACACCAGTGCTACTAGGATTTGCTATTGATTGATTGATTGATTGCTTTATCTGATTCGTCACAGTACAGTGTAACAGGAGGCAGAGGGAAAAGCTGTAATGGCGGTTTGAGGAATCCTTCGCCCCCTTTGAGAACAATAGCAACAGCTGAAGGGCATCACAACATTATCACAGTATCATATACCTCGTACAGGGCATCACAATATGATATACCTTTTTCTTCCTCCCCTAAAACTCTCACATTGTTTTGCATAAGGATCACTATTCGCTTTAAAAGAAGTAGACCAGAGTGAATGTTTTGCAAACTGCAAAGCTTCTCTTATGAGAAATTAGTATGAACTTCATTTGTCACTTCATAGCTGCCACTAACTTTCGCGTTTGTTGGTCAGACAGTCAGGTTGTAATTTGTGGATTTGATATGGAGACCATTTTGGTTAGATACTCTGTCCTTTGGGAGCAGCTGTATTTCACTCTAAGCTGGACAGTGTACAACTGTCTTGTTGCAAAGATTTCATTCGTTTCTCTCTTCATTCTCGTGCAGTTAATCAAGCTCATTGACGACTGCTCAGCGACAGGTGCATCATCAAAGGCAGCCATCGATGCTGAGCAGCTACAGAATTGGATGGCAGAAAACAACGTCCTCTCCATCACACTTGAGAGTGAGTATCTCGCACACTTCTGTCACGTAACATTTAGGCGACAGCAGCATCAAAAGGGGTTTGAGGGCAGGGTAAAGTTTATGTCCTAGTTGAGATTAAGTGTAACTGCATGCAGGACACTGAGTGCGCTACTGCTGTCTCTCCGAGTAACAGTGTGGCTTCCAAATAAACGGCAAGGCAGTTGAGGATGGTAGAGAGTTAGGGTGCAGACCACAGAAACATGGCTGGGGTATCCTTCGAGTGGTGTTTGAAATACCTTTCAAAAAGGGCATGTTCAGTTGCAAAGACATGTTCAATGAACTAGGGGAGTGCTTCGGTAGTCTCTTCTTCTCATTGAGTTTTTTTATTATTATTTTTCTTTAATAACCACTTTCTTTTGGTCTCTTTCAGGCAACATAGATCAGGCTCAGTACATGGACAAGATAAAGAGTATAATTGAGTTTGTTGGGCAGCGACTTTCTATCGAGGAATTGACGAAGATTTGGTCCATGCAGGTGAGTGGCATAGGTGGGGGTCACACAGCTTAGATAATTTTCAGACCAATGCGCAGAGGTGGGGGGGGGGGGGGTGAACTCTGGTTATATTAATGCGTTCAGCTTAGTATGTGACGGTCCATGTGCTGTATAGTTTGACAGAGTGCTGACAAAGTTTTGAATGCGTGATAACCTCTGAGGGGGCACACATCATTTGTACAAATTATTAACGGCGGACGTAGCTTGTAGTCGGGTACATCTGCATTTCTGCCTTAAGGGTGGTTGCACACAAGCCTGGACTGATGAGCAGACACTGTAGACTGGTGTAAGAACCCGCATGACTGTTGGCCCCATTGTCTGAAAACATTGCCGAGTATATGAGCAGAACAATTTTTTTAGTCATAGAGGCAATTGCCTGATGTGCTTCATTCATCTAGGTGGGCCTATTTTGCCTTCTTAAGTTGACTCTGACTATTACAATTAAAATCAATGTTCTACGCCACGCAACTGAGCCTCAAGTGTAGCACTTCGTAAGATCGATGTCGACCTAGTTTTAATGTAGACAACCACTCGTGTCTTGAATTTCTATTGGCTGCCATGCTCCTTGCGTGCTTATTGTGGCACTTGTCGACCCCACGCTCGCACCTGCATTTTGCTGTAGGAAGCTTGTGTGTAACTGTGTTGCGTCTTTGCCTTTGATTCCTCGTTGTGTCGCTGGTTGTTTCTCTAGGACCGGCAGAACTGCCAGGTGGTGGACAACATTCACGGCATCATGGCAGCCGCGTCGACAAAGTTCAGCCAACAGCAGTTCGATCATCTCCTCACCCTAATTAGCAAGGTGGGAACAGAACACCGTCTGTTGTATTGTTTAGCGTAGAGCCTGTCTGGTGGCTGCACTTTCCCTCTCTCTCTCTCTCGGCTTTCATGGAAGCCTGTAACTGCTACGGTGCTGTGCCACTAAGCTCGAGGGCGTGGGTTTGATTCCCTGCCACAGTGGCCCTGTTTCAATGAAAACGAAGTGTTGAGGTACGTGCACACTGGCGGAAAGCATGCTGCGGCGACGTCCTGTTCGTCGGCAACTCCACTCAGCAGGCAGCGGCACCCTGTCCACATGTTCACATTTGGAGCGCTGCAAGAAGAGAGAAAAAATGGACATGTTTGTTCTTCTCTCCGTCTGCTCGACAGACGTAGAAAAGAAATGGCATGGGTAACGAGACCACGCCTGTGTGAGGAGGAAGGTAGGAGAAGCAGGCACTCATTGGTATTTTGCCTGCAAGACAGCTGGCGGCAGCGGCAAAAATAGCGCAGCAAGTAATTTGGTCGGCGACAGAAATTCACTGACACTTTGCGAGAGATGTCTCGTGAGCGGCGTGCGGGAGAGTGTTGTGCCGCCAGTGTGTTTGTAGCTTTAAAACACTAGCATAACTAAGATGCAGGTGCAGACTTAAGAGTTCCAGGGGGCTGACATTAAATCAGTCACCAATTGTAGTGTGCCTGATTATCATAACGTGGTTTGGAACATTGCCACTCTCTCTCTCTGTGGTGCTAATATTTCGGCTGAAATGATTGGCGGCTACATTTATAGTAAGGGGTTGCTGTTTATGGTCTTGCCTTTTTCTGGCAATAGCGAAGGCGTTATCGGACGAATAAAATGGGCATAAGGAACCTGTGCTTTTCTTATTGTGTGCAAAGGTAGGCATGTGCGAATAGTAATTTTACGTTCGAAGTCAATACGATGCAAATAGGTATTTGGCCAGGCCAAATTATTTCAAGTCAAATTCGAATGTGCAGTTAAGTCTTTTTATAATAGACGTGCTCTAGGCAGCAGTTCTTGTCTTTTTTGTGAGAAGTCTCTTTAAGCAAGGTATGTCGTATGCATTCTCTTATCAAACCGTATTTTACTGTAGGCTCAATGGTGTCTCTTACACCCATTTGTTTTTTATATCAGTGTCTCTTATAAGAAGATTCAACTGTATGTCGCATATTATAAAAAAAAGCATATTTTTCATCACCCAACTAACCTACACAATATTTTAAATATTTTTAATTTAATCAATTTACAAGGCATGTGCAGTTGTCATTCTTTCTTGTTAAAAGAAAGAGAAAGCAACTTTGGATTGTTGCAGGATCTGACTTTTCGATAGAATTCTAGTGATCACTTAAAAGATACAATTTAAAATGTACAGTACTTGAACCAGTACAAGCTGGTATAACAAGCTCCTCAAACTTAAAAAGTCATGAATCTACACAAAGGTTAAATGTTCAATTATCCTTGAAGTGGGGTAAGGCAGCGTGCAGACTTTCCTTGGATAGGTGTATTCATGATATAACACCCCTCCTATTGTAGTGAGACCATCTTTGCAGGTGGATTGCATGCGATCTAATGTGCGAATCTATATGTTCATTTCGAATACTGTGATATTCGTTTCAATATTCCAAGGGCTCGAATACTTCGCACGTGCGTAGTACTATAGGGTTTACAGTCATTTGGGTGCTTTATCTCTCAGGCTTGGAGGGGCAGCAGCGACATCACGTGGCGGCGCCTTCTCACCTTCATTGGCAAGCTCGGCAAGGAGAGCAACCAAGGGAAGGTCTCCACCAAGGTCAGCATTGCTTTCGGATGAAGTTGCCTATGACACCTGAAAGGCGCAGCTTTAGAAAGCTAGTCAACTTTTTCTTGTTAACATAATTTCTACACATAATCGTCAACCCAGCGGTGTTTGAACGCTTATGCGTGGTCAGTTTGCAACATACCACGTTTTTCGTCGAATCTACAAGTGCGACATTGTGGCTGTAGGCCACCAAAACGCACCTCTTCATTTGTAGGTTCGGGTTTCTAGTGCATTCTGTACGAATTTTTGATTTTATTCATGTTGTCAGCTCTGCAGAGTACCTAAGGAGTGGAGAACATATATAAAACAAATGTACACATGTGCTTCTCAGAAGCACCTCTGCCTACCGTATTACTTGCGTAATGAATGCACTTTTTTTTCTCGAAAAATCGCAGCAAAGTTGGGGGGTGCGTTTATTTGAGGGGAAAATTGTATGAAAACTTTTTGGGCGGAGCAAAAAATGCGGTAATGAAAAAAAAATTGAGGTTGCTTAGCTTCTCCCCATTGACATATGCGTACACTGTTTGAAAACATCTTCTTTGTTGCACTTTACTCATCTTTGGTGGTTGATGGCGCTATCTTCTGCTAGCTGTCCCTGAGCCGCCCAAGCACTCCATAAAAGTGCTTTGCGACTATCTTTGCTCGCAATCATTTAACTGCAATATCTATCCTGATCTGAAGGGGCGCCCAAAAGCGTGCACTACGACGCACTTTGCCAACTTCACGGCAACCTCGCATGATGACCGTGATGACACCGTTAACATTGTAGCAAGTAACCAGCATTGCAGCTAGCTACCTCTAAAGCATCAAAACAAACCGTCGATAACAAGAGTAACGACAAATTATGTACGGCCGTCGCCTCGCTTCTACGTGAGAAGTTCCTCTACGCGCGGATAACAAGCGAAGCGAGAATCGGGGGTGCTACCAAGTTGCAGAAAGCGTCACAATTTTTTCTGGACGACAAGCTATTTTTTCTGGTTTTGCGAAAACCTGCAATGCGATAACGGCGAATGACTCTTCGCAACAGCAAATCTTGTTGTCGTCACTCGAAAATCACGTGCGCATGATTGGGCTTTTTCGTATTCGCAGCAAGCAACCATCTCTTGGCGCGGGCAGCTTCGTGACCTTCGCTCGCTGTGTGCTTATCAGCTGTGATATCTACACTCACACCGTTCTTGAACCTTCCTGTGGCACACAGATAAGAGGGGGACGTTCTGTGCACAGATTTTAAAGAAAAACAATGCAGCACGGCAGGCGGCAACGGGCGAAGTGGTGGAGGGAGCGAGCCGCGGCGGGGCCCGGGTCAGCAAAATGATAAAAAACAGAAAAGATCCAACGGATCAGGAGGCGCCAAGTGTCGGTCAGCGGGACTGCAGCGAATGAATGTAGGCGGTGCGTTTATGACGGGGGGGGGGATCCAAATTTTGGTGACTGAAGTTGGGAGTGCGTTCATTACGCAAGTAAATACGGTATTTGTTATAAGTTTGAGATTATAACTGTAACATTTGGAGATGGAGAAGTTTTAATACAAACATAAATAGCTCTTCAAATGAGAGTGACGCTAAGATAAATGGTGGACGAACACAACAGCTTCTTGAATAATGCCTGCCAATGTAATCTGAGTTTACTAGCAAATTTAATTTCTGTATGTTTGATGGAAGGGAACTAATTGAAGCAGTCCATAAATGCTACAGTAAGATCCCGAGTTTGCATAAAACTGGGAGCAAGATTGAGTTACCCAACACATCTTTGCCTTTTTTTTTCGTATCTTGTGCACTGGTCGTGGTGATGGCAATCAGCTAAATGAGCCAGCACAACCATCATAGCATTACCTGGTGTGTGGGGAATAGTGTGTGCCATCATAATCATTGACATCTGCAGGGTGACACAACTTTCCTAAGCAACGACTTTTCACGATTGCCCCCTTTGTCTGATCGGCCTAATCCTTTGTCATCCGAGATTCCATTCACGTCGTTTTGCTGTTGATATAGATTATCTGTGCATCGTATAATTCCCGAGGAATGGTGTTAAAATAGCGTAATTTTGCTTAATATGAAGTTCTTATCGTATCCATGGCAGAGCTGTGTTTTCTTTGACGCATGTTCTGTTTCTTTCTTTTGGTTGTACTTTATCGCCTTTGACTTACATCACCAACAGAAATGTACTTCACTGTCCATTTTGTCATAGCCCCCGCTTTCCTAATATTTTTTTCTCTCCCCATTTTCCCGTGACTTCTTTTTTCCTGATATAGCTGCTCGACCTTCTGTGGGAGCTCTTGCACCTCAACTCGCTTCCCCAGGCCCATGTTGAGCAGTTTGTCGAGGAGTTCTTCAGCATCCTCTCCGAGATGGGCAACAGAGACAGCGCGAAACGCCAATACGTCACCCGCTGCGTTGATGACATTAAGAAGGTAGGGTAGTGTGTTTCATCTCTTTCAGCAGCTTTACCTCATTTTAGTGTGGTCGTAACCATTCGCATTGATCTGTACTCAATAAATGTAAGACCATCTCTGGAATTTGCAGAACATGTGTGTGATTCCTGCTCTGAAAATGTTGCGGCACATCAGCGGAGCCAAGGGATCAGCTGGTAGCAAAGGTCCACCTTACAAGCAAGACAAGGTGCACTTCGTCTCAATTTTTATTTTTCAGCACCTTTTTTCATGTATCTTTTGTGTGCTTTTTTGTATAATTGTTTTCAACTGTGGTACCTGCCAGCTTTATTGATCCTGTTGTCAGCAATTACTTTGGTGATATTCCATTGTACCACTCCATTGCTAATATTACTGCTCAATTAGTGGCATTATATATACCGATAGCACATTTGCATGTATAGCTTTAACTTAACGAGTTAGTGGCATTTCCTTTTGAAATGCACACACTCTGGACTAACGTCAAGAACCGAACTTCTGCTGACTCTGCTTTTGGAGAACATCGCCAAGTAGTCTACGTTCCATTTCTCACATGTCCGAAATTCCGGACATGCTCGATTTCCTGGGATCATCTGCGCCACTGTGAAGTTCATCGTAGAGTCAGTGTATTAACCTTTTGTAGTTTCATCAATATTTTTCACATAATAACAGAAATTATGCCTGTAGAATATCTAAAAAGCATGCTTCAAAATAGTATGAAGCAAGTTTCACTTAAAATGACCATTTGTTTACGAGAAAAAAGTGGGACGTTTACAGAAAAAAGTGAGACGATTACAGCTTGGTGCTCACGGGAGCACCAAGCTGTAATACTTATGCCAAATTTCTAGCACAAAAAAGCCCCAATGCAAGCAGTACAGAGGGACACTTCAAAAACTGTGCAAAGAAAAATTTGTGGGGTACATCATTTCTAGATGTGGTACCCAATCTGCCTCTGCCTGTTGTGTTCAGCCCAGTGGCTCTGTCTGAGGTCTTTGCATACATCAACCGTGTTAGCTTTTTCTGTCTGTTTGGTTGGTGTGGATAATGACGAACACCTCATTTACGCCTGAATTTCCGCCCATATATAAAATTGTGCTCATGAATCACGGCAAGCCACATCGACGTAATGTCACTGAATGCATTGAATCATGTAAGTGCGTTTACAACTGTTGCTACAGATTCGTGCACTCTATTCAGGCCCGAGATATTAGCTTTTCTCACAGATCGTGTGCATTTGTCTTCTCTTTTGCTTCCTGACTGTCTAAAGCATCAACTTCGTCATTCTTTCCCTTTGGCGCTCAATTTCAGAAACAGCATTTCAGCCGCAGCTGTTGGTCTTATTGCCACTGCTCTTGTACTGGTAAAAAAGGACAAGGGAGAAATTGAGAGCCTTACATACTGGAATAAATCTACAATAGAGGCACAGCCACCATCGTTCTTCCTAAAGAAAGCGACAGAATCCCAATAAAGAAGGGCGTAATTCAGGGAGACACAATCTCTCCAATGCTATTTACTGCATGTTCACAACAAGTTTTCAGGGCCCTAGATTGGAAAGAGTTAGGGATAAAAGGTAATGGAGAGTATCTTATTAAGCTTCGCTGATGACATTGCCTTGATGAGTAATTCAGGGGACGAATTACTGCTCATGATTACTGTACTGGACACGGAAAGCAGAAGAGTAGGTCTGAAAATCAATATGGATAAAGCTAAAGTAATGTGCAACAGTCTCGGCAGAAAAGAGCACATTGCAATAGGTGGAGAGATGCTGGAAATTGTAAAGGAATATATCTACTTAGGACAGGTAGTAACTGTGGAGCCAAACTGTCAGAAAAAGATATCTATAAAAAAAAAAAAAGGTGCGTTTTCACATGCATTCATTTGTCGGGACTGCCCGATTTCCTGTACGTCTTCAATTTCCTGGACGTGAAGGAATGAATGAATAAACTTTATTTAAAGTCCGGCAGTTTTCACCAGGCTAGGTGGGGGAAGAGGGGATTAACCCCTGTCCCTTCCCACTCTCCATCGATTATGATGGCAGTGTCTCAGGTGACGTGGTGAAAAATATTTATTGACGTTTTGGCACCAAAAATCTTAATCTGATATATGTGCACACATTGCGCCACATACCCAACCACATTAATCTCATTGCCTTTGTTTCACCTTTCATTGTGAACCAGGCTCCCATGTGGGAGCCAAAAATGTCATTATGTAAATACTTTCTAACTTTGGTCGGCATCCATCAGAAAATGGTTGTGTTGACAGCTCATTCTTTTTTGAACTGGTTGTGCCCATTGGCTACAACCAAAGTGGCCTACTCCTATAGTGTCAAAGCATTGTAATGCTGGCCTCTAATTACCGAGATATGCAGTTAATGCCAAAAAAAAAGGTGAAGCTCTTCAAACCCATCGTAGTGAACTTTGCACACATGTCCTCCGCATCCTTGATGAGGCTTCTTTGCAACATATCGAGTTGATTTAAGGGAAGTCATTAGTCGTAAATGATGTTACGGGGAATAAAGTATACACTGGTGAACAAATGTGTACTGGCGAATATACTGGCGAGCTAATGCGTACGACGCTGCTGCAGTCCGAGCACGTTCCCGTTCAGCACTTCGTCGTCGTCATCATCAGGCATCTACTTAGCCCGTGACATTACCCGCCGGCGGCAGAAGCACCGTCCCGGTGCGATCAATTCTCGAGGCGTGAGAAGTATGGCTTAAGCCGTGAGACGTGCACTATATCGGTCGGGACTGAAGCTGGTACTGACGTGGTATGGAGTGGAGCTATCTCATAGGTCACGCTGGTGACCTTGCGTATGACGCGGTAGGGGCCAACGTAACGGGACATTAGTTTTTCGCTGAGACCAACACGACGTGATGGTAACCACAGCAAGACGAGTGACCCCGGAGAGTACTGTACGTCGCGGTGCCGGCGATCGTAAGCACTCTTTTGGTTAAGCTGCGAGGCACATAACGATCCCGGGCGACTTGGCGGGCGATGTCAGCTCGGGCCAGGGCATCACGAGCATAAGCAGTCGATGAGGCGGCGTCAGATTGGAGCATAGTGTCCATGGGCAAAGGCGGGTCATAACCGAACAGTAGGTAAAAAGGGGAAAATCCAGCTGTATCATGACGTGAACTGTTGTATGCGAAGGTAACGAAAGGTAAGTGGATGTCCCAATCTTTGTGATCCTTGGAGACGTACATCGCTAACATATTCGTCAAGGTACGGTTGAGGCGTTCCGTGAGGCCGTTGGTTTGTGGATGGTACGCTGTAGTGAACTTGTGGTGGGTAGAGCAGGATCGCAGGAGCTCGTCGACTACTTTAGATAGAAAACAGCTGCCGCGGTCGGTGATCAACTGACGAGGAGCACCATGACGCAGAATGATGTCATGAAGAAGGAAATCGGCTACATCAGTAGCGCAGCTGGTGGGGAGGGCGCGTGTAACGGCATACCGCGTTGCGTAGTCGGTAGCAATAGCAATCCACTTATTACCGGTGGCCGACACGGGAAAGGGTCCTAGAAGATCGAGGCCGACTCGGAAAAATGGCTCATCTGGTACTTCAATGGGCTGGAGAGTACCAGCAGGTCTCAGAGCAGGTGTCTTGCGGCGCTGGCAGAGGTCGCATGCCGCAACGTACTGTCACACAGAACGGTAGAGGCCAGGCCAAAAGAATCGGCGGCGAATGCGGTCATACGTGCGTGACACCCCTAGGTGTCCAGCGGAGGGGGCATCATGCAGCTGGGCCAAAACGTCTGAGCGAAGATGCACAGGAACAACGAGTAAAAGCTCAGCACCATCAGGGCGGGTGTTGTAGCGGTGCAAGATGTCGCTGTGAAGAACGAACAGTTGTAAGGAGTGGTCAGGGTGGGGAGAGTGCAGACCATTGATAATAGCACGCAAAGAGGGGTCGCGGCGTTGTTCAGCAGCTATGTCGGTGAAGTCAGCAATTGAAAGAACGAGGGCCTCTTGCTCATCTTCCCTCGTGTCAGGGGGATCGACTGGGTAACGGGACAAGCAGTCGGCATCCTTGTGAAGTTGTCCGGATTTATAGGATACGGAAAAAGTGTACTCTTGTAAGCGCAGCGCCCAGCGACCAAGGCGTCCCGTAGGGTCCTTGAGTGAGGAGAGCCAGCAAAGCGCATGGTGGTCCGTAATAACTGAGAATGGTTGGCCATACAGGTACGGTCGGAATTTCGCAATGGCCCAGACGAGAGCTAAGCACTCGCGTTCTGTGATGGAATAATTTTGTTCCGAGCGCGACAACAGTCGGCTTGCATACGCGACGACGCGGTGCATGCCTTGTTGCCGCTGCGCGAGCACTGCGCCTATGCCGTGGCCACTGGCGTCAGTACGAAGCTCCGTGGCGGCAGATGGGTCGAAGTGTGCTAGGACTGGTGGATTGGTGAGAATGTCAACGAGCGACGAGAAGGCGTTTGCTTGCTGTTGGCCCCAGGTGAATGCGACATCCGTTTTGAAGGAGGCAGGTTAGAGGACGGGCTACTTCAGCGAACTTCTCGAACAAAACGACGGAAATAGGAGCACAGTCCCAGAAAACTTCGGACGTCCTTGGCTGAGCGGGGTGTGGGGAAGTCGCGAACTGCTCGGACTTTCGCAGGGTCTGGTTGAACGCCCGCAGCGTTAACAAGATGGCCGAGTACGCAGATTTGGCGTTGCCCAAAGCGGCATTTGGACGAGTTAAGTTGCAAGTTGGCACTGTCGAAAAACATCAAGCACTGCGGACAGACGGGTAAGATGGTCGTCGAAAGTAGTCGAAAAAACAATAACGTCGTCAAGATAGCAGAGGCAGATGGTCCACTTCATGCCTCGAAGGAGAGAGTCCATCATGCGCTCAAATGTCGCGGGGGCATTGCATAATCCAAAAGGCATCATCTTGAACTGATAAAGTCCATCTGGAGTCACGAAGGCTGTCTTCTCTCTGTCTTTGTCGTCCACAGCGATCTGCCAGTAGCCTGAGCGAAGGTCTATTGAAGAGAAATATTTGGCACCGTGCAAGCAATCGAGTGCATCATCTATGCACGGTAGGGGATAGACATCTTTCTTGGTAATATGGTTGAGATGGCGGTAATCAACACAGAATCTCCAGCTATTGTCCTTCTTTTTAACAAGTACAACGGGTGAGGACCAGGGACTAGATGAGGGTTCGATTATGCCCTTATCAAGCATTTTATCGACTTCTCGCTGTATAATAGCACGCTCCGGGGCTGACACACGGTAGGGTCGTCGGCGAATGGGTCGAGCGTCACCGGTGTCGATGCGATGGGTTACCACAGATGTCTGGCCCAAATTACGGTCGCCGAAGTCAAAGATGTCCTGATAAGAAGCAAGCACACGGCAGAAAGCAGAGACTTGTTCAGAGGTGAGCTTGTCAGATAGCATTGGCTTGAAAAGGTCGGAACAGGAACGTGACGAGAACGACGTTGATGAAAAATCGGGTGGCGAATTGGTGGTTAGAGCGGAAACTGTGTGGTCGACCAGTGGTGTAAGATGCGCAAGTGACATGCCGCGAGGAATAACTTGCGCTGAGAGGCCGAAATTGGGGACGGGAAACGAAGTTCGGTTGTCCTTTACGGTAACCACCGTGTTGGGGATTGCAACATTACGTGTCATGGCGACGTCAGAAATCGGGGCAGCAACATAATCACCATCGGGTACTGCAGGATATGGCGAGAGTTGGACTTGGACTGCGGCTTGCGGCGGAAGTCTAAGGAAATCGACAGAGCGTAGACGAAGTGGGCTGGTAGAGACGGTCTCCGAAAAGGATGGTAGTTCGAGCTGAAGAAGACCTTTGGAACAGTCAATAAGCGCAGCGTGTGAAGTCAGAAAGTCGAGTCCAAGGATTAGGTCATGGGGGCAATTTTCCAGTACAGCGAACAGAACTGAAGTTTGATGCTCAGAAATTGTTAATCGCGCAGTGCACATTCCAAGCACAGCAGGAGTACTCCCATCCGCTGTACGAACAGTAGGTGCAATCGCAGGCGTCAGAACTTTTTGGAGGCGGCGGCGGAGGTCTGAGCTCATCACAGATATTTGTGCACCGGTATCAATAAGAGCAGTTATAGGTAAACCGTCAACGAGAATTGTAAGGAGGTTGCACCGCTGGTCGGGAGTAATCAGAGGATTTGCAGTCCAAGTCGTGTATGCAGCGTCACCTCCGGGGGCTGCACCGGCTAGTTTTCCGAGCGACGGTCGTAGGGAGACCGAGAACGGCGGGGTTGGGGCGAGCGGGACTGACGACGCACGGGCGATGGCAAGCGGCTGGTCCGACGTTCTGGATTATGCTCTGCACCTGTCTCAGCACGGTAGGACGGGGCATAAGGTGCACGTTCAGAGCGAGGCCGCCAATCATAGAAGCTCGGTCGAGGTGATGAGGTCCACCGGCTGCGGCAATGGCGAGCGATGTGTCCTATCCGATGGCACGTGAAACATATGGGCCGATCATCATGAGTGCGCCAGTCAGCTGGGTTTCGTCGTGGCGCGAACGTGCGGTTCGGAGTGGCAGCCGCAACGACTGGAGCCGAGCTGGAAGTAGTAGGGGCATTGTGATGAGGTGGCGAAATGCCCATATTCGCGATCTCTTTTCGAACCACGGCCTGTATCATTGAAACAGCACCGAGGTTGTGTCCTGGCGCGCTGACACCAGACATAGCGGGAGCCATAGCCTCGAGTTCCCGACGGACTATTCTGGTGACGTTTTCTGGCGCTGGTGGTTGGTGTAGTGTGGGCAAATCTTCGCAAGAGGACGTAGCCGCCGTGTTGGGAAGGCGGTCAAATCGGTGAACTATGCGCCTACTTTTTGCCTGTTCGAAGCGACGACATGCTTCGATGACCGACTCCACCGTCGAGCAGTCCTTGCACAGGAGAAAATTGAAGGCGTCATCCGCAATTCCTTTCAGGATGTGTCCGACTTTGTCCTCGTCGAGCATGTCCTTGTCAACCTTGCGGCACAAAGCCAACACGTCCTGGATGTACGCGATGTACGGCTCTGTGGATGTCTGGGCACGAGTCGCAAGCTCTTTCTTTGCGGCCACTTGACGTCCGATGGGTTTCCCAAATAGATAGCGCAATTTCTGCTTACAGACGTCCCAGCTAGTCAACTCTTCTTGATGTGTCTCGTACCAGAGTTTTGCCGTGCCATGCAAGTAGAAGATGATGTTCGCCAACATAAGCGTCGGACCCCAATGGTTGCTGCTGCTGACGCGCTCATATTGAACCAGCCAGTCATCGACGTCTATGCCACTTGTGCCGTTGAATGGACCTGGGTCACGAGGTTGCACCACAACGATCGGCTGCGGGGCTGACGGATCTTGTTGACATTGAGTAGCCTGGTCAGTCATCGTGGTAGCTGCAATGCGCCGTCCGCTGCGAAGATCCAGCTCGTTGGGTTGTATAGCGAGTGGTAGCCCGCACCTTCCACCAATGATGTTACGGGGAATAAAGTATACACTGGTGAACAAATGTGTACTGGCGAATATACTGGCGAGCTAATGCGTACGACGCTGCTGCAGTCCGAGCACGTTCCCGTTCAGCACTTCGTCGTCGTCATCATCAGGCATCTACTTAGCCCGTGACAATATTATGTAAATGTGAAGAAAGTAAAGTGGACAGAAAGATAAGTTGCTACTGGCAGGGACTGAACCTGCGACCTTCGAATAATGCGTCTGATGCTCTACCAGCTGACCTACAGTGGTGGTCATCCTTCCGTTTATCTTAAAAGGCACATGAGTGCATTTGAACGTGGGTGTGTCAGTGAGCGCCGGTAGTGGCCATATGTTGTGATTGTTCATAGTCTTTGTTTGCTTACTTCTCAGTTCATCTTCTCTGAGCTGAACAGGAGCCACGAAGTTGTCAAGCTGGTCTCAACCAGCCTGGCGACGTGCCACCGCGATGCTGTGAAACTGGCCAACGGCAAGTCGGCCCTGCCCCTCGTGCTGGTTGACGGCATCTATTCGCATAAAGAGGTGAGTGGTGAAGTCACAATGCTTCCTTTGATCGCACCAGCAGATATTGTTGTTGCAGGCATGTCTGCGCAAGTTCAGTCGGCAATGTTGGGTTAAACCTTCGAGGGTTCTCTCATAAAAACATCGCCAAAAATGGAGGACAAGAGAAAGAAGGAAACAGACAGCGGTGCTGACATAAAAGATTCATTTGCTGAAACTGCGCAATGTATACTTAAGCAGTATCTTACAAATATATGAGTATTGTTTCAGCTAATAAATCTTGTGAGCCAGCGCTGCTGTCTGTCTCCTTCTTTTTCTTGTCCTCCGTTTATGGCGCCGTTTTTATGTGAATTATGTCAAACCAACTCGCCCGATCAACACTTTAGCTAATTTGAGGGTTGTTGCTGTACATGTATGATGGTTTGCTTGTGTCCCGCAAGATCTTTTCCATGTGGGTACATTTTCCGCCCTCCATTTGAAGCTTCATGCCATAATGGCGACGCATGCTCTCTGGGAGGTGCTGCCACCTCCCAGTGCGATATGTGCTGAAGTGGTTGTGCTACTTTCTTCAGGGGATAAGCAGAACTTACTTCTAACTTGAGCATGTCGGGCCGGTCTGCGGCAATGCTGAAGGCCGTCATCCTTTCGTGGTTTTGGTTTCACCGCGTAGTCGCTACGTTGGCACGAATCCTGATTTTTATCTGATCGGCACTTCCTGGCAGGGGCAGGGAAAGTTTATCCTTATTATTAGTGCTGCTTTTAGCTTGTTTATTGCTGATGCTCACAAAGTAGTCTCGTTCTTCCTGTTTACCGAGTTTACATGTAATCATCTCAAGGCTGCCGCACATAGAGAAGATGTGTGTGTGCCAACACATCTCGTCGCTCCTAGAGGAGAAAGGAGACATGTTTGATGTGTGCAGACTGGGCACGGTGCATAGACATGTGCTTAAAGGAACACCATGCTGTGGAATACTTTGCGCTGTGCAGGTTAGTTGGGTTATTACAAAAATGTTCATTTTTCTTTATAATATGCGATATATACACTATTCAAATTCAATTCGAAATGATCCGACCAAATCACTATTCATTTTCGGTTTGAACCTTTAATTTGCATTCACACACGCCTTCAGATTACGTTTTACAATTACACATCATTGCATCAAAATTGAAGGGGCACCGCAGGTGGCTCGTTACTGCCAATACGTCGTTTTAGCCACAATGGGCATTGACTGCTAATACACACTGTACCTACCCAAAACAAACAGCGGGCAAAATAGCATCTCACCGCACAGTGGTGCACGGCATAAAAACTGTATTCAGGAGGTAGAAAGGAAAGTTGTGTACCTACTTTATTGCAGTTCTAAACACTTAATCGTGCTTCAAATAGACATGCCATGTTTCCTCGCATATAAATTGCACCAGAAAACTGGAAAATTTAAAGTTTGCTTATAAAGTGTGGGTGCTGGTTATATGCACAGGACTCATATGCACATTTTTTTTTTTTTCTTTTGGAGAGACGAAAGGTAAGGTTGTGGTTATATGTGAGAAAATACGGTAGCTGCAAACAAAGTCTGAAATTGGACGTTTAGCACCTTCCTGGTGCATGCGACGGCCCGCTCAGCAGCAGCTGCATGTCCATGCCATCATTATGCTGAAAATTCTGTTACATTAAAAAAATTTATTCATTTTATTCCACCACAAGCAAGTTTAATTCGTTAAACCAAGGTTTTAACTATGTTGATTTCTACGAGGACTTCGAATTGGAATTATAATGTTCTATAACATTCATTGTTTTACTATAGCCCGTCTCATTTTAACTAAGTTTAACTGTATTTTTTTACTCATTTGATTATCAGAAAATATGTTCCTGAAGTTTTTCAGTGTGAATTCTTGATTGTGACTTCATGGAGATCTCTAATAAGATGATTGTCGCCAAATTTATTAGAGAAGAATTGGTGGCAGATTGTCCCATTGAACCATTGTTTGTCATTTTTTTTTCCTCTCGAGCTCACACCTTGTGCAAAGAAGTGAATGGATGCAAGCTTGTTGGTACAGATCTATGTGAAAAAAGCAGCACTAAATCAAACACAAACTAAAATACATCACACCAAGATGAGCGCTGAAACTAAGAAACACCACACGAGGACATTGCCCATCCTCATGTGGCATTTCTTAATGCATGTGAGTTATCGCTGCTTATTAATATGGATCCTGACCTCACGGGCGGCTTTATCTTTTCTCTATCCTCTGCTGTTTTTGTGGGTGGCCGATAGTAAGCCACTTCAGACAAAGGGTGCCTTAATGAGCACTCTCTCCGCGTTAGGGCAAGGATATCTGCGACACCTACTGCGATGCGGCTGCTATAATTGTGCTCGGGGCATCTCACCACTCTACAACGATGCTGCTGAGAGTTGTGGGACGCTGGCCAAAAAAAAAAAAAAAAAAAAATGCGGCATGGCGGATTCAGCCCCTTCAAAGAATAGTAACGCTTTAAGGTGTGTGAGCGTCGAAGCACACTACCACACACGCCCTCCTTCTAGTGGCAATCATGAATTCCATAGAGTTACTTATAAATACACTAGAGGGAACTCTGGCGCTGGTGCCTATGGAAACTGCAATGCACGGTGCTTCAGCGAGCATGGCAATGATGAGTAGTACACAACTTTGTCTAATTTTCCTACCTTTGGCTCTGGTTAGCTTCGCGTGGCTTGAAATTGCTTTGTCACGAAGCGAGAATCGGCCAATATTCAGCAGTTGTGCTTCACCACCTTAACCCTTTTAAGCTCACCAATTTAAAGCAGGTTACGAAGTTCACAAATGTTCATTCTTTTATTCGTAACAAAACCAAAACATGGGAATAAACAAAGCCGCAAGCGCATTCAATGCTCGCAAGCACAAAAACTAGGCAAATTATGTACCACCCATCATTCTCATGCTCGCTGAGCACCACTAGTTCATTTTAGGAAACTTTCTGATGAATTCTAATAATTTTCATTAGTGACACCTTACGGTTGCCCTATCATAAAAGTCTTTAGACTTGTTTATGGATTTGATGACTAGCTAAGGGACACTGCCCACTCAGTGCGTCTCTCTCTTGTTGACCGCAGCACGTGATGGCGCACCTAGACTTCCTCCAGTTCCTCCTTAAGGACGGATCCCAGTACCTGCCTTGGAATCGGGCCAGGGAAATCTGGGACACGCTAGTCACCAATCCGGATGCCTGTAGCTCAGACCGAGAGGTGAGATTTCGATTGCAGCGTTTATGGCGCTCGACTGCTGACTTGAAGGTCGTGGGATCGTATCTCGGCTGCAGCGGCGGCATTTTCGATGGAGGCGGAAATGTTTGAGGCCCGGGTGTTTATATTTTTGGTGCACAGTATAGAAGCGCAGGTGGCCATCATTTCCGGAACCCTCCACTGCAGCGTCTCTCATAACCATATCATGGTTTTGGGGACGTTAAACCCTAGATATTGTTATTTTTTTATTTTTAGATTTTGACCGATATTTCGCAGGCAGCCTCAAGGCAGCAAGTTTTATGATGATCAACCTGGCTAGCCGTAGCATCTGTTCAGTAAAGCAGTTGCATTGAAGAAAATGTTAGTTGCATTGAATGATGTTTATTAGCCTCTAGAACATGTCACGTTGGTTGATGTTCGTGAGTAACTGGATTGTTAGCAACAATTCCCAGCATTTGTTAACTGACAGAATTTTAGCTGCATCAGAGCAGTGCCCGCCCGCATCAGCATGCCATCTTTTATTAATGTCGTGAATTTTGTGCTTGCTATTCCGTGCGGGCAAAGTTGAAAAAAAAAAAAAAAAAAACGTCTTGTCACTTTCGTGTAGTACAGCAGTGCAGTACAATGTATGCTAAGATAGCCGAAAATTGACAAGATTCAAGAACATTTCACAATCCGCCCATGGGTATTCTCAGTATGGCAGTTAGACACTGCTTTCAAGGGTAAGACAGAGGCATACATGTCATAAAAAGTTCATAGCCTCGTTTCGGAAAAAAAAAACAACTAGCAAAACATTTCACTTTGGTTCGTTCGATAACTTTCATTATACCATTACAAGACTCTCTCAATTAATAATTGTGTTATATTTATCTTGCGTTTGGAATTCTTCTAACACTGCCGGATAGTTGGTCTGCTGTATTAGTAGGAGATGGCTTTCAAAGAAAGGCGTGATGTGGGAGCTGCTTGGTCTTGTTACGTGTGCTCGCAGATGTGCTTCGAGTGGTTTGAAAAGTGCCTTCCAGACCTCGAATCCGAGACCCAGTCTCTGCTGTTTCAACACAAGTTACTCAAGATGGAGCCCTCCCAAGTCAGCTCGAAAGGTCAGTCTTCTGGGCTGCCATCAAAAGTGTCAAATGGTTTTCTAAGAAGTTTGAGAAATAAACTGAAAAGAAAAATCAGCTGAGTCGGTATTTACCCATCTGATAAATCTTAATTAATTAATTAATTAAATGTGGGTCTTACCCTGTATGGATTATTGTTAAGCAGGTGAAGACTCAAAAACTAAAATATGGTGGTGCTATTTCAAGATTTTGCACAAGCTCACCATTGTGGCCTAATTAATTTTTTTTCATCGGCAGCAGCATACTACATTGTACGTACTAAGATAGCCAAGAATCGACTATGACCTAATTAAATTTTTATCAGCGGTGTAGTACAATGTATGCTAAGATAGCCAAAAATACACAAGATTCTAGAACATTTCACAATGTGCAGTAATGACTGCATGAAAAGATACATACCACGTTGAGATCTGCGTTATTCAACAGACATTCAGGTTGTAGTGGACTCAGATTTGGGTGCACGTTAAAGAACGTTAGGTGGTCGCAGTTTCTGGAGCCCTCCACTACGGCATCATATGGGGGTTTAGGGATGTTAAACCTCACATATCAAACTATCAACATTCGGGTTATAGGACTCTAATGCCAAATCTGAAGAAATTAAGCTTGATGGGGTTATCTGTTCTTAAAAAATAAACTGGTTATCATGATATTAAACATGTGTTTTTAAATAGGTAATCATTTTAAATTGTTGTGATTGCTTTGTATTGTTTTCATGGTGCAAAAACACTTTCTCTTCTGTCATAATCTTGAGCTATCGTTTTAGGGCTCAGCTGTTGCAGCCACATCAGGCTTTCATTCCATTTTCCCACACCTTTAAAACTGGAGTTAAAAAGCACTAAAGAGAAATGACTGCTTGGCTTAAATTCATAAACTGCACTCTGAGAGCTCTAACGCCATATGTTTCGCTATGACAAGTTCATTATTTGCACCGGAAATCGAGGTCAAGTTTCATGTTTGAATTTTGTACTGAAATCTCCTCCGTGCGTGATGTCACGAATTTCTCTAACTGTATTTTTCGTATTTTCGTGACATTAGCTCGACGAAATTTTCTGAACTTCCTTTGCTAGATCAAAGGCACCGACGGGTGACAATGTACTTCATTTTAACTGATTAGAAACTGCGTTGAATCCAGAAGATGTTATCAAAACCTATGACGTTGCGATGTTTGGTGCGGAGAATCTTAAGGTGGCGTCTCCACCTGCATTTTTTTTTTTTCGCGCACAGGTCTTGAGGTAAGAGGGGTGTTTTTGGTATTGTGATATTGTGCACTACTAATACGCAAACAATAATTTTTCTCTTTAGTGTTAAACCCTTTAATGACCACCGCTTGTAACACAAAAGTTGGTCTTGCCAATGCTAAATTTAAGAAGTTTGTGTGCTGGCATATAGAGTACTGTTTACAGGATGTGGGACTTCTCGTTTCAGCTTTTTCATGTTTCAAGACCTACTTCGAGCACGTCAACATCCATGAGAGTAAACTCAAGAAGCGGCCTGGTGTCTTGGTCAGTTTTGGTTTTGCTTTGTTTCATTTTCCGGTTAGTAGGAGTATCTCAGGCTCAGTTTCAACGCAGCTCTTTTTTTGTGTGTAATAGAATCGTGGCGACACATCACAGAAGTTGTCTACGGTGTTTTATAAGGCATATTTGAGGAAACCAATGTTTTTTTAAGCCCTTATAAACGCGGTGATTTGGATAAAACAGAAAGGGTAAACATTCGCTTATGTGATGAAACATTAAGAGGTACCATCAAGCAGTTTTCACTAAAATGCTGCGAAACACTGGCAGTGTTACTGATAAGTTGCTGAAGTTCTTCATTGTCTGAGGAGCTATTATCAATGGCTGGTGTTAATGTACAATCACTGTACAAATTACTGACATGACTGAAGTAGCGAGTGTAACTGTTCTTGCTATAAAAGTGTAAAAAATATATTGAGCTACATAAAATCTGAGCTTCAATTTTTACATATCACTTAAATTTTTTAAGTGCCAGATGTTTTGAATGTGCAATCTTTGCGTAGCCACAGTATATTGCAAAATACTAATTTTTCTTTGTGTGTGTACGAAAGCGGGATAGTGTCACCTTACCGTGGTCTGTTGAAATAAGGCAAACAGCACATAGAGAACTCTCTCCGAACCTTTTGAATTGTAAATGAATTGTGAACTGCAGCAAAGGGATTCATTCCATTGTCATTCTAGATGCAAGCTTTCACTGTTTCAAAAAGTTTGCACAGGTCCAGAGATGGAACAAGAGGCTACCAAATTTCTAGGACAGTCACTGTGGTACAAGCGCTAAACAGCAAACTTGAAAATAAACAAAGTGTCCAATTAACTGACGTAGCTTGAGCTCTGAACTCCAGAAGCAGAGATACATACTGCAGTGTGATAGTAATAGTGTGATAATTCATTTAACCTATTTTATACCAGCATTAATTTTTGTGTTTATGAACAAAGGTGAAAATCCTTCAAGCTTCCCATGTTTGTTGATCCTACAGATAGTGGAGAAGCTGGAGCTGTCCGGAATCGACTTCCTGTGGCAGATTTCGCTGGCCGCACCCGAAGAGGAGATTGCCGAGATGGCCATCGACTTCATCCTCGACCTCTCCTACAAGTACCTGTCGCCTAGGCTCAAAAAGGTGCGCCCCGCACAATTCAGCAGTTGTACTTTCGCAACGTCTGTCCCCACAAGTTGCGGAGCATACAGTGTGTATTTGCAGAGTGTATTGTAATGTTGTTTGTTAGGAAATAAAACTCTGCGCATGTGCCTGCAAAAACTGAGTAACAGTGAAAACAAGTTGACAGCATCAAACATAGTTATCGGTCATTGAAATATGGACTATGAATAAAACTTATTGGCATTTTGTACTTCTGGTACACGTTGGCATAGTCACTGGTATTCACGCGTGTTCCAGGATGTACACCAGGCAGCAAAAGTTCACGGGGTGTTGGCTCCTCTTCATATGCAAATTTCGGTTCTGTTAATGCATGATGCCTCCGAAGTAGTGAATAACTGCACAGGTCACATGAAATACTGCTTGCTAGAACATTTAATTTGAGGCTGTGTTCCCAGGTTAAGCAGGAATGGTACTGCTTTCACAAAAATTCTGCATCACAAAAACTTTTCTTGGAGAGCTATGTCATTACACAATTGCATCACATGACCTTGTTTGATGGAGATGCTTTTGATATAGGAACAGTGACAACAGTTTCGAGATGGAATGGCATGTTTTGTGCTCAACGATAAATTCGTGACATTATTTTGCCAGGGAATAAGACCGAACGCCACAACATTTCTTTGTCATGTGCCCTGATGCAGAATAGCCTGCACCATTTTTTCTTATGTCAGTTATTCAAACAATAAAAGCAAGGGAACACATTCATTTTTTGCAGTAGTCATCGTAATGAAGTTATTGTTATAGGTACTCGACTTATTTTTCACTTGACAACACTCTTTTGTGGCCCAGAAGGCGCGATGCTCAAGTGCATTTTTTTGTTCTCTTTTTGCAGGACGTTGTATCTCTTCATCACCGCTTCATCAATGAGTGCTACAACAGGCTGAAGGTATTTTCATCCTTTTTCCGCAGGCTTACCTCCACTGTGTAAGCTGCTTTCACTTCATTGATTATTTCATGGCCGGTGACTCAGTCACATGCATATATAAAAAAATGCTCTGGGCCTGATATCCAGATATTTTCTTACATGACAGCAGTCTCTGACAGATTATGGAGTTCAATTATAGAGGTGTAAAGACACAATTATGAAATCACATGAAAGTGAGTTACTGTACATTGCCGACTATAAGTCTACATTATTATTAATATTTTTTTTCATAAAATGGTCTTTCAATGTTCGGGGGCCGACCTACACAGTTGCCAACTGTTTGTCCAGACTTCGAATATTTGAACGTGCTCATTTATTCAGACACCATCACGGCCCCGCCACTTGCCCCATTGAACCTAATGTAAACTTGTGACTAATAATTCGGACGACCCACAGCGCCGTTCGATTTTTCAGACTCGTGATCGGTTTGATGCTGGGGCGCGTACGTAAGCCATGACGTGCTATCAGTGATGTTTACAATAGGTTTGCTAGGTTGCCGACACTGTAATGTTGAACCAGCCATGATGGACGTCAAGCCAGTGCCAAAATACACGCAGAAAGGACAATCTCGAAGGCTATGTTTGGCGCCACGTCCTCTTGGCTTTAGCTAGTCATGTGGTCATTGAATGCCTACTGAAGCCAAGCCAAGTTAAGTTGAGAATGGACACGTGACTCAATATGTTTTTCTTTTGCGGCTAGGCCTGGTGCGGCTCTCGTGCTCAGTGTTTCGCTCTCTTGTGTGTTTCTTCGGCATGCAAGCTGCTGAAATGGCTTCAACGCCGCCTGTTTTTGAGCCGTCGGGACTACAGAAGAAGCGCATCCAATGTAGCAGCAGAAGACGCTCACGATTGCACTGCTACATGTCGTTCCTTTCGCCGACCAAAGTTTGAGGATACCTTGAGAATGAGAACGTGGTTCAAGGTTTGGTTCATGACCAGAAAAGCAAAAGCTTGTGTGTTTTCTGTGATGATATTGAAGCGAAAGCATGTACTGTCATGAAGGATAAATGTATCCTGCTAACCGAGTTTAATGTATCAAAGAAATGGGCCACGAACTTTATGAAATGGAACGGCCTGGGCCTAAGACGATGCCTACGAAGAAAAACTGCGTGTTTATTCGCTACGTGAGTGACCTGAAGGCAAAGCATTTATTTCTGCTAGGTCAAATCTGGCATGCCGTCCAGACTCTCGTCTGGTTTGACATGCCTAGCAAGAGGACTGTGTCCACAAAAAGGGAGCGCCAGTTTCGCCTGCTCACAATGGGCAATGCACACAATTGTGTCACTGTCATGCGCTGTACAGCCGACGGCATAAGTGACCCTCATTTCTTCTAGTTCGAAAAGAAAACTATGCCAAAAAACAAAAATTTTCGCGGAAAGTTATTGTGCGGGGGTACGAAAAGCGTTTTTTTAAATGATGAAACGCTCCTCGAATGGCATCGTGTACTGTGGTGCAGGTGCCCTAGTGCACTGCTGAAGGTCTGCAGCAAGCTCATGCTGGACTCCTTTCACGGTCATATCACAGATCGAGTGAAAAAAAGCGTAGCGGACTCTGGGTGTGATCTGGTCATCATTCCGGGCGGGCTGACAGATATTAGTCCAGCTACTAGACGTGGCGCTCAATAATCCTTTCAAAGACCATATGTGTGCATTCTACAATGAATGGCTCCAACAAGAAAACCCCAAGACACGGACAGGAAAGCCGAAGTGCTCCTCTTTGAGCGAAGTGGCACAATGAGTTAATGATGCCTGATATGGGCTGCCAGCCGGCATGGTCTGCGCGATGTTTTCCACGTGCGGCATCTCAGTACCGACGGCAAGCCGCAGCAGTGGCTCACACTATGGCAATGACCGTGACTGCTGCATCCTTCTATCAAGCGACGACGAGTCGTAAGCGATGTCTTGTGGTCAAATAGATGTTGCTTTGCGTAACTCCCTCTTCTGAAAGACTTACTGGTGTGCTATAGCTACAGCATGAGGCTGTGTTTGGAGTAAACTTTCTTTCTTTTTTTTTTTTTTTTTGCCTAGAAAGGGTTGCAAGTTGTGGATATGTCATCCACAAAAAGTGTGGGCTTTGGGCAAACATGAAAAAAAAAAAGGTTGCTGTTCTTCTCTTTTCTTAAGGGGAGATGCGAGTCGAAAAATCGCGTTTTTAGCGAAATTTCTCGTATTTCTGATTTTTATTGCATTGTAATCTTCAAACCTTCTTCTTTCATCTGTGAAAATTTCAAAAATAAATTCGAACCGCAAAATGCAAAAAAATGTGTATGAAGGCATCGCGGTGGCTCAAAATTTCGTGAATTTGCGCCGATATTGGCCATCTTTGACTGCGCGCTGCTCCCCGTCGCAGTGCCGCCCGCCATCGCGATCGGTTGGGAAAGTTGCGTCCGGCCTCCTTCTTACAGCTCCAACGACCGCCAGTTTCGTACGTGGGCAAAAAACAAAACGAGGCCTTTTTATCACGTGGTTTGAGCGGTTTGAAACGCGCGGCACCCTAAGCCGCATCGCCATTGGCTACCGAGTCATTGTCAGCTGTGTTGGTGGCGGCCATCGGCATTTGGTTCGTCTGCTTTTCTGCGCGTCTACGCATATTTCCGCGATGACAAGCCCGAAAAAGTGCAACGTGAGACTGCAGAAGTTTCGAACGAAGCACAAGTTCAAGGGAAGGCGGCGTAAAGCGCCCTGAACGACGGCGACGAACGAGAACGCGCCTACGTGTGCTAGGCCTGACGGCGGCATCGACGAGTGCGCGAGCGACAGTGGCTGCGATGAAGGGATTGACGCTGCGCTTTCTTTCGTCAGGGCTTCGGAAAAGAAGCTCGGCTTCTTCGAAAAAGAGGAAAGACAGCGCGATGAGGTTTGTGCAACGACAGTTTTGTGCGACACCCTCTTGCTGACAGCACTTCTGGCAGGTGCGGCATGCCCTGCTTGCGGTATTCAAAAACTTGCCGTTCGGGAGCCGGCAGAAAAGCGCAAGGAACTTTCGTCGCTCCTCGAACTTCATTGCGAAAACAGCGAATGCTCAGCGACTCCTCGAACTTCATTGCGAAAACAGCGAATGCTCAGCGACTGTTCTTTCGTGCTCCTATACGTCACTGCGTGTTACGGCGGACGGCAGCAGCCGAGTGAGCCAACGGTACGACAGTGGGAGCTCCCGAGATAGTTTCGCTGTAAATGTGAAGGCGGTGGTGGCTGCACGCGCTGTCGGCATTGGGCATGAGCAATTGCCGAGATTTTCGAGTGATTGGACTCCCAAAGCCAATGCACCACCGAGGATTTTTTTCGATAGCAAAGAAGGTGCACACCGCTGCCATGGCAGCTGTGAGTGAAAACTTGTGCCGATCCAGAGAGTTGACGAAAGAAGTAGCAGGCGAAACTGATGTGGCTGTTATGTTCGACGGCACTTGGCAGAAGAGGGGCCACAAAAGCCACAACGGGATTGGCGCAGTTATCTCCTTAGATACTGGCCTCTGCTTAGACTTCGAGGTCATATCAAATTACTGCTTGACATGCAGTAGGCACAAGGATATGGGCCCAGACGAGGAAGTGTGGCACGCATTCCATGGCCCAGTCTGTGAAAAAAATGCAGGCTGTTCCTCCCATGCCATGGAAATGGAGGCTGCAATGCGTATTTGGCAGAGAACATTGACTTATGACACCCCACTGCATTTCATGACATTCTTGAGTGACGGTGACAGCAAAGCATATAGTGCAGTTGCAGAGTCAAAAGTCTATGGTGCTGTCAATATAGAAAAAGAAGACTGCACTAATCATGTGGCCAAGAGACTTGGCACCGCGCTACGGAAGCTGCATGTGCCATTACCACGAGGGCAGAAAATGTGAGCCAGCCATTCAGAAGCTCCAAACATACTATCAGATTGCCATAACAAGCAACAGGGGGAGTGTACGGGATATGTACACTGCAGTATAGGCTTCGTACTTCCACTCATGCTCTACTGACAATGCTGGCAGCCACAAGTTTTGCCCTGCAGGAACAGAGTCGTGGTGCAAACATCAACGCGCTGAAGCACTTGGTGAACCTGCACCACGCCACACACCTCTCCTGACAAAAGCACAGGGATTGGCTGTTTTGCCCATTTATAAGCGGCTAACGGATGAGAAGCTCCTTGCTCGATTCATCAAAGGGAAAACCCAGAACGCATCGGAATCCCTGAACAGCGAAATTTGGCTACTTTGCCCCAAGACTAAGTTTGTCTCCCGAAAAGTTGTCGGGACTGCCGCAGCTATGGCAATCCTGTGGTTCAACAAGGGTCATGCTACTTTCGAGCACATCCTGGAAGAGCTCAACATACTGCCATCTAGAGATCTAGTTACTTTCAGTGATTCCCGTGATGCGAGGCGCATCAAGAGAATGTTCGAGCGTCTGACAGCAGAAGCAAGGGCCTACCGTCGTCGTGGAGTGAAAAGGGCACGGCTAGAAGAGAGTGCTCGCAAAGACTGTGAGGGCACAATCTATGCTGCAGGACAGTTCTAGTAACTTGCAGTGATTTTCAAAGTTCTGTTGAACATTATGGCCAAAGATTATGCATTTCTAACAACTCTGTGATAAAAAAAAAAAGGTTTCAAACTTTCAAATGCGTTTTTCTCCTTTTGCAGTTTTGTGTGATCTGTGCTTCTTATACACGCTAGTTCGTATACTTAGAATTGTCATACCTCTATGAAATTTTGCACATAGCATGATGAAGGCCCATAGAGTGCAAGTATCTATTCAGATTGTCAGTGCTGCTTGATTATGTTTTTCAAAAATTACATAACATTGAAAACCCTTGGCAACTAGAGCCATAGTAAATTTTTCTATTTTATTATTGTATTTCATCTTTTTAACCACAAAATTTATATAGTTTTTTGCACTCTACAGTTCCAAAGGATCATAGTCAGCTATATCTGCATGCTTTATCTCAAATTTTTATAGGTCACAATTGTTGCATAACAATGGCCATAATTTTGCAGTATCTGACCTGCAGAAAGAAAACCAAGCAATCTACATGAAAATAAATGACATATTTGAAAAGAGGAGAAAAAACTCTATTAGCATGCCAATTAGTGTTAAATTCAGACTCTTATTGAAGAAAAATCGTTTTTCGAGTAGCATCTCCCCTTAAAGAAGCATTATAAGGGCAAGTAACATTATGGGCTACACTGTTCTGCAGTCTCGAAAGTGTTTGAACGTCGTCCTGCATCTCTTTGTTGCTCCATTTCAAAAAGGGTGCTCCCATCAGTGTATTGAAGAGTGGGCCCCTTTTTATTTATGGAATCACCTATATACCTCATTTTAAAAAGTGCAAGCCGAGTCTAGTGGCTTGAGTGGGACTTGAACAATGTCTGACTTTTGCTGTTTTTAGTGTGCGGCTGTAAAGTTCAAAATTGGTTCATTTTCTTTTTTAGGCACAGCTGTGGCATTGTAAGTATAAATGCGCTGAAGCAAGAGCTGCATGTTCTGCTCAGCCTTGAGTTGTTGGTTGAGACTACTAGTTAGTTTTGCAACTGCTGGACTGCTATTCGGTTTCTAAACGAGTCCGATATCTGGTGAAAGGTTTGTAGCCACTACAGAGTGGCTCGCATATTTGCAATGGTGTGTATACGTTGCTGGTGCAAGGTCAACAGGTAATTGATTTTTAATGCCTCCCCATCCTCTGCTGAAGCAAACTGTGCCAAAAAAAATATATATATGCTTGCTGTGCCACTCATGTCCATGTCATCTAAACACAGAAGCTTGCAACAGTAGATAGAACACAAGTCTCTATGTCTTGCATTAGCAAAGCAGCTATGGTTAACTATTCAAAAGAAAGCATACAAATAGAAACATATTCACTCACGAAGACGCATGGATTCTCTGAGTATACTAGTGCAAATGAGTGCTGGGTTGTAATGAATACTTGGGGTCGCTTTATTTTTCATCTGCAGATGCATTACTGCATCTTTAAGAAGGCCACAGGAAGAAGATTGGTAGCCTTCGCATGAAGCCCAAACCCCATAAGCGCGAAAATGCACGCGACAGCGACGAGCGACGCGACGTAGATCGGCGTCGCGCTATCAGTCGCTAGCGCAGGCAAACCTCATTCACGCGACGGCTTCGGCGAGCGAATTCCCCTGTTGCTGGCATGAGGCCGTCAACTCGCACCAAGAAAACCGCGTAGCGAGCGGTTTCCAATTTAAAAATAAGATATATTGTTGTGTAATGGAACGGAAAGTGTTTATTATTGCCTTGCAGCATTCTTTATATGCGCATGCGTAATAAACATTGCGTTATTTCTTGTTGCGCATACGTGACTCGGGCAGGGTCACGTGCACCTATGTAGTCTTCGTCTTTTCCGGTTTTTCGCTATTGGCTGCTTGAACCCAGCACTTCCGGGCGATGAGCGACGGTTTCCAAATCTGGAGAACCGAGCGATCGCGCGAAAACGAGCACGCGACACGTCGCGCGAACGCCCTGTTTCGTCGCTCATAGCGTCGCTCGTCGCTGTCGCGTGCATTTTCGCGCTTATGGAGTTTGGGCTTGATGCAGAAACAGCTCAGAGAAAGAACATATTGCAGAGTTCATTGATCTCAAGGATGGCAAAGAAACTAAAACACTTCCTGGCTTATAGTTTCTGCTAGCCCACTTAACTGTTTAAAGGAAATGGTATCACAACTGCCTTCTCCAGGGAATACATACAGTGGACTCCTCTTAAACAAAACTCGAAGGGGCAAGAACATTTGTTCCATTTATGAGAAGTTTCATTTAAGCAAAGCCCACAAAACGAATAAAATATGACTTCATTTCAAAAGCACCAACTGTGGCTGACAGAACAAAAACATTTTGAAGTATACAAAACTACTATAGTCGATTAAAAAGAAAAATGTTGCTAATATTGCTTACAAATATCTACGTTTACAGCCGCACTTTCTCCAGAATCTACCTTAAAGACAACACCATGCCGCTTTTTAAAATGGCTCAGACAGCTATCGCTCACCCGCAAGTGCTCAATACCCATGCGAGTAGCAATCTATTTAGCCTTCTCTTCGAAAATGGGGCTGCTAATCAGGAAGTTTGCACTGCGCGCACACTTGAATCAGAGAAAAAGAGCATCTTCAATTTTTTTGTATGCCGCCGTTCTCATCGGCATTCTGTCCGTGGCAAAGTTCCCAAGCTTTGCCAGCTTTTTCAATATTCTCTTTGTTCTTGAGTATCCTCAACAGTGTAGACTTAAGGAATATTGAACTTCTTCACAATTTCTGTCTTCGATAGATCGTTGCGGTCAAGTTCTTGAATGATTTTTACTTTCGTTGCGAGCAAAAGTGCAATGCGCTGCCGTTTTTTGTTTCCATCTCAAGTTCACGACGAGACGGAAAGGAAAAATATGGAAACAAGATGGATCATTTGCTGCTCGGTGTGCGCAGACATGTGTAATCGCTGGATTGGCTTGGCTAAACTAGCTTCGGCATTTTTTTTTTATGGTTGCTAGACTGCCGTGGCCACCTTGCGCCATTCATGGATTTTGCCCGTTTTTGTTTCATTTAACCGATGTAAGTGCAAAAAACTTCGATTACTCGAAACTTATCATTAAACATATAGGAGACCAACCAAATGTGCCTTGATAGTTTCGTTTATGCGGCTTTTCCGTTTAAGCGAGTTTCATTTAATGGGAGTCCACTGTAATGCCCAAACACAATCTTAGACAGAAATGAAATTCAAGTTGCAGTGTGGCCATGGACATGATAGGGAATAGTCTGCTAAAAATGTTTTATGTTGATTGGGCACGCATAAAAGAGTTTTACTTCCTATACAAACTCTTGGGTGGTGGGGGGAACAACGGGTGACTGGGGGCGTAAATGTGAACAGTCTAGCTAATGATGCCAGACGAAAGCAAAGAGCTGAAAGAAACGAACACAGCTATTACTGCTGTATTTAAACATGCATTTATGCAGTGCTAGGATAGATTTTTAGCGGTGAAACAATTGTGAACATGCTGTCATTTTAAACCTGTTTTAACTGATAACACTTGTCTAGCGTAAAAGCCATGCCTGCGATTGCAAGTAGACGAAGCTTCACGAAATGTCGCTATCACCACCACCCAGTGCTCTAGTGCTCCGTTAACCCTCTGTGTAGTGCACTGAGGTACCGGTGTTCTGCTTACACCTATATGTACTCTGGAATCATGGTGTTCTGCTGGCACCCTTGCTTATACTCGAATACTGACGTTCTTTTAACACTTTTGTGTACACTGAAATATTGGACATGCGAAGTCTCTCAAATAAAAATTTCAAGACATATGTGGGACATGGCTTTGTGTTGACTGTCATCTCATGAATTATACACAGGCAGTGGCAGAAACCATTGGGGACACTGCCATGACAACGGCCGTGTCCAATGCCACCAAGACGTTGACCGCTATGGCGGTGTCAGAGGCCATATCCTTGTCTTTGCCAAAACGGTGAGATTCATTCGTGGTGGTTCAGTGCCGGTTGATTACCGTATTTCTGCACACGTAGCCCACTCCTGGTTATGATATCACTACTGTATTGCAGTCCTTGCAAGAAAAAGAAAAGAAGGGGCAAGTGCAGATTCAGTCACAGATCCTGTTACATATTCTAAATATAAATTTCTTTAAACAAGTACTAACTTCCAGTACTAAGAACAATCAATATCCATCTTTTTCCAAGAGTTACATGTGTACTCAAACTTTAGCTGACCTGTGAGGTTCGTGTGCTACGTGACTCCATCTGGCAAGAAACGTGTTCCACACTCACCAGTCGTAGCTGTTAGCGGTGCTAACACACCCAAATTTCATGCCCGTATATACCCGATAATGCGGATGAGGGGACGACCGTAGCCATAGGTCAGTCGGTAAAAATGATAGAGCACGTAATCTGTATGCAGGTTCAAGCCCTGCTTGTAGCAAGTCGTCTTTCCATTTACTACAAGTGTAGAAGCTTGGGCTACTCAGCCTTGGTTCATGATTCGTCCTTTTTACTTCCTTAACATCTATATCACAGTACAATTAATACTCCTTTTACCTTTCTCGGCTTTGTTACCTGCTGGTTTTTATTGAAACTATCCCACATGATGCAGTCAAATGTAGCATAGGAAAAGTCCAGGTTTTACAAGAGGAAGGAGGGATAACTGGAGTAATGAATACAGTGGAGAAAGCAAGGCGAAGGAAAGGTGCGAGTCTACAGCTATCAGAATTGCTGCGTATTTTTTGGGTGCAGGACCAACAGGTCGCAAAACATCTGCCGTCTGTTACACCTGGCGGAGCGGTACATCTCATCCATCGAAGGACAGCACTCGGTGCCGAGGGTAATTCTGCCTCACGGTGCGTCTTTCTACGGCTTTCCGGTCACCCTGTGCATCGTAAGTGACACCATCAAGGACACCGTCAAGATACGGGTGAGCATCAGTGCCACTGCTTTACAAACTGTGCTTATATATACTGCGTCCGTGAGGTTTGACTGTCCAGTTTTGTGGTGTAATGTTGAGGAGTTGAAACTCATTGTTGTTGGTCACTTAAAAAGTAAGGAAGGTCTTGAGCACCTCCCATCTGAACATTCTGAGAAGTTGAACTTCCAGAGAAATGTGTCTGCACGGTGCTAACTGTTGTCAAAACATTTACGCTGCTGGCTTTTTTGTTAGTTGAATATTTCCCATGGCATATCAAAGCGTTTGATAAGCAAGGGTGTCATTGAGTAGAATAAATTCTCTATTGCTCTAGTGTGTAAAAGTATACTTGTTGCCTGCGGTGGCTTGGGCCTACCTGCCATGGCCAGAGCAGATACTCTAAAGTTAGGCAATCTGTTGTCAGATAAAGGGTTGCAAAGGCCTTGTCTCAAAGTGTCTGTGCAACAAAGGAGCTGACCCTCCTTCCGAGATGAGAATACTAAAAAAAAGCAGTGGAGCGACAGGCTGGAGGATGACATCTCTACAGATTAGGAAAAGCGGCAGGTTTCCATGTGAACTCATGTTTCAAGCTTGGTACACCTTGTACGCAACGCTCATAGTGCATCACAAGGTCATGAAGCGTCAATACAGGGTTCAAAATTAATTTTCTGTATGAGTGGTTTTCTGTAATGCTTCTTTTTAATGTTATGAGATCAAGTGTTGTGTGTGTGGCAATGTAAAAAAAAAACATAGATGTCATGAATACCACTTGTAAGTTCCACCACGATGCCAAACTTGCCATTTTTCTCTTTCTCTCTGTTAGTATAAGGGAGCAGTAAAATATATTTTCTCCCAACATGTATTACTGTAGTGGATTTCTTCTCAAGGTGTGTTTTCCAACTGATTGCTTTCCTGACTGTTCCCATCACAAACTTGCATTGCCAGTGCCACAGCAATGCCACTGTGGGCTCCATGAAAGAGACAGTGGCCCGGCTTTTCAAGCAAATCCCCACCAACCTGCAGATTTCCATGGATGACATTCCGGTTTGTGCATTCTCACTCCAGTACTTGATTCAACTGTCTCATTCGTGCAGCAGTCTACCGCCAACTACCTTAATTGCATGATCTTAATGTGCACTTTTTTTTGCTCAAAACAGTTCTCAAATTTGAGTGCGTGTTACATTCAAGCTGGAAGGTGCAAGTGGCATTAAGTTATTTTTTGTCAATTTCCTTGGGTGAAATTTCTGGGCATTACTAACAGAGGCATGCTACAATCCTGCAAGTACAGTGAGCATCAGCCCTTCATTACAAGCTGTCAAAACAGGTTTTGAAACATGCCATATTTGGCCTATAATCAACCCCTGAATATTACCCCCAGCTGCAGCCACACTTTGCAAAAACGTATAAAAAAAATCTCCCCATATTGCCATGAAGACACCTTTTCTGCATTGCCATGAAGACATCTTGCACGCAGCGATTCACGATTTACCTGCATCCCACTTAAGCTCTGAATTTGTTGTATAATGGCAATACGTCACATGAGTAGCTATTAGGTGATATTGCGATTTCAGTCACATGAGTAGCACGTTACCTTTAATCACATCATCTTTAATCACATAATTTTAAGTAATTTAGCCACGTGACTGGTTACGTAATGTTATGCAATTTTTAGTCACACGATTAGTAGTGAGATGATAGGCCACTTCTGTCACAGGACTAGTAACATGACATGTCGTTTTTACTCCTATGACTGGTTGTTACATGATTTCAGTCCTGTGACTTGTTACGTGACCTTTAGTCATGTAAACTACATTGGACAAATGGGTGCACGTGTCGTGGGAGCGAAGCATAAGTTGAAGAGGATGGAGCGAGCACATACCGATTCAAGATTGTTCGCTCTAGCCGGCGCAACGAAAAGCTTAAACCCCTGCAACACTTTTTGAGCATGGTCAGAAAATGTTGCCGATCGGTAGTAGAGGCTCCAGCCAAATATTATAGCGCAGCACGCGGCCTGTAATTTACAATAAATTATCAAAGTCGACTGAAAATTGCTTTCTCTTCTGTCAACAAAGCACGCAATATACCCAAAAATCGCACGTAGCAAGCCCATCTATCAGCCATTAGCTGATTTGAACCTGGCAGGCTCGCTCGTTACAGAAATCGCCGCTGAAAGTCGCTACTGAAAAAGCCGTGCATTCGAAAGGAAAAAAAAGCAAAAAGCGCTCAAGGTCATAAGGTGCACGTGCCATCGCTCCCTGCTTAGTTTACAGCGCTTTCGTCGAGAAGAGAGAATGCATTTGGACCATGCGACAAATCTTTGTAACTTCACTTGCACTGGACAGATTCTTAAAATATTTGTGGCATTGAATTCTTGAGGCAATAAGCTCTTCCAGTGAATTCATTCCATGGTTACTTGAATAAAAGTGCTTTAGGGCCCCTTTATGGAGCATGGCTCATAAAATGTGGGCAGCTTGCACTAGGCATGCAAAGCTGAACTACCTGAGCAGCTTGAGTCTAATCCAAATAATTACTCAGGTCTTAATTAGTAAGGTACTACTTGGCATATCAATTGCTGCAATTTTAATTATGATATCAATAACAAGGTCTGCTATATCTCTCTGTTCCTGTCTGGATTTTCTATTTATTTTCTGTCTCACTCCCTTATTAGTCAGGTTGTAATTGGGATGATGTTTATTATCATGGTATTTATTAGTATGATCCTAATTACTTGGTCTTAATTAGCAAGGTCTTCTATCTCTCTTTGTTCTTGTGTGGTTCCTTCTTCTATTTATGTTCTCTCTCCTCCTCTACTCCTTTCTCTCTCCTTTCTCTTTCATTTATCTGTTTTTGCTTTTTTCTCATAAGGCACACGTGTTGAATTATTGTCTGCATTGGGCATTCATTGTGTCACCTCAATGGGCGCCCTGGCCTCAGGAATTATCCATTGAATTACTAGGTGATGCAGAAAAATGTATTTTGATTATCCTCATTTTCCAAATTTAAGTTGCCACGAGAAAACTGTCTGTATTTATAGTCAGTCTTAAGGTGAGGAAGAGGATGAGGAGAGTGCACGCTGAGGAAGTTATTGCGTTGTATGCACTAGGCACAGTTTAGCTTCCTGGTCAAGGGAAATGCAAAAATAAAAACTAAAAACAATGGCAAAGAATTGTTTCAGAGTGCCTCCAATCTCCACATTAACTGAGCGCATCAAGTGTGCCGAATGCTTTGCTACCCAGTTTCCCAGTGGTGACTATATTCTTTCAATTTCAGCTTCCAAGCACAGAGGACCAAAAGAGGCTGTCGCAGTACAAACTCAAGGACAACCAGAAGATCCATGTGAAGGTCGTCGGCAGTGGACTAATCCTGCCATCCGAAATTGTGAGTGTGTTCAAGCCTCTACTTTTACTCTGTTTACTGCCAATCTCAGAGCAGGTTTTGTGCAATGTATTACAAGATAAAGTTCTACAAAAGCTTTGTACAGTAGAATCTCGATGATACGATTACGGTTGATATGAATTTCGCAATGATACTAAATTTTAAATTAGGTTTGGATAGACTACGGTATATAAAACATGCTGTAATTCTGGTTTTACATGAACGGCTTCCAGCCGCTGCAATAATAGGAATGTCCGATGGACCGCTGTACACAAGTGGCGCAATGCGACTTGTCTGTGGGAGGAAAGCCCGTTCACACCCGGCCTCGAAAGAGTGAATACTCAAAACGCCCTGGAAGTTTTTCTTGTTTCATTACCTAAGTGGCCAGAAAACTATGCTGTGAGGGTGACGCAAAAAAAAAAAAGACCGATGCAAGACCAATTCTTCTGAAACGTGATTCGTGGCACGGAACGGCACAGCTCAAACCACGCGATGTTAGCAACCGGCCACAAATTCAACATGGCAGCAAAAGCATCAGTAGTGGCTCGCATCGGCGCAATCACAAAGTATCCGCGCAGCACGACGATGTTCGGGACTTTGACAGGGACGCTTTCATTCGAGAGCCTGCTTTAGATAACAATCGTCTAGAATGGCGGAAGTAGAAAGCACAATAGCGAGTCAGCATGCCCCATCGTGTCTTGCTTTTGCACGCACGGCTGAACCCGTCGCCACCATTACCTATGCGTCCGCTTGGATCGTTTCTGCTGGCGCATCTCCCATAACAACGTTTGAAAAGGTTCAAACTGTTTTTTTGAGGGAGGAAACTACCCCAAAACCGAACTTTTTTATTTTTTTTATGGTGTCTTCATGAAACTTTCAGGATATGTTCACTACAATAAAACTAGAAAAACTGCAAAGTTTCATGAAATTGTGTTCAGGGGTTCTAGAGTTACTGAGGTCTAACACGGTAGTTCACTTGTGTGCCTGAGGGAGAGCCGGAAGAAATCCCAGGACATACCAGAAGATTGAAATTTTTTGTGGTCATCCCTAAATAGATATCCTAGGGCACTAAAGAGCCATTTTTTTTTTCTCTATTTCCCCTCTAAAAAAATTTATGCTACTTAGAATTTGATGTAGCCAGTAGGTATGACATTTATCAAAAAATAATTGTTTACTAATAATTAGCAGGCACCCATTTTGAAAAAAAGAAGCTTGTTACACCCTGGCAAAATCATCCCAGGAGCAGAATAAAAGAAACGGCGCACAAATCTGATGAGCAGTTATTGAGAAATCGCTTTCCTGAGCACCACAACTAGCTAAAAAATTCGATTGTGAGAAAACGAGCTTTAAAAGTTCAGCACATGTGTTTTCGTCAAAAAGCTCTAGCAGAGTAGCTTGAAGTGTCCTTGTGCACTTTTTTCCTCTTTTGTCTTCCTTCCATCTTCTCTAAGTGCTGTTTAGAATTTTTTTTCAAATGTAGGGAATCTTTTCCAAGAGCCGGCTGCATCGGTTCAAATTTTTTCTGCGTTCGCTGGCATAGATTCGAGTTCAGCGCGAATAGCATCTCGACGTCTCGCATTCGCAGAGATTTCTTCCTTAGTTAGGAAATTCGTCCTCAGATGAAGGATCGATGGCCCATGCACACTATTGGCCCCAATGCAGACGAAGTGCTGTGTCTAGTGATCTTAGGAACACTCGGTGTCACGCTCGACAGTACCGATTCAGAGCCCGTGCTGGATCCGGCAATATCGGACACACTCTGAACAATGAAAAAAGAAGAGAAACTGATGGAAATACAGCACAAGGCAAAATTTGGCCCGTAAGCAAACTTTATCGAAGCGGACGAAGCATAGAGCAACAGCGAGACGAGCGCGCCGGACGTTCCATCGCCAGGAGGGACCGCCCCAGCTTCCAGCGCAACAGCCAATGGTGGGCGCGCTTTCGCCCATGAGATATGAATAAGCTGGTTCTAGCCAGTCAGCGCTCCGCATCGCATCTTGTAGGAAAGCGGATAGCATCTCAACCGCGCCGTTGACGCCATTTTGAAAGGTGGCAAACGAGAGAGAAAGAATGCACGGTCAAGACAAGAACAAGATGGCGCGAGACGGCCGGTTGGTCTCGGAACGGCACGCGCATGAAGTTTTGTTTGATTTTGGCTTTTGCGCTTGTTCTGGGCGCTGTGGTAGCCTCGAAAATAGCATCTTTTTTGCACTTAGGGGTTGAATGAGGCGCTGATATTTACAGAATAGGTAGTTTTGTGACATACAACCCAAAAATATGGTTTTTCAAAAACAGACTTTTTTGTAATTTTTTGGTTTTCAAGGGCCGCGTCACCCCTTGAGTGCTCTGCATGCATAACTTGAACGCACTATGATTTCAATGCTTAAAAGATTATCAAAATAAAACGAATTCTCAAAGTGGTTAAGGCGGCTGTGTGTACAAGGGGCAGAACAAACGTGAAAATTTTCGACACACATGAACATTGTGTTCTGGCCGCTCTGGCGTTTTCGTTTTCACATCGCTTCTCAAGTGTAAGTGCTCCAGGATCAATTTTTTGTGTGTCAACTTTGCGGTGCGAAGCGAGTGAATTTTTGTTGAGTTTTGCAGCCTTCGCTCTCTTTGAGCAGTATGAGTGAGGAAACCGCAGCACAGTTTTATTCCTTTTTGGTAGCTTTCTTGAGAAACATTGAAGGCAGAAAAGTTTGAAAGATCACCATAGTTTTTTCAGCCAGGAGCAATTGGCCCCAATAAAGTTCTTGTTCATCTTTGGTTTGGTCCATGCGAATCCAAGATGATACGAACATTTTGCATGCTCGCTACGAATTCGAATTATCGAGATTCTCATGAGTAAATAAAACTGGCACAGTCGGCATCAACCTGAATGTGTCAAAAAGAGCTACGAAAAGTGAATACTATGTCACATGTCATAATCAGTGACATTGTGTGACTAAATGACCTGATGACAATGCAATCAACTCAGAACGTCATAGTAATTCGGTGTCTGTTAAGAGCATAGAGTTTAGCTTGTGCTCTCCTTATGGCCAAAAGGTCTGTATGTTTGTATGAGAGGCTTCCAGTGCACTGATGGCATAGCCAGAAATATTTCTCAGGGGTGTTCATCTGTACTTTATGTATGTTCGTGCATGTGTTTTATTGTGTGTGTATATGTTCACATGCAAAGTAAAAAATTTTCAGAGAGTGGGGGGTTGGACACACCCCTTACCCCTCCTTCTAGCACACGTCAGCATATTGCTATAAGAAACCTCACAATTAAATGACTGGTTATGTTGTGCATACAATGGTAGCACAGTTGAACTTCTTTGCAAGAGGCACACCCTGGAAAGCAGTTGTTGTCCTTTATATGAGGTATCTTCTATTAGGAGGGTACAGTCAAACCCTTTTATAAGAGACACTCTTGTGGCATACAAATAGGTGTAGGGGACAGCAGTGTGCCTACGTCAAGATACGGGTTGATAGGAAAATGCATGCCTGACACCCTGGTTATAAGAGGTACCTCTTGTGAAAGATGAGAAAGTCTTTTGTGAAGGGGTTCAACTGTAGTACATTATCGTTTTCTAATCAATCCCTACTCTTATGTAGGGTACACTGGCATCTCTTATACCCAATCGTCTCTTGTGAAGAAGTTTAACTGGAGCACGAACATGTGTTTGTGCTCTATATGTGTGTACGAAGATATGCATAATTGTACTACAGTTAAAGCATATGTGGCCGGAGACTTCAACTTGCCTCACATTGATTGGCAAAATGTTTTGCCGGGTGAGTCTAAAACAATTAGCTGCGAAAAACTTTTGGAAATTAAATTCTGTCATGGCCTGCAACAAATTGTGCATGAACCAACGAGGGTTACTGGTTCGTCGAAGTCATTGTTAGACCTCGTGTTTTTGTCTCAAAACATAACAGACTATGTTTTAAATATTTTAGATGGCATGCCCGACCACAAAATGTTGTCCTTAGTCATTACAACTAGTGCATGCAGTTTAGAGAAACCGTTCCTTTCGGTAAAAGTAAACGACTTTAAAAAGGCAGATGACACTTCCATTATAGATTTTCTTGAGCTCCACTTTAATGATTTCGAGCGAGCATCACATGTTGAATCTGTGGAGCAATTGTGGCAGAGATTTAAGGCCAACGTCGTAACTTGCGTTGATCGTTTTGTCCCTACTTGTATTAAGAAAACACATAAACGAAATCCCTGGATAACACGCAGCATTGTACATATGAAACGGCGAATTAAGAGATTAAGGAAAAGTAAAAAAAGAGCGACGGAAGTTGCAGCTATAAAAATAAGTTGAAAGAAGCCCTTGTGAATTCCAAAAATAAGTTCTTTGGCCAAACGCTTATGAACTTCATTAAAAGTTCGCCATCCAAATTCTGGCGTTACATCAGTGACAGAAAGGGAAGAATTCAGCAGATCGAACATGAGGGCTGTATCCTTACAAATGTTGAAGACTTTGCAGATACTTTTAATCGCTTCTTTCAGTCCGCTTTCACAATAGACCAGGGCGATAAGATAGGGGCATACATCAGTAACAGTGCAACAACCTCAATGGAACCTGTTATTATTGAACGCGAAGGTGTTTTTCAGTTACTGCTTGAACTAGATGCAAAGAAAGGAAGTGGTCCGCATAACCTACCAACAGAGTTTATCAAGAGATACAGAGAATGGGTCTCGTTTTATTTAGAAATAATATATGTGAAACGGTTGAGACGTGATCACTTTCACAAGACTGGCGCTATGCAGTTGTAATTCCGATTTTTAAAAATGGTAGCCACTCATTAGTAAACAATTACCGGCCCGTATCCTTGATGTCGGTTTGCTGTAAAGTTCTGGAACATGTATAAGCAAAACATATTCTTAGTTTTCTTGATTCTAACGAGTTACTTTGCGCAAGCCAACATGGGTTTCGGCATGGTCTTTCTACTGTGACACAATTAGCTGAAACGCTCTATGATTTCAATAAAAACAGCGATGCCCTTCTGCAGACTGATGTAATTTGTGTTGATTTTAGGAAAGCCTTTGATAAAGTCTCTCATCGTAAATTACTTTTCAAGCTTGAAAGATCAGGAAGAAGCGAAGAAGTATTAAAATTAATGGAGGCCAATTTATCCGCACGTCAACAGGCTGTAAAAATTGAAAATTACACTTCAAGACCACTGGCCGAGTACTCGGGCGTTCCCCAAGGATCTGTTTTAGGACCAATTCTTTTTCTGATATTTGTTAATGATCTATGTTCAATAGTTGAGGCTCCCATTAAAATGAAACTTTTTGCAGATGACTGCTTGATTTATTCCCCAGTTACTTGCGAAGGCGACCAAATTAATCTGAACAGGTACTTACAGGCATTAGATCAGTGGTGTATAATATGGGACATGGAAATAAACTATAGCAAGACGACATTTACGCATATTCATTCTAGTGGGCGGGAATCGTCATTCATGTATCACATCGAAAGTCACCCTTTAAATAATGCCGATTGTTTCAAATACCTAGGAGTTAGTATTATGCACACATTGAAATGGCACTCGCATATCGATAACATCTGTTCTAAGGCGAACAAAAAACTGTATTTCCTAAAAAAAAACTGGAACATGCCACACCAGATGTAAAACTAACTGCTTACAAAACACTCATACGTCCTGTCTTAGAGTACGCTAGTATTGTATGGTCGCCTCACCAGAAGGTGTTGTGGACAAAAATTGAAAGAATACAAAAATTAGCAGTCCGTTTCATATGCGGTAGATACCGACGCACACACCCAGTCACAGCTTTGTTAAAGTCCTGTGAGCTTGAGTCTTTCGAATATCGCAGGCAAAAACATCGCCTCAAATTTCTTTTTAAGATTATAAGCGAGCAAACAAAGATAAATAAGGATTTATATATTCAGCCCCTGGAAGGCTATGTGATCGTCTTAATAATAGTAGAGCAATTCAACCTTATTTTACACGCGCGAATGCTTTCCGCCACTCCTTTTTTCCAGACACAATAGATATGCAGAATAGTTTACCCAATGGGGTTGTGCAACAAACAACATCAGTGGATTTTGAAAATGCATTGGACGGTTTTCTTTGTAGTGATGCGAGCTAAATTCTGTTGTCAGCATTTATTCGTTGATTTTTATGTGTGTAGTCACTGTTTGTTTCTTATTTTTTTTAGTTATTCATCTCGTATTTATATGTGCTTTTGAATTTTTTTTTTGTGCGAACTTTATGTACTTTGTGTCACCCTCCCTGTAATGACCTCAAGCACGGGGTTGACAGTATCAAATAAATAAAAAAAAATATGTAAAATGATGTATGTTTCTGCGTCCTGCTTTCTTTGGGAGTGCAACTCTTTTTTTTTTTTCCTTTATGGCCTTTTAGGAGGAAGACTCGGTTGTTCCACTGGCCACGTCTCAAATGTCTACGATGCCAGCCGCAACTGCCTCTCCCTCAGCTGGTCAGCAGCCATCGTTTTATCTGGAGCAGGTAAGTCCTAGTTCACACCAAGTGTAATCAAAAGACACCTGGTTTTTCTTTGCATGTCACTCTACGCATCATCTTTGTAGCTTTAACATTCCATTTCAATTTGCGAGCACAGCTTATGTCTGTTATTCCAACAGAGCCAAAAAAGGCATGACCAAAGAAAGACGAAAGCTATGGGGCAGAGTCATTTTACTTTCACGGAAATCGAATTTTATTTATCACAGAATTACTTTTTGTCTTGGTGAGCAGGAATAACCCAAAATGCCTTGCACTCTTAGGTGCCTGGGAACCTTTAACTTCGCCATGCCATGGTGCAGAGCATGTTCTCTCGTTTCTACCATATTTTTGTTGAGTGGCTTCTTCATTTTCGTCCTTTTTTTTTATGCATAGGAGAAGCAGCTTCCTGGTGTGGTCATATCAAGTGGCGGCAACGTGTTCGAGATGTTGTACCAGTTGGCAAGCATGGACGATCCAAGGTCTGCTGCTGTTGCTGCCGTGACATATTCACTTGAATGACTGTGTGATAGTAGAAGGGGCATTGATCTGTGAACTTGAAGCAAAACATTGAATTGGTTAAGGGTAGTTAAGTCCTCGAAATAAGGTACTTTGCAGTCGCAGCCCGTTCGACTGCGCGCGCGCCTGCTCAGTGAGGCGCAAGCCCCCCACGCTCGTACAAACCATCCAAAGGTACAAAGTCTCATTGTGCACGCACCGGCGACCTGGCTCGGGCGAGACGGGAAGCACAAAATATGCGAGTAAACTTTTTTTTTAACTGGAAAAATATTAGGGGTGCACAACTATGTGACAACACAATTCATGCGAGTAAATGCGGTATAGTATTGTCACGAGGCAATAACACTAAGCCGGTGGTGAGCCACAGCACAGCTCACACTTCAATGTCAACTTCTTCAACTTCTTTGTAGACGCCTTTTAGGATCCGTCCAACTATACACTTTTTTGTCAGTGAAAACCATGCAACAAAATATTCTGATACTTTTGTTGTTGTTTTTTTCATCCAGGATAGCTGAACAGGTTCAGACGCTGCTGCACCTGATTCCTGCTGACCCTGCAGTGATCGATGCGCTCGACCAAATCTGTATGAAGGTGTGTGTATTCTCATTGCACCATAATGTGAGATTCAGTGTGTGAGTGGCAAGTGAGTGCTGGTAAGCAATAGGGAACGCTAGAGTCTCACTTGCTCAAGCGGTGTGCACACGCACCCACCACATACTGCTTGAAAAAAAAAAATGGAGTGTTCAGGGAGTAGGTCTGCTGCAGAACAATAATCGTCAGAGCTTTGGGGCTGCCCGAGAAAAACTAGCGTCTCGGGCTGCCCTCTGGCTGCTGTCGTGCAGCCCGGCAGCCCGAGGGAATACTCGAAGAGACTCAATATATCCTCTTGTCTTCGTCTTATTTTTCCACTGTTTCACCTTTCTTTTGAAGAAGTAACTGTTATAAGGGTAGTCAAGATGTTTTTTGGTTTACTGTATCTTTTTGTAATTTATGCAAGTTGGGAACAAATGTTGAGCTGAGCAGTTTTTGGCAGGTTTTGAGGGGCTCCTGTCGCGGTGTTGTTACTTTTGACTTTGCAATACTGATGCCGGCTGCCATTATTATATAGGTGAAACGTATTCATCGGTATCAGTGGCCCATGAGTCTTGGATGATAAGGTTAGCATAGAATCTGTGATAATTCTTTACTGCAAAATACAGGCACCGTGCACAATCTATGTGTCTCGTCTTGTGCAATGCCCTGTTCGTGTCTGCGAATTTACCATAGTAATTGTCATTAGTAGTAATCAACTAACTACTAAATATACATTCCACTGCACCAGCTTTTGTGCAGCTACTTCATGTTTCGTCATTCACGTGGTCATTTCTTTTTGTTTTTTGTTTTTCATTGTTTTTTCTCTAGTCCTCTTCAACAACACCACCTGTGCCGCCTCCCAGGCTGTCGGGCAGTCCCAAGAAGAGCGGTTCCCCAGCACCGAGGGAGAAGACACCGGTCGAAGGGTCGGACGTCGTGCTCCGCAGGTTGCTCGACCCAAACGGGAGAAACCCTTTTCGCCTGCTGTACAACCTGCAGGTATGCTGCCATGTGTCAGTGAAAGCTCGTCTTTCTGGCCCTAGTTTTCAGTATAATTTTAGCATTGACTGCTGCATTTTTTATCGCTTCTGTATCCTGCACAAATTCTACCAAGAAGGAAAAAAAGCAATAGTTAGCCAAACAAATGTCTGCCAGTTGGCCAAACAAATGTCTGCGAAGTGATGGCAACGAGCTGAAGAGCTTGAGTACATACGAGAGAATACTTGTGAGGGTGGCCGAGAGAGGGCGTTACGTGACGGCGTCATCATCATCGGGACTTGGCCGAGAGAGGGCACTACGTGACGGCGTCATCATCATCATTGGGACTGGAGTGGTGGGGGTTGTGTGTGTGGGGAAGGGGGAGTTCGGGCTGGTTGGAAGGAGTGGCAAGACGTAGCGGTGTGTGGTGTGCGATTTAGGGTTAGCGCGTGACAAGTGGGGGCTCGTCTGGGATGGCTTCAGACCCGACAACAGCAGCGGACGACATGCCTAGGCTCCAAGGTCTCGTTGAAAAGCTGTTGCTGGGCACTGACGGCTCCGCCATGGAGCGCGAACGAATCGCGGCGGTCGTGCGCGATCGAGTGATGGCGACGCCGCTGCCCACGGCTCCGCACGTGGGAGCATGGACTGGGGTCGCTAACACTGGCGCGGTCCCTCGGGCCACCGACGACTCTGCACCTCGGCTCCCCGCTGCGCACCTCCCCCGCTACTCCGGTGCTAGAGACTTGCAGTCGCCGGAGGAGTTTCTTGAACGTTTGGAAAACTTCTGCCTCGTGACGGGGGTCGCCGCCGATAAGCAACTGACACACGTGGTACCGGCTGCCCTCGAGGGTGGCGCGAAGTTGTGGTGGCGGTTCGTGCGTGGGTTCGACTCGTGGGAGCAATTCACTGCCGCCTTCCGCTCCAAGTTCTCGTCGATTGACGTGAAGCGTCGCCTGAAGGCGGAGCTCGAACAGCGCACGCAGCACCCGGAAGAAAATTTGAAAGAGTTTATATATGCGATCGCTACGTTTTACGACCGCATCGGGGAAAAGGTCTCCGAAGCCGAGAAGGTGCAGCGCGTACTGAGGCAGATGCACCCTCAGTTGCAAGATTTGGCGGAGGGGCATGCCTACAACGACCTCGCCGAGTTGGTGAAGGCAGCTGACGGCCTAATGGAGCGGGCTTGGCGTCGCCTCCAGTACAGACCACCGCCACTTCCGAGCAACCAAGTAGCCAGAGATCTAGCGTTCCGCCCTAGCCAGGCCCCCGACCATCGCTCACTGCCGCAGCCGAACACTATGGCGACGGCGTCGTTCGCTTCGTTTGCTGCTGCCCCACCGGCACCGCCGGCTTATCACTGGCCACTGCATCCAGCTGCGCTAGACCCGTCGTACTGCCGGGACCGACAGTACTCGTGCGACACAGCGCCTGCGTTCTCACCCTACGGGCCAGGACTGATGCCGCGGCAGGAGCCCGCGAGTGGAGCAATGCGTGTGCAGTGCCATCGCTGTGGTGGATTCGGCCACATATCTCGTAACTGTGCCACGGGTCGATGAATGGGGCCACCCGTTTGCTTCCGGTGCCAGCGATCGGGTCACCTGCAAGCACAGTGCCCGGGAAACCAGTGGCGGTAGGTGCTGCCCCAGCGGGCACCTACGGCAGTGCGCACCAAGTAGCGACCACAGCCGGTGGCAAAGAGCCCCTTATGGACGTCCGTATCGGGTCGTCAACGTTCAAGGCCCTGCTAGATACAGGCTCAAGTGTAAGCTTCTTCGAACCGCACGCCGCGGCGGCGGCCCAAGCTTCTGGAGTCAAATCCAAGGCAGACGTACGCGTGCTGCGTTTGGCATCAGGCTGGTCGCAGTCAACCATGTCTCTGAAGTGCCAGATCGAGTGGGCTGCCGGTTGCCGCAGACAGCAGTTTTTGTGCGTTCCTGACCTGTGCCGTGACGTTGTCCTTGGTAAGGATTTCCTGACGGTGAGTGGCATCTCTCTGCACGTGTCACTTGGTGGGAGAACTGTCGGCACAGAACCACAAAGAATTGTGCCGTTTGTCAAGGCCGTTAAGGAACAGCCAGAGGCAGTGGATGATTTTATAGACAGTCTGCGCTGCATTTTTGCTGAGGGCGATGCCAGTTTGTGTGCCAGTGTGCCGGAGGCGACTGCAGCCTGCAATGTGATCATTCCCGGCCACTCGTCGGACCTAGACCCACGCATGAAACACATTTTAGAAGAGTTCAGCGAAATCTTCACCACAACTCCGGGCTGCACAACCCTGGCAGAGCATCGCATAGACACGGGAGACAACCCACCTGTTCGATGCAAACTGCGACCAGGGAATTCCAAGAAGCAGGCCATCATGGACAACTGCATTCAAGACCTGCTGGCACAGAACCTCATCCGCCCTAGCCAAAGTCAGCATGCCAGTGCTCCAGTCCTGGTTGAGAAGAAGTCTGGTGGCTACCGCATGGCTTTGGATTACCGCCAGCTAAATGCACGCACTAAGGTGCCAGTCTACCCCATGCCGAGGACTGATTGGTTGCTGGCACAGCTGGGACGAGCCAGGTGGTTCTCAAGTTTTGATCTTTCACAGGGTTTTTTTCAAATCCCTGTTCAAGAGCAAGATATTCCAAAGACAGCGTTTATTTGCCATCGGGGAACCTTTGAGTTTATGAGAATGCCCTTTGGAGTTGCCGGAGGTCCTGCCACGTTTCAGACCCTGATGGACCGACTACTGGAGGGAATTCATCACCAGTTTGCCATGGCGTTTCTCGATGATGTCCTGGTGTATTCGGAGACCCTAGCGGATCATCTTGAGCATGTTCGGGAGGGTTGAAGTGGATAAGTTCGGCACAGCTGACCATTAACCCAGAGAAGGTGCACGTGTGCTGTCAATACCTTAAGTTCCTTGGCCATGAAATATCGCCCGGGCAGTGTAGGCCGGACAAGGAGAAAGTGCGAGCGGTGCTGGACTATCCTCAACCAACAACACTCAAACAGCTGCAGGCCTTCCTGGGTCTAGCAGGCTATTACAGAGGGTTCATACCTCAGTTTTCTATCACTGCACGTCCACTCACAGAACTCCTTAAGAAAAAGCAACGTTGGCGGTGGGAGCTGCCGCAAGAGGAAGCCTTTAGAGCACTTAAGCAGTCCCTGGCTGACGATGTTGTAAACTTGCCGGACCTCAACAGACCATTCGTGGTGGAAACAGACGCCAGTGGAGTCGGCATTGCAGCGGTGCTTCTGCAGGCAGCCGAGAGTGATGCTCAACTGCGTCCAATAAGCTTCATTAGCAGGGTCCTCACTGAGGCAGAGCAGCGCTATACAGTGCAAGAATGGGAGTGTCTGGCTGTGGTGTGGGCAGTGGACAAGTTCCGACCATACCTTGAGTTCACCAAGTTTGAGGTACACTGTGATCACTCCTCACTATCCTGGATGTTCACCACAGACCAGGCCTCACCACGTGTAAAGCGTTGGGTTTTGCGGCTGCAAGGTTTCAACTGCAGAATCAAGCACAGGCGGGGTCTTGCAAATGTGCCAGCCGACGCCTTGAGCAGAGCTCCCCTTCAGCACCAGGAAGTTCCAAGCCCGAGTCTACACGAGACGCTGTTCCCTATGGCTGTTCCAGAGCCCAGCCCACAAATCAGCTTTGAGGTAGCTGCTGTAGCATCTGAAGTGGACGACACTACTGTCTTGAATGATGCAGGGCTCCTCGCCCAGGAACAAGAGCAGGACCCCATACTGTCAAAACTACGAACTGTGATGAAGGGAGGGAAGCTTCCGCCCACTGACAGTGATCAACCTTTGATCAAAGACCTGGCGGAGACGACCGAGATGGAAGAGAGTGGGTTGCTTGTACAGCACCGAGGGAACAGGAAAGTACCTTGGCTACCAAACCATCTCTGCAACTTGGTCCTGCGACTGTCCCATGACCACCCGATTAGCGGCCACTCCGGCTTTTTCAAGACCCTCAGACGCATTTCTCGGAATTTCGTGTGGCTGGGTATGCGCTCGGACATATCCAAGTATGTGCGATGCTGCCAGGTTTGTCAGTGCACCAAAGCCCACCGGCAGAAGCCAGAAGGGCTGATGAGCAGTCAATGGGCCACTGCCCCCATGGAACAGCTCAGCGTAGACATAATTGGGCCCTTGCCTATGACGCCTCGACGCCACAAGTACCTTCTCGTGGTGATTGACAAGTTCACCAAGTTCATTGAACTTTTTTCATTGCGGGCAGCAAACAGCAAGAGTGTGGTGGCCTGCATGATCCAGGTTTTTTGCAGACATGGCACACCTGTCTCCATTTCAAGTGATAATGGAAAGCCGTTTGTAAGCAGGTTGTGGAAGGGCCTCCTTGAGCATTGGGGCATACAAGACCGACACACTGTTCCGTACCGCCCTGCCGGGCAAATGGTGGAGCGCCACAATGGCATTATCAAGCAGTGCCTTAGGGCTTATTGTTCCAACCACAAAGACTGGGACCAGCACATCCCTGAAATCGCCCTGGCCATGCGCACGGCTGAAAGTGTTGTCACGGGCTACACGCCTGCCTTCCTCTGTTATGGCCGGGAGCTGAGAACCCCATGGACACAGGCTGAGGCCAAGACGACGCGGAGCCTCCTGCGACAGCATACCGTGCATTTGCTACTGAGGTCTCCAAGTGTCTGCAGGAGGTGCTTGACTTCTCCAGGACACACCAAAACCACATGTGGCGCGCTCAGAAGACTCGCTACGACCAGCACAGGCGGCCACTGACAATACAGGAGGGTGATCTTGTTCTGCTCGAAAGCCACTCCCTCAGCAATGCCACCAAGGGCTTCTCTTCGAAGCTTGCACCCCGGCGTTCCGGTCCCTTTCGGGCAGTGAGACGTGTAGGACAGAATGACTTTGTTCTAGTGGACCCCAAAACGGGTCGTCGCCACGGTGTGAGACACGCAGATCAGCTGACACTGTACCATGACGCTGCAGGCGATGTGTAGTGGTGGCTTCACATTTTGAGGGGGGGGAGACCTGTGAGGGTGGCCGAGAGAGGGCGTTACGTGACGGCGTCATCATCATCGGGACTTGGCCAAGAGAGGGCACTACGTGACGGCGTCATCATCATCATTGGGACTGGAGTGGTGGGGGTTGCGTGTGTGGGGAAGGGGGAGTTTGGGCTGGTTGGAAGGAGTGGCAAGACGTAGCGGTGTGTGGTGTGCCATTTAGGGTTAGCGCGTGACATACTAGAGCGATTGAACAGAGAATATTCTGAAGTGATTGAAGGGTTACGGCAACAATGACTTGCCTCTGTCATGTCTGTGACTGCTTGTGGTGGAACTCTAAACTCTCTCGGGAGAATCAATGTGGAAACAGCCTAGCACCACCTAGCTGAAGCCTAGCAGTGACATAGAAACAGCAAGATGGCAAGTTGGGCTAGTTGAATAACATTCATAATTGAAAATTTTGTTGAAGCGCACTAAAAAAATGGACAGACAGAAGAGGCTGACAAGGACAGCGCTGTCCTTGTCAGCCTCTCCTGGTTGTCTGTCCTTGTCAGCCTCTCCTGGCCGTCCCTTTTTTTAGTGCGCTTCAACAAAATTAATAATTATTAACACAGAAACAGCCTAGAAACAGGCAGATTAGTCTTTGGAATCGTCCAGTTTTACTGTTTCAAGACTTGCGCGGCTGAGTGTAATCGTCGACAACTTTTTCAAGTGCGTTCTTGGGTCTACTTCGTACCTACAGGTTCTGAGTGCCCGGTTGATGCCAACCAACCAGGATGCTTGCTCCAACGTGTTCTGCGAGAACTTCCTCCAGGCAGGCGGACTCTCCCACGTGCTTCGGGTGCTGCACAGGGATGGCCTTCCCCAGGACGTGGACTACGCCGTGCGCCAGGGCATCTACTTCACTGCACTGCAAATAACTAGGTAAAGATGGCTGATTTGTGCTTGTAGGAAACAATTCAGCATTGTGTTTGTGGAAAAAGAGCAAAGCGACAAAAAGTTTTCGTCTTGCAGCTTCTTTATAATTATTTGCCTTCAAAATACAGTCGAACATGGTTATATCGAACCCACATACACTCAAACTTCGTTATAATGAAGTTGAAAGGAAGCCACTATTATTTCGTTATATCCTATATTTTGTTATATCGATTATAACAGTTTGTGCCAATGTATGCTCAGAAGGGCGCACGCCTATAAGCATGCAAAGCAGGAAACCGCCTCGCAGCCCGACGTACCGCTACGCGACCACGGGTGCGACGGAAAATAAACACAGTCGTATCTCATTAATTCGAGCATGCTTAATTCGAACTTCCGGTTAATTAGAACTCACGCTAAGATCCCGTCAAAGTTATGTGTATACCAATGGGTGGAAATGCCCTGTAATTCGAACACGGAAGCACTTGTGACAGTTAATTCGAACATACCGCGCTCCAAAAATGCTCTCAGCACCGTTGCCCAATCCCTTGGCAGCACCTCTCAACGCTGCGCGCAAAGAAGGGAAAAAAAAAGGAAATAAAAGACTGTGGCGGATTGTTTGCTCTCTCTCAAATGCCGATCTGCGACGCGCTTGTGCCACGCTTTACATGGTGTCTTGCTCGGCGCACTTCGTCGCCACGGTCTGCCCGCGGCTACCCAGAGGGACCTTCTCTTTTCTGCACGGCACCACACCCAGGTCTTCAAGGCGATTCTTCGCTTCCTTGAGGACACTAGACTAGACAACAGGAAGGTGCCCGACACGTCCTTGGTCATGCACGCCATTTCTCTTCTTCTGTACTCTTCTTCACATCTTTAATGCCCTCTTCCGCTCCCCCCTATAGGCGCTGAGCCGTGCTCCCAATTAGGGCTGCAGAAGTTGCGTCTTTTCCTTTCCTGAACCTCTCTCTGTGTGCCACGCTTCTCCCTGTTTCGTCTCTGCACGTAGAGACCCTTCTCCTTTCAAAGCCACGCACGGAGAGAAAGGGAAAAAAAAAAAAGCTGTCGCGGAGAGTCCTTTCTCGGTGCAGAGGGTAGCAGCGGAGACGCAGTCATTGCCGTCATCTTTAAGGCGCGGAGAGAGAAATTGGTTTGCACCGCGGTGCCGCTTCTCGGTCATGTGATTCGCTGAGCGCTTCCTCAATCCTCTCCGCTGGCTTGTGAAGAGGAGAACTCTCCCGACCTCACATGGCGTGGCTGTAAGGTGTGCGCGGGAGTTTTGAAAGAGCCGCGCAGAACGAGCGTCAAACTCCTCGGAAAACTATATACTTAACACACTACAGGTCGTTTCTTTTTTATAGATTATTTAATAGACTAATTTAGTTCATTATATCCATTTGCCAGGTCAAATTTACTTTGATACCACGAGGTTTAAAATGCATGATCCTCAATGAGCTTTCAAGTGATATTTAGTTTACATCGTTATACCTATTATTTTGTCATATCCCGTTACGTTATAACGAGGTTTGAGTGTATATCGAATTTACAGGTATATAGAACTCCCAAGTTATCCCCTTGAAATTCCTTTGTAAAAGTATAGAAATTCGCACGTTTATAACGAACGGCATTTTTACCCGCCTTGGGATATATCGAACGCCGCGCGAGCGTAAGGTGGGCTTCGACACTTGACCCCCCATCTCATCCCATCCCCGCGATCTCCGCGGGAGCACAGCTCCCCGCGCAAGTTGAAAGGCGCCCTTTTGGCACTCGCAGCAGCTGCCAGCGATTTCTGCGCGGCACCGCGCCTCCGCCAAAACCCGAAATGCTCGAAAAAAGGTAAGGGCGAGAGGACTTGGACTTTGCAATCTCCAACTTGGGGAATGGTTTTTTTTTTTTTCTCTCTTTCTCATGCTTTCTCTGCCTACGCGTTGGCCTGGAGAGCAGGAACGAACGAGCCGATGCCCTTCTTCTTTTGCCTTCTCTTTTATTTTTTTTGTTGCTGTTTTACGAGGTTTGATCAGCCTACCACAGCTTGTGCCTTTTGCTGTTGCCCTAGCAGGTAGCCATCGCCTCGCGAGTGCTTTGCTGCTCACGAGCTGTCGCGTCAACTACGTACTACCGCATGTGCAGCATTTCTCTTTTGCATGCGTGGTGTGCAAAGCCACTGCGGACTCCTTGAATTGTCGACTTCTCGTATAGCTTTGGCCTGCATCAAGAAGCGCAGGACCCTTGACTTTGCTACGAAGTTGAGGCTATTCAGCGTGTTAAGGCGGGCGAGAGATGTTCGTCCATCGCGGACAACTTCGGAATACCACGAAGCACTCTGAGTACCTTGTTGAAAAACAAGGCAGGTATCAAGGCAAAGGCGGCGGTGCAGCAAATATCAAGGGCCTGTCATGTGCGCGCTTCTAGCCATGGGAATGTAGAAAAGGCACTCTATACGTGGTTTTTAGAAGTGCGTGTGAAGAACATTCCAGTGGATGGCCCGATGCTGATCGCCAAGGTCAAATGGTTTGCCGCTGTACTTGGTGAAACAACTTTGCTGATAACAGCGGGTAGCTTCACCAATTTAAGCAGCGCTACAACATCGTTGGCAAAATCATTCCTAGCGAAAGCGCAGCTGTCTGCAGCCAGAACAACCAGCAGTGGATGACGAAGGAGTGGCCGAAAATCTACGCGATGTTTTCTGCCATCGAAGATCTTCAATGCCTGGCAAGATGTGGAGACGGACACAGTGGTCAACTGTTTCCGCAAGGCAGGCATCGAGACGGCGGAACTTGCGGAAACCGGTGAAGACGACAACGAGCGTATAGACGACGCGTTTCGCGAGTTGTGATAAGATAGAGAGCAGCGTCTTCAACATTTAATAAACGAAGAAGCAGGCTAAGGTTAGCGATTTTTTTTTTTTCACGCTAATAAATCATTCTGTTGCGGCGTGTGTGCAGAATTAGTTGTCGTTCTTGAATGCACCTTTTGTAGGTGATAATAAGCTACAGGTAAGCTCTTGGGGCCTCTACTTTTTTAAATCGAATTTTTCATATTATCGAACTAATTTGCAATCTCCTTCGGATTCAATATGTGTATCCGTGTTTGATTGTATATGCGTCGAACCTCATATAACAAGGTCACACATATTGTAAAGATAACTTCTTTATTATAATTTTACACTGAAGCTTTGTATGACTAAGTTCTGGCTGATTGCGTCTGTAGACAATAGGTGCCTAGAGCAACAATTTCTGGAGCCCCTGACATAACGTGTACTGCTTCCTTGCCACAGGTGTGGTGGTGAGCGTAGCCACAAGTGTAGTAGCTGCCTCTTTCGCAAGCATAGTGATACTCTGTGGCTGCACTTCCCACCAATCATCGTGCCCCTTGGTCTCGTGACATAGAGATTATAGTGGCATTGTTATCAGCAGTTGCCCTTGGGAATCACTGTGGGACAAACGCGTGACGTTCACTCAGAGAGAGAACAGCAGGAATTGAAGGGAGCGCTCAGAAGTGTGAATTGCCTCAAAGGTGATGTTAAAGTGGGGCCGCCGAACTTGCAGATTCAGTTACTGGCTTCATTGGTTTCCATGTCATCTTCGCAGTAGTTGAAGGGCTCCGACTTTCTGTGCATAGGGAACACATATTTGTAGCTCTGTTATTGCCATGAGACAATTTATAATTCACTCTGTTTCATTGAAATTAGTTTCAGTTTTGCTTTGCTGCCATTGTGTGAGGGTTCAAGACGGTGTATCATAGAGACGAAGGTGATGTCAAAAAAGTAATTTTAAGAATTGTTTTGGCATGCTTTCGTTTTTTACCAACAGGTTCCTAATTTGTGGCCAGAACGTCCCACACGCTCTGCAAAGTTCGTCTACGTCGTCCGTGTCGACGACTTGTGGCGCGCCGTCGCCCGTGAAACCCACTACGCCAAAGAAGCTGCAGGTAGGACCTGGTGCGAATGACCCCTTTTTCAACTTTGACACCTATCATCAAGGTGAGTTTTCTATTCTATAAATGAATGCCTTTAGCATCATAGCGTCTTCATTTACCGAAACAATTTGCCACACTAATTTTAATGAAGTTGACATTATGATTTAAAAAAAACTAAATCCACTAGCATTCAATTTCTCTATCTTCGTTTTTCGCACTTTGAAGCTTCCTTAAGGGGGGACGCGGGTTTTCAAATAGTGAAAAAAAATGGCCAGAAAAACACGTTTTGAAAAAAAAAACACGTTTTGAAAAAAAAAAAAACACGTTTTAAACATGTTTCTACCTCCAGGTAGATTGTCAAAAATGCTTGACAAGCACCTCTGTCTTTTTTTTCTTTCTTTTCTTTATTCTTGTCATAGCAGGAGGTTTTTTCTGCTGATTCATGATTGCTGAGCCTAGTTAGTGTCGCTCATTTTTTGTTATTTTTTCCATAGTACTCATGATAGCATCTTGTGTTATCTTTATTGTTCTATGTTTCTTATATAGTATGGCTATATTCGATCGCACTTTATTTGTATTGAATTCTATAGCGTATTTTGCATTGTATTTTGTTGAGTCCTTTTATTTCATTTCATATTTGTTTTATAAGTTGAGAAAGTGCAGCGAGGGAGAGAGATGCGAGACGACGTGACGGCGGCAAGTGTGCCCGCGCTGTTCTCGCCACTTCATAATAAGGCAAACTGCCGAAGCGTAGCTGCGACATCTGCAGTGTCCGAACCGCCAGCAGCACATGCGCATTCTTTTCTTGGCTCTTGCCTCCATTCTTTCACCGGAGCTGCGTGAGAGACACGGCGCGATAGCAGGAAAACTGTTGGTGGTGATGATGGTTGGCAGTGACGATGAAACAAAAGGTTTCGTCAATGAGGTTTGAGAACACTTCCTTCATGCACTTTACCCGCAGTCTATGAGCCGTGCCTTGCTCGAAGAGGTGGTTGATACGCTGGTGCGCGTGGCGTGGGCAGCTGCGGCGGGTCAGCTACGCCTGACCAACTCGCCGTTGCCCACCCGGGAGGGCACTCACTTTGCGGCCACGACGGCGGGACGGCGAAGCCGCCAGAGCAGCACAGGTGGGAACATTGCATGCTTACATCTTGATTGAATGGCACAGGGAATGCCACCCATAGCTCCAGTTGGTTGCCGAGCTTTTTGAGGCGGGGCTAGTTGATACATTTCTTAGAACCAAGTGTCCATTGTCCTGTCTATGTGTTTCTTCTTCTGTCAGTGTGGTTATTCTTGGCGCGAAATTGACTGCAGTTGAACCCCTTTATAAGAGACATGCACCGGCGAGCAATTCTTGTCATTTATGTGAGCTGTTTTTTATAGGCAGAATACTACGTATGCATTTTCTCATCAACACCTATATCAATGTACGCACACTGGTGTCCCTTATCCCATTTTGTCTCTTACATTAGTGTCTCTTATAAATGGGTTCGACTGTATTGAACCTGAGAATTGCACCAACTAGCCCAGCAACGAGTTCTACTAAACTAAAATGGTCTGCTTGGTTCATGTTTGCTATTCTCTTCTCTTTCTTTCCTTCGTTCTTATTTTTTTCTAATTTCCAAGTCGGTGCCACTATTTTGATGAAAAAAAATTGACAAAAAAATTTCAAGTAATAATTGAAAAATCCCACTTTTTTGGGGGGATGTCGACAACAATCGGGTACATGACCCAGTGTAAGCACCGCAGATACAAGAAGAGGTACGCAGTGGCCGACCGATTTTTCGGACTCCGAAAATTCAGACTTGTTTGATATTTCGGACTTAAAAAGTGCACCAGTCAGCGTTTCCACAGGGCTAATGCGTTTTTGCGACCCATTTTTTGGACGAATTCGACCCCTAAAGTTGGAATTTTCGGACTAATTTGCTTGTTTTGAGCCGCGCAACGGAATATTAGGACATCGCCATGTTGGATTTTCCGCCGGCTTGACTAAGCTAGTGGACTTAATTTTAAAATGGCTGTGTCTGCTTTAGAAAACGCGGCACGGGACCATTTTTTTTGTCTTCGGTCAGCCATAGTGGTCAGCACTGTCGTCATCGCACCGTACAGGGAGGAGGTGGAGCTGCGCTGTGGTGAAGTGACTGCATGGAGGAAGGAAAAAACCTCGTGAGTGAATGTATGGTTGTAGTATGGTCCCTAGAATACTGAATGTGCCTGCCACGATGACATTTTTTGCTCGTGCGTATGATGAGAATTTCGTGCGCAGAGCCCACAAACAAACAAATTCTTCGCCAAATTATGCCGCAGTTGGAGAGCGGTTCGGATGATGATGACGATGATCGCCCGCAGCCGTCGGCAGCGGAGATCGCCACCGTGGTGACGCTATTGTTGAGCAGTTTACAGTGACGATGTCAACTTGGCGCAAATACGGGTGAACCAAATTGCTCCTAAGTGTACTAGTATGAAACAAGGCAGAATCATGGACTGTTTTTAAGCCTGCCTGATGCAATAAAGTTCATATTTCTGACAGAAACGAATTTTTCGGACTTTTTTTCGGTCCCCGCCAGGTTTGAAAAATTGTTCGGTGACTTTAATGCTCTACAGATATCATGGCCGCAGTGGCACAGCTTGGGGGAAGTCCGCAGTAAAGAAAATGGGTATTTACCTCTCATTACTACATACACCTACAATGAAGGCTATAGATAGAATGAAGGCTAGGATTTTTTACTTTCCTTTGATGAAAGTGGTGTGGTAGCCTCAGCTGGAATTTGGCTTTTTTTTTTTTTTCTGGCATTCTGTATCTCAGGCGCGGTAGTTTTACAATTACAAGAAAGATCTGTTATACACTCAAACCTCATTATATCAAAGTTGCATCTTATATAAAAATAAGTTTGTTATCACCAAAAATTTGTTATAAAGGTATATTCTTAGCACTATCTATTCTAAGAGCATTCTTCATTTACTTCGTTATAACGAAAAATGCCAAGCCTGCGTGGAAGCCACAGCACAGTCACAGTGAAAGCTACAAGGGCGGCCTTTCAGAGCCTTTTCTAAACACTCACTCAGTAACTCCTGCAAGCACACTTGCTGGGTACCCACTACGGCATTAATAATGAATGTTTCAGGGTAGTAGGCTGGCATTCGCTATGCTATCCTTCGTCATTCTTCTGAGAAGCGGGGTATCCGCTAAACTATTGCAAGGAATTTTGTGCCAATTGTTCATGCAGTGGCTGATGATGATAAGGATATTTTTCCTGAAGTGGGTATGCACCACAGTTAATAGGTGATCAAAAACAAGCTTTTGTAATGGGTTGGAGCATTGTACGACCCACTCATTACACTATTCGCATTGTGTGATACCTGGTTGTTTCTTTGCTGTTCTAAAACGCTTTGTTACTCATAATAACGCGATTCCTTCCCCAACATCAAGCCTAACCTAGGGCAAGTTGGCCAACAAGTCCCAAGCACCGGCATGGCTCAGTGGTAGAATACTGGGCTGGCACCCAGCAGACCCGGGTTCAAGCCCCGCTGTGTCGTTGGTACTAGGTTTTTTTTTTGCTAATTTTGTGTGATGCGGTTACAGATACAGGCGGGGGTGGCGGACAACTACCGCTCTGCGAGGGACATGAATTGTGATCTCATAACAGCTTTCGCTGTAATATTTCGTTATATTGAGAATGGAGTGTATTAGTGACATGGCATTTTCTCGGATTCGGTTGGCGTGGAGCGCCGACCAAGTGGCCCACACTCTTCTTGCCTCTCTGCAGGCAGTGCTACCAGCAGTGGCAGCGACGGTGAGAGCTCGCTCGGCCTTCACGGTGGCATCTGTGTCAGTCAGGACACGGTGGATCGCAAGGATGCACTCCTGGCTCAAGAGGCCCTCAGCTTTCTGTTCTCCTGCTTGGAGCTCAGGGAGGACGTTTCTGGTACTGGCACGTATTTGCAGACACTTTGCGTGCTTTGACTGGACAGCTGCGCTGCTTTCATTGCAGTGTGTGTAAAAATTATTAGCAAATACAAAATTCAACACTGTAGTCGGGTACAGCTTTAGGTGACTGAGTCATTTTCTCCTCATAGGCAGATGAGTATGATCCTGCTCCAATGAGCGGATATCCTCGGATAATGTGATCAGAAAGCAGCCGAGAATGTGAGGTTCCATCATGTAGGTGCTGTTTCTCCTGCTTTCATTAAATCGAAGTTTCCTTTTAAGTGAAACTTTGATGTAATGTACGTTGGTATACAGTAAAATCTCGGTATAATGAAATGGGATATAACGAAGCAATTGTAATTCTCCTTAAAATTCTCATAGATGTCCATCTATTTAAAAACTCATTTTAACAAAGCAAAAATTTCCTCACAATGGATATAACGAACCATTCTTAGTCTGCAATGAGCATTTACTGATCATTTTGGTATACGTGAATTAAATATCTTATGGCGCGACTGTTTACGTCTTATCACGGCTGCGGTCATTAAAACTCGCGTGTGGGAGCAAGTCTCCCTGCCTCTCCTTTCCTCGGGGACTAATGAACTCGCCCGCTCAGCAACTTCGCGAGTGTGCGCGTGAGCCGGCCTCCCCTCTCCTGTAGAACTCGTTGACCCGCCCGTGCATCTGACCTCTTTCTCCCCTTCAGCTCCGCGCCGGAGCCTCGCACACCACCGGGGCGGCGTAGATTGTGGCTTTCGTCCTTGTCGTTCGCTGTGGAAGGAGTAACACCAACTCTATCAGTTTCTGCCGCTACACACAAAATGGACAACGGCAGTGGCAACCATGAGCGCAAACTTAAACAATCGAGCAGAAGTCGACAATGTTAAAAGCCGGCGAGTCTGGCGTCAAGAAAAAAAAAAAAAGTGGCCGAAGATTTTGGCGATGTAGCTGGGTGTCGAGGGTGACCAAGCCGATGACGTCGTGGGATGCTCTTCTTGACGCCGGCGTTGAGCCTGACTGCGACACTTTCTGCATGTACATCGGTGCCGATGCTGACACTGGCGACGACCGAAAAATTGTCAGATGCAGAAATTGTGCCGAATGAAAACAAAACAGTGATGTGGAATCGGTGACGATTGTGTCGACACCCTTGAGCCTAAAATTGGCGAACCCGACAACCGCGCAAGTGCTGGATGCGACAGACCTGCTGTGCTGCTTCTTTAGTGCTTAGGATGACGATGAGGACGGACCCGAAATAGCTGCTGCAGCTGAAAAACCAGTCATCCGCGTGAGGAAGAGTCGGGAAAGTCAATAATATTAAGGACTATTTTTCTTTGAAGTGATCTGCCAGCTGGTGTGCTGAATTCGGCGGAAATAAAGTGCATTGTTCTTTTTTACTTTGCTATTTTCTGCTGGCCTGATGGTTGTTTTTTTCTGCGCGGCAGGCTGCTGTGATATTCGTTGGTGTGTACATTCTCTCTTACTGGCTGATTGCCGGTAGAAATGGATATTGGCTATAACAAACTAACGGCTATAACGAAGTAATTACGACTCCCCCTTCAACTTCGTTATAGCAATATTTGACTGTAATGAATTACTAAATGTGACAAACTTAATCCATCTTACAAGATACTGGTGAGCGAATAGCTTCGCACATCTTTTTTAGAAAAGCAGGGCAGATATAAGAAACATGGATAAAGAAGATGCACACTACACAAGACGTCTTGGTTCATCCTTGTTGAAAGCAACTTCGTTTTAGCGAGATATAGCTGTATAAAAACAGAACAGGGACCACATAAGTATAGTGAAGAATGCAGGCAACGGAAACAACCTACTGTGGAGTCCTAAATAAACCGTAAGTTTAAAACAACACATTTATTTGTTGTTTATTATTATTATTAATATTATTATTATTGTTATTATCATTATTAAAGGGACGCTGAAACACTTAAAAAAAAAAAACGAGAATATGGTGTCATGATGCATAATTTCATGCGGCGAAACTCGACAATCAAGTTGAAAGTTTGCATAAACCAATGCAAATAACTGTATTTTGACGAAAACCAGCAGCAGGTGCCGCGGCTGCCATCGCGAGTCTCGCCGCTGCTGTGATTGGTCGAAGCTCCGTGACGTCACTGTCAGGAAGGTAAAGACAGCTGAAGGCGCTCGCCGGCAGTCAATGCCGTGTTTATCTGTTGAGGCGCTGCGCCTGTGCTTCCTACCGGGCTGCAGAAATTAGGCACCCTTTCTTCTTCTAACCACTTATTTGTTGAAATCGGGCAGTTGCTGCAAGATGGCGAACTGTGAACGTCAGACCGAGTTGGCTGTACATCCGTACATGTTTGAGCCGGTCGCCACTTAAAGGGCGACGACTAAAGCGGCGCAAGAAAAATAGTCCCAACCAGCCACCTTCAACCGCGTCGAAAACATAGACTGGCATGTATAAGATGCATGCCAGTGCTTAATTTCACTGTCAAACTGTTACAAGTTATAAGCTTATCAGTGGATATCAAATTCGATAAGAAACAGCAGCATTGGTACTAGTAATTCATGCTCGCTTTTAGCCTATTGGCATGGTCCGCGCGGGCAGCAGGCAGAAACATTAACTGTTTGTGGATTTCACAGCTCAGAGGAAGACAATGCACTGTGGGAGGCGGCCAGCGGCAAACTCTCGTCTTCAGGAGACAGTGGTGCTTCGTCTGACGAATAGAAACAGTTGCGATGGTGGTAGAGGGGAGTTCTGACGATCGGTGCGAGATGTGCCGAATTCGCAAATAAATATCGTTTGCAATTTCGGGTTGTTTTACTTTTTTTTTTTTTGGTAACCTGAATTTCGAGGCTTGACCTATATTCCCACTCGACCTATAGTCCGGTTTATACAGTAGTTGCCGGCTGGGCGGTGGCTCGACCCTGAAGGTGACGTCACCTCTCCCGTGCTCCGCCCCTGCGCATGCACGTGCCGGGAGGGGGAAGGGGGCGTTCTTTTGGTCTAAGTTTGCTCGCTCTTAGCGCCTTTGTTTAATCGAACCTTGCGAAAGACACCTCCGCAGACATAATGTATGAAGTCGCGGATACTGAATTCGCCATAAATTCGTGAATTCGAAACCTCTTAAGTGTCCCTTTAAAAGCAAGAAGAGTCCAGTTTTGACCGTTGTGTGGTGCGTTCATTGCAGCCTGGTTCTGTGAGCTCCCTTGTGTGCGTGACTTTGTGCTGGACGTGCTGCTGGGCTGCGGCAGCGAGGAAGTGAGATGTGCGGCACGCGACGGTCTGCACCGGCTGAGCCGCACTGTTGGCCAGACCCCCTTGCGGCCGTTCCTGCTGCAGCTGCTGCTCAAGGCGCATCTGCCACTCTGGGTGCCATCGAGCTACACCCGAGGCTCTAACCAGAGGTCAGTCACAGAGGGTAACTACCGACAATGGCCAGCACGCTAGGACTTTATCGTTATAGCTAGACTAGAGCACATAGTGAATTTTAGTTTTGAATGCAAATTCAAAACAAATAGTAATTTGTTGAATATTTGCAAATAGAGTTGACATAGTATAAATCACAGTCATAAAGAAGAATGAGCGCATATTTGTCATTGCACAACCAACCTGCACAATATTTTTAAATATTGAAACAAGGCATATGGAAATATGATCATTTTCAGGTTCAAAGGAAGGGGAAACAACTTTTGCTATAGTAGCAGGATTCGAGTATCGGTAGAATATTAGTGGTAACCTGTAAATGCATAAGAATTTTTAAATTTTGAAAAAAAAATTATAAATTGATATGAGAGTAACATGTTTACTTGACCTTGAAATGGGGTTTCGCGGCAGTGGGGATTTTTGTTTGAAGGGCACGATGTGTCTGGAAGTGTATGAAGGTTTAGGGCATCGCACATAATGGTGAAAAGAGCCTCTTGTCATGTTTATACTAGTTAAGTTGTGAATAAACAGGCAGATGATAGAGGGGCCATCGCCCTTTCCCATTTTCTTGTGCTGCCCTCTGCCGTTTTGTTAGGGTTGTGGGGGGGGGGAGAAACGCATTACTAGAACAAAGACGCCCGAGACCAGGAGGCATTTCGTGAGATTTCCGCTAGGTAAGGGCGCATGCACTGTGGCATCGTGAAAAAGGCGGATTGTGTTTGCAATCCACGAAATGGACACCTGGCATGACAACTGTTGAGGGCTTTAGCTGGTGGCAGTGCAGCCTTCCTTTTCAGATAAATGGGGACCACGTCAGGATTTTTTAATACGCTCCCAAAGCGTAGTACAGTAATGTCATAGTTTGTCCGTCTTTAAGACTTCATGTCTTCAAAGCCTGTCAATTATTACGGATGGCTGCTGCTGCGGGCGACAGACTGAGACATGGCTACGTTAACTACAAAACCCATTTAATAAACACTCACACGCGGCACACCCTCTATATACAAATACAGTAGACTCTCAGTAAACAGAAATCTATTAAACGGAACCACTGCCTGTGCAATACTTGGTTTCGGGCTTGTATTCTGCACCCATGTTCACCTCTGAGTAAACGAAACTCTTGTTAAATGAAACATATTTCCCTGGTCTCTTCAGGTTTCATTTACTGATAGTATAGTGTGTACAAAAATGTACAAAATGTATATTAATACTAACTTCTAATTTGAACTCAGATGCACTAAGCGTACACTTCAGCAGGGCTACACGCTATAATCTGTCCTCGTCAACGACAGGCATCCCTAGCCTCATAGCCGTGCTCAAGATTTGCACTGTTCTTACTTGACTAAGCCGATTCGGTGCTCGTCAATGTCTGGGATCTGTCACGTTGCGTCACTCTTGGGGTCCTCGACGAACGTCGCTGTTCTTCGCCGCTGCCGATCTGGTCGCCCGTCGTCGACATCACTCGATGTCGGTGACGTATCGATGTCTTGATGGTTGGGCCTAGCGGCCACAGGCAATACCCGGTGCTCAATGCTGACGTGGTCACCCAGGGTCTGTGTTCGGAGGCTTCATTTTACCATATGGTGTAGTAGCGCAAATTCACGGGGACAAAGAGGACAAGAAAACACGACACTCGCTAGCGAGTGTCGTGTTTTCTTGTCCTCTTTGTCCCCGTGAATTTGCGCTACTACACCATATGGTAAAATGATGTCTCACCAACTAGCCCAGCTCTCAACCCTACTGAAGTTCGGAGGCTTGCTTCGAAGAGGCCTTGTGCCAGGAATGTCGGCGCTTGCTGTGCGCAGCGGCTGCATCCCGAGCAGCCTCCCTCAAAGCGTGTCGAGGTCTCGGTCTTCTTCTCAAGACGCACGTGTCACAGGTTGCGAAGTCATCAGTATGCTAGTTAGTGATGCGTCCTTCGCCTGCGAAACCTACGTCGACAACGCCAGCTTATCGCTGCTCGTGCGCCGATCGCCACTGGGGTCACACGCCTCGGGCCCCCGCTGTACGATGCACGTGCTCACGCCTTCTTCTAATCTTCGCTCGACTTCCTCCTCGTCTTTGTGTCCGAGAAGCTAAGGAAAACTACTTCTTTCCAAAGTCTTTTTGATGTCCTAGTCTTCATCTGTAACTTTTTGTACTCGCTCGTCTTCTATTCTCTCTTCCGTTCAACTCGCACTGGTCATCACAACACCATTTCACCAGCACGTCATCTAACACTACGCTGCACTGCACTGTTTGGCAAATCCACTACATTATCGTCCGTAACACTTTTGGCTATACTCAAAAATTTAACTACTGCAAGAGTGCAGCACCCGCTGTTCAAAATGTTGACTAACTCATTGTGTACAAATTTCAGCTACCGATAATGTCATCTATCAACCGACTTCAAACACATTCCACAGGGCCATCTTTTTTCCATGAAAGCAATTGGGAGTCTGAGACAACTTCAGTCTGTGCTTTTTCTCGTTCCACACCTTTTTTCATTTCTTCCTATGTCTGCTATTCGCTCTGAGGAATGAGAGGGAGTGCCGGGGGGTTGGGTGTGGTCGACAATCAAGGAACGAGGTGGCGAGCGAGTGGGGTTGTGTGTGGATCTCTGAGGCTGTGTGTAGTATACAGTCGAGGAACGAGGTGGCGCGCGAGTGTCGCGCGGGAAGCGAGATGCGGGGAGTTGGGATGTGGCACGGAGAATAAATGGTTGTGTGAGCATGGTTGCCTGTCGTCAAGTGTATCGTCGTGCGTGACAAATGGGGGCTCGTCAAGTATCGACATGGCAACCGAAATGAACAGCGTGAATGTGCTGGAAGAGCTGCTGCAGCAGTTGCTTGGACAAACGAACGGCTGGGGTACGTCCTTCCTAGGAGCTGTGCTCGTTGGGTTCCGTCAAACGCATTGCCGCTTCGACCCCTCGTCAGCGCATGTCTGTGTTCCAAGCACCCGCGCCTCCGTCTGTCTCGGCCACGTCCTCGCTCGTGCCCTTCTTTTCTTTCTCGTGCTCCTATTTTTTCTAATTTCTCTTATATTAATAATGTTCTTTTCTTTTATTCCTTCTTCCTTTTTTTCTCGCTTTTCTACCACCAGTTGACATGTTCACGACAGAGCCTAAGGCGACTGCTAGAGCTTTACTGGCTTGTGGTATAACTGGCTGTGGTTTACTGGTTTACTGGCTTGTGGTTTTCGTTGTGTAACTGTTGCGCACGCGACACTTTATCATAAGGTATCTACCTCTCTGAAAAGTGGGAAGATTGCATGCTACCACTGACTGGAGTCATTTTACTGTCATTTGGTCATGTTTGTTTCACACATTTTATGGGGTTGTAACTCCTGCAGGTTACTTGGGCAATGTGTCGAGTACTTCGACCTTGCCTGCCGGCTCCTGGCTGACTCCAAAGGCAAGTCTTTAGTTATCATTTTTGTTTTTAAGAATAAACGTATCAGTGGCAGGAAGTGACGAGAAAGCTGGCTGAAACTTGACGAGTTTGGTAAATGGGACTTTACTGCTAGTATTTATGTGTAGGATGTTTCAGGTGCTTCTCACCTTCTCTCAAGCGAGTCTTTCAAAGAGCGTGTGTAATGTCCTACATAGGGTTCATTACAGTTTCGCAGTCGCATGCTACAACAGTGCATATCAAGCAGATGGGATAAACTGCTGTCTCACTGAAAAAAAAAAAAAAAAAAGTTGGAGCCGAGTGAGTCGATGAAGCCTGCTGCTTTTTCTGGTCATTGCTTTCGGTCATAGCTTTCTTTCACAATGTTAAAATTTAATGTTTACCTAAGGGGACAGTTACTGAAACAGAACCGTTGCCAGCATCTATCTATTTATATGCCCCTCGCTTCTCATCGCTTGGCAGTTTTCTTAAGAGGTTCAGGGGTTTTCAACGTGAGCTTGTTGGTGACACATATTTATGGGGACTGATGCACACAAGGAACCGGGACACAAGGAACACACATAAAGAGATGCACAATCAAAGTTAATTGGGAAGAAATTTTACTTATACTAACGTCGTTATCAACCAAAGAAATTGCATATCTCGCTGGTATGACACGTGTGTTAGTTTTGCCTTTGTTTTGCTCAGTAATAAGCAATCAGTGTTAAATGTTCGTATTAAGGTCATGTTTTTTGCCAATAAACTGTTGGTAGTTTATTCAGCTTTGGTAGCTAACACTGCGCTCCACTACAACAGGAGGAGAAGTACTTACTGTCACGCACGCCTTGCTTTTGTGGCTACCTCTCAGGTGACGCACCCGTGGACGTCGCGCAGATGCTCGAGGACGAGATCGCCTGGCTACACAGTTTCTCGCCGTCCGACAGCCCGCACGACCGCAGCATGGACGCCACGCTCATGACGGGCCACTTTCACCTCGTCCGCACGCTGGTCGCCTGCAACGGCGACGAGCGCAAGGCTGACGTCGGCCAGAGCCTCGTGGCCACCCTGCTCGAGTCAGTACTTGTTTCCGGCCTCGAGCCTCATCGAGAAGAGCGCCAAGGGTGACACGCCCGAGCCCGCCGTCAAGCCCAAGTGCGCCGCCGCCGAGCCTCGCACCGCCGCCTTCAGCGTCCTCGTCGAGCTCGCTCGCTGCTGCCCGACCAACCTGGAAAGGATTGTTCGGTGGCTCGTCGACAGGCACCATCAGCTCAAGTCTGAGCTCATCAAGGAGTTCGAATACGAGCCGCTGATTGCGGGGCGTGCCGAGAGCGGCTATGTGGGGCTCAAGAATGCCGGTGCCACCTGCTACATGAACTCAGTGCTGCAGCAGCTGTTTATGCAGCCAGGGCTTCAGGAGGCCGTGCTCGCCATCGATTCGGACAAAGTCGAGGAAGAAAGGTCGGTTGAGAGGGCAACTCCTGACTGTAAATCGACTTACTGGGGCTCTTCGATTTGCCACTTCTGGCTACCCGCGGGCTGCCAGAGCCAGCCAGAGCACCCTCGTTTTTCTCGGGCTGCTTTGTCTCACCTGCGGCGCACTTCCGGTTGGCGTTTGTTTTTCTCGGGTTGGACGGTTCTGGCGACCTGCGGGGAGCCCGAGGGTCGCCAGACGCTTCCAGGACAATTTAGTTGTGGAAGCTTTCTGGAAGGTGTTGAGCAGGTTTTGTGCTAGCAGACGCCAAAAAGGTACGATGCGCGCTCGGTGCCATCTTTGGGAGGACTAGATGGATTGCAATCTGGGTGCTTGAGGACTGCGCCTTCGCTTGTCATTACGCGTGGCGTTACCTTCTAAAGCTTGTTCCGCTTTGCGAGATGAGGCGGTTACGAGTGTTGCGAGTGTTTAAAGCTACTGTTCATTGCTTTTGTTATGTTTCCCGTGAAGCTTCCTCCTGTGAACAACGCAGTGAACTGTTGACTGCGTCGTGCACATGCCTTAAAAGTTATGTACATAGTACACGTTCGTACGCACGCATGGAGACAACTTTGGAGTTAATTTTTTTTTTCGTAGTAGTCGTTTGTGAAGCTGTGCCTGCTTTCTGTGCACTTAGCGAAGACGATTGTGATCGAACTAGCTCGCTCCGTCGTATGTTTGCGTACGTGAACCTCTTAGAACCTCTGTCCGTGACTACACAATTGATCTTCGATGGTGATAGAAGGCCCCAGATCGCGACTATTGGTGATGCTCGCTGGTCGCGAACGGCATGCGAACCCATTTCTATCTATGAGCCAGCATATGTGGTATGATATTATACGATACAGGCGCGAGCAAAAAAAAAAACGGAGAATGGAATCGGAAATGGATACATCCTTTCGTGGCCAATTTCATTGTTGGCTTGGTCTTTTTTCACCTCTTCTTAATAATGCCGCGCAGTACATACTATGACCTAGAGGTTGAATCGAAGCTGATATACATGACATTCGTTAAGTGCCACTTAGGACTGAAAAACAGGCCAAGGCAAGTTCTAAATGGGTCGAGAATGTGTCATGCTAATGTTTATTTTGTATACGACGCGCACTCGTGGATATTGATACCTGCACATATGATAAACTTTAGACTAGGCTTGTGCGAATAGTCAATTTTAGGTTCGAAGCGAATTTGAAGTGAGTAGTGATTTTGATCGAATAATTTCTAATCAAATTCGAATGGTAGGTATGACATATAAAAAAAAAGGAATATTTATTATGACCTAACTAACCTGCACAATATTTCTTTTGAATTGAAATAGGGGTTCTACACAAATGCCATTTTTTTTTTTCGTTCAAAGGAAGTCTAAACAACCTTGAGTAGTAGTTTAGGTAGGATGCGAGTGATAAGATACTTAAGGTTTTAAAATTTATTATAGTTGGATTATATACAGCCGTTATAACAAGCTTAATGAAAATGAGAATTGATTTGAGGAGTAACATGTTTTTTCAAAGGGGCCCTGCAACACTTTTTCAAGTAGCCATGGAGCCAGTAAACTGTGCTTGGTGCCTCACAAATTTACCGCCGCAAAGTTTCTGGAATCAGTCCAGTACGAGTGGAGTTCCAAAAGTTTGTCGCACAGTGCAATTGCATTCTCTCTTCTTGTCCCAACGAAATAGCTGGAAGTTAAGCAGGGATGAATGGCACGGGGAAAAAAAATGTGACGTAAGAAAAAATGTCACACGCACCTTGTGACCTTGAGCACCTCTTCACATTTTTTTTCTTTGAATACGCGGCTTTTCAGTGCAATCGCACACGTACTCGCAGACAAGCGGCGACTTCCCGCGGTGGTTCCGGTAACGACGGTGCACCATGCTCAAATCTGCCAATGGCTGTGACCAGAGCTGTATATTCCTTCTTGGCTGTAACAAGTGATCTTTGAGCTTGTAGTGTCAATTGCCGAGGAAAGAAAGCAATTTTTAGCCTTGAATATTTATTGTGAATAACAAGCAGCGTGCTGTGCTATATTTACCTCGTGTGTTCTCGGTAGCCTCGACTACCGATCCGCAGTTGTTTTCTGACCATGTTCAGTAAATGTTGCAGGGCCCCTTTAAATTTGAAGGGAGGCTTCGCGGCAAAGCAAATTTTCCCTGGATTAAATGTTTTCACGGTTCAGCACTGCTACAGTGCAGTGAAACCACCTTTACAGGTGGTGCCATGCAGATTAATACATCTATTTGTTCATTACTGAATACTTCGAAAATATTCGATAATTTAAATTCGAAACGAAGTGAATTCGAATACTCAACTATTCGTTCGAATATTCGAAGCATTTGAATGTTCGCACAAGCCTACTTTAGACAAATACAGAAGTTGGTGAACGTGTGTTTGCGACGTATAATACGCGATAGCTGAGCAGATATCGAGCTCTTTTGGGGACACGATCACTTTCGCGTGACTTCGCGTCATGTTGTGCAGTGACTGATACATTTACTAAAGAGACAAGAGCTTGTCAAGCCGTCAGTGTCGCGGCAGCTCACCTTGCATCGTTCTCGAGGCAGCATGCGCCAGCTGGCTGTTTCGTTCGCGGACGCGGCGAATGATCGTGCGAACGTACGAAGTCGTACCCCAAACGCATAGACTCGAGGATATTATTTCAGATTTTTGGCGAGCTTAGCTACGTATTTTCAAGCGCACAATGCAGAAAAAAAAAACCAACACGCACGTGGCGCATTTTTTCGTTTGCTGCCATGACGATAGAGTTTGTTTACGTTTATGCTGGCTGTCCCAGCGTTCGATTTTGCTATCTTTGGGCAGCTTCGGGTTTTCTCGGGTTCCCCACACACGTGACCGCAATGCTGTTTCCTGTCCAGACCGGAACTAGCTGACTGATCCTTTGGCTAGCTCTGGCTGCCAGAGAGCTGCCAGAGGCCTGAAAATCGAATAGCCCCACTGACGCACATCCGAAAGGGTGCTTAGCAGGGCTTAGCATTTTGATTTTGCAGACTTGTGCAAATATTACATTTTTGGTTTCAAGTGAACTAGAGCATCGCAGGGAGTGCATTGCTTGTGTAAAGCTTGTCATTGTCACGTTAACCCAGCAGGCTATTCACCGCATCGGTGCATGGCCAGAAGCGGAGTGGGCGTACTCTACAAGCGGATCAACAGTCACAGTGTGTGCCGAGTAAGCGAAGTGCCGCATGCAACTAGCCATGCAGTAAAAGATTTGGCTCTTTGCGACTGTACCGCGTTTAAAAAAAGCTGCATCAGTTTTCGCTTAGAATCAGACCGGAGAACAGCTGTATCACGAACGGCCGATTGTGTCCGTTCGGTTGCTATACCACACTGCGTATCTCGGACCCCGCAGTAGGTTATGTTTCCTGTGGCACTGAATTTATTCCCTTCTTGGCGGCGATGGCGCATGTCAGGAGATGCAAATTTGTAGCAGGTGGTTAATGCGTACTACGTTTAGTACAAAGTTATGCCGCCGTCCCCGGCAGGTATGTCTTAAAGGGGTTTCACTGTAACAGAAATATTTAAATAATAGTAAAGTGCAAGTTGCAGGTGATCAAATTTTCTAAAATTTCAAACATACCATGCTTGGCCTATGTTAACACACATTTAAAAAGACAGCAAACTTGATCAAGTGCGGTCAATGTGAACACTTAACAACTTTGGCTTCGTAGCAGTGCTTATTTTACCTGAAATGACACTTTCACGGCATAGCAGGTGCAGATAGCAGTGGTGCCACTTTTTAAGGCGGGTTAGATGCGGTTCATACATCTATTCACTTTTTTAAAATACATCAAAGCTTTGAATATTTTAGGTTCATGTCAAATTGATTCAATTACTGTAATATTTGATTTAATAGTAAAAGTGCTGGCATATTCACACAGGTCTTGTATGCAGTTGCAAATATGCCTGTGAATAGTCGTTATGGTGGCCATATAATCCAGTGACGTCACCACACACTTGTGGCACTGCTACGCACTGAGGTTCCAAAATGCATGACACGGAACAAGCATGCAAAGGGGCCATAGTTTTTGTTACCGCTTTAAGGAAAAATGAAGGTTTTTGGCAACATAAGTAGGGAGTTTTCTAATTGGTGCCCCAAAAGATTGGGGCCCCAAAGCTCTTTGCTTCAGGTCAAGCAGGATCTAAGAGTTTTCTAATAGGGTCTGCGGCTCTTTGGATACTCTCCCAATTCTCGCTCATGTCACTTCAGTGGGTGCCATCACATTTGTTTGACGCAAAGCTTTCGAGGCAGGCTTTGGGGCTCCTGCTAAATTCAAGAAATAGTATCCCCAACGCAAAACCCAAACGGGGTTTGGGTTTTGAGCATGCGCAGTGGCCTTGACACGATTTTCTTGGGGTTCCGAACTTTTGGAGCTCCTATTCAAAAACTCCCTAACGTCTCGTGTTGCTGTGCGCACGCAGCCTGCTGTTCCAGACGCAGTCAGTGTTTGGCCACCTGCTCGAGTCCCAGATGGAGTACCACGTGCCGGAGCAGTTCTGGCAGTGCTTCCGGCTGTGGGGTGCACCCGTCAACGTGCGCGAGCAGCAGGATGCCTTTGAGTTCTTCAACCACCTGCTGGATCAGGTGGACGAGTACCTCCTCAAGATCGGCTGCGACCCCGTCTTCAAGCCCTTCTACGAGGGAACTTTCTCTGACCAGAAAATATGCCAGGGATGCCCTCACAGGTTGGAAAGGCGTCTTTGACGGGGGTACTAACACAAATCTTCGAATGGGAGTTTTCTCGGCCATACAAATCTCCTCTACTTGGCTTAACCCATATATGCTCAGTGTCCTACATGTAGGACGCTGAAAGTTTTCTGTATAACTCGAATGTTTTTTTTTCTGTAAAAAAAAGGTAGCGCCACCTATGGTGCGTTTATAATGCCAGTCCTCGTCACATGCAAGTTTAGGTGATCGCTCAGCTACAATTAACCACGCGCTTGCAGTCACAAAATGGCTATTTAGCGTGCGTGTAGCTGAGTTCCATTCCACGAAAAAATATTTAAGTATTATAGAGTCAAATTGTTCTTGATACTGCTGATATTTTTGTCGATTCTTCGTCAGTTATTGGGTCTAGAGTAACTTTCGTATGACAGTGATAGGCGCTGATGTTTTTTTGTTCGTGATGCTTCAAACATTGATGTCCTACATGCCGTATTTACTCGCGTAATCTTCGCACTCGCATAATTCTCGCACCCCCATAATTCTCGCACACCCCACATCGCCCAACAAAAATACGATTTCTTTTTTTCCTCGAGTAATTATCGCACCCCGAAGATGCCGCAATAATGTCGTCTGCTTGTTCCAGCCACTGATGATGATAGTGCACGCCATCTGGCGCCATCTCTTAACCATCAATCGTACTATTGCACGGAGATTCGATTCAATCCAAGCCAAGCCAAAGTAGCCAGTGCACGTTGCAGCGTGTTTTGTATGTTGTGTCGGTAATCTTGTCACGTTATGAGGCGATACTACTGAAGCTACATGGCTCCTTTCAAGTTACAAGTGATAAATCATGCTCTAAGCAACGACAACAGGGCCGCCGGTAGGCCCTTTGGAGCCTATGAGTTTTGTGTTCGCTACTGGTGACGGCAGCTGAAAGCCACCAAGACGCGTTGGGCCTGCCGTGTGCCTAAAACTGGGATTGATGGTAAACTTTATTTCTTCAGAAGGAAACTGTGGACTATTTTGTTAAATAGCCATCAGCCCAATACTGACGTCCTACGCTTACCTCTTGAGGGCTCCTGTTGAGCGACGAACGCTATCGCTATGCCCGCAACGTCCACAAGCTTTGCGTATGGTATTCTACCTCTCGACTATTTGCTTTCACTTTTTGTGTCTCAAATAAATCTTGTCTTGTGTTGAACCTCTGCTTTTATTGTTGAGGTAAGTTTTAATTCTTGAAGCTTGCTGTTATTACTTCTTGAAGCTTACTTCTTGAAGCTTGCTGTTAGTTGCTGGTGTGAGAATCCCGATTCGCGGCCACTTAGTTTTCTTTTTCGCTCTGTACGTTTTCGTGGAAAGTTTTCCCCGTGTAATTCTCGCACCCCCCAACTTTGCATCGGTTTTCCGGCAAAAAAAAGTGCCAGGATTCTGCGAGTAAATACGGTATAGGACAGGTTCAAAAGCATTGTTGAAAGAAGTTGTCTTTTTTTAATTAAGAGTCTTATTTTGTTTACAGAGGTCATAGAAGCAATCATTTTAGGGAAAGAAACTTGTTTTGTTAATTTTCCTAAGTTTTGGCATACATAGGTTAAGTGTGAAGCTCAGTAATTGGGAATAAAATAAACTCAGACCCCGATATAACAAAGCCTTACATAACAAAATATCGGTTATAATGAAGGAAATAAAAATTGTCCAACAATAAATGTAGTGTCAGGATTATACTTTCATGATGAATTTTTGGATATAACGAACTTTTTTTCGTGTAAGGTGCAACATTGTTATATTAAGGTTTGAGTGTACAGTCGAACCCCTTTATAAGAGACACTTATACTAGTGACATTGAGGTATAAGAGACACCACTGTGCCTACAGTAAACTACGGGTTGATGGGAAAATGCATACATCTCATATAAAGGCAAGAATTGCTGCCCAGAGCATGTCTCTTATAAAGAGGTTCAACTGCATTTCATTTTGACATCAAAGTCCATTTTTGCATGGGGCACTTATGACATCAACACTAACGTGATGCCAGGCGACAGTGTCAATTGTGGTGACTTCACACATCATTATTGATACTTTTGATGATGCAAAGCTCTAAAATATTAAAAATGGCCACGTGTGCAATGTAAATGGAGCCAGGAACGGAGCAGTCGTGGAAAAATTAGATGTATTGCACAAAATTGTGACAAGAAGCTCATACCATGTTGTGACGTCAAGGTACAGCAGGAACTAGCACTAGCTTTTAAAACGTACTGTGATTGCATTGTTCAAGGTGCCCTCATTCTTAGCAGCAAGTTTGTTTGTTTTTTTACACTTTTGAAGGCTCGGCCTTTTATTTCACCCCCCCCCCCCCAAAAAAAAAAAAACAAAAAAATAAACCAAGTGAGTTGTGGCTTGAGTAACCTTTTAAGCCACTCTATAATTAATGCAGGTTTGATCTCGAGTCCTGGATTTTAACATGTTAATGTCACTGGCGCTGTATGACATAACTCTGTTACATTTTCTGTGTCTGTTCAAAATTCACCAACAGCCTTCTCCGATTGCTGAAAAAGGTCAAAATTTTCGGGCCGTGCCCATTTTGCATATTCATCAAGCGGAAATCGAAAATGAGAAAAGCTCGGCATGTTAACGCAACAAGCATGCAGAGATTATGCCAAATTATACCAAGTAAAGTATGGGGAATATCAACAGGTGACCCCATTCTGGAATAGCAAGTTATGGCAAAATATGTTCGAAAAAAAAAAAAACAGATCATTGGGCCATTATACGACTGCGGAAATTATAACTGTAGGCAAATAAATTGACTGGCTCTCGCCATTATAGCAAGACAATCAACAAGCAGCCCTCTCGTATTCCTTTTGGAATTGGGCACTCTCCTGCACAAGTGTCGGACAGAACACGTCATTCCCCACAGTCATCACCAGAGTTGACTCGATAGTCTGCCGCAGCGAAGCATTGTTAGGCTGCTGACTCGAAGGTCACGGGTGCGATCCCGGCCGTGGCGGTCGCATTTCGATGGAGGCAAAGTGCTAGAGGTCCATGTATTGAGCCTGTTAAACACCAGATCGTAAAAATTTTCGGAGACCCCCACTGCAGGATCTTTTGTAGTCATACCTTGGTTTTGAAACGTAAAACTGCAGATAATATTCTCAATATTTCAAGTTGATTCCAGTGCTTGCTGTCATGTTGTGAGAGTGGCCGAGAGAGGGTGCTATGTGATGGCACCATCATCATCATCAAGACTGGGAGAAGAAGGGTTAGGGTGGAGTGTTGGGAATGAAGGAGTTCGGTGTCTTTGTTCGAAGCAGTGTGTTTCGCGTGATTTAGGGTTACCGATGTCACGATTACAGCCAAGAGCAAGAGTTCTAAGCAAAAGACAGTTGGACGAAATGACTAGGACAAGCTCATCTTCGTCCATCAACTCATCCATTTTTCTTTTGCCATGCGGTTTAGTTTTTCTCAGTAGTTATGACATACAAAACAGCTTAAGTTCCTATTACATGACAAATCAAATGTCAGTTACAGTGAATGACTTAGTGAACCTAATGTCATTTTACATGCATGCATGGGATCAGAATTCATCCACGATCTATCTCACCAGATATGAACGTGAGGAGACCTTCTTGGCCCTCAACTTGCCCGTAAAGAGCCAAAGCCTAAAGGAGTCCCTAGACCAGTTCGTCAAGGGAGAGCTGCTGGAGGGTGACAACGCATACTTGTGCGAGAAGTGTGGCCAGAAGGTGAGCATCTGGACGTGACTTAGCATGCCAATTTTAGTTCGGGAATGTTCCGTCAAAGAGTAGGGAATGTACTGTGTTTATTATTTAATTTTATTTGTTTATTTACATCAAAATTTTATCAAATACCAGGGGGGAAAGCTGATACAATCAGCTTTCCAATCACAGTTTAGCACCAGTCTCAGGTGTCTTTGTGCCATGTGTTAACATAAGATAAAATTCCGAGCAAGCACTATACTCAAGGAAGCCTTCCCCTTTGCCGTTTTGCTTTTTTTTTGTTCTAAGATTTTATTTGCTTGTAGAGAGTGAACAAAACATCTTGTTAATGCATGTTTAAGCACTTCATTAGAATCAGGCGTGTGCATTCTTTGTTGTGAGGGGCTGCCCCATCATTTTCTTGAATTTTGATCCACTGAAGAGCTAGACTTTGCGTAGAGGATCGCTTGCCTCTTGAAAGCAGCGCTGTACTGTTGCCGGCTGTAGCAGTGGCATCTTGGCATTTGTTGAGCAGCTTTGCAAATCGCGCACACCACTGTTCGCAAGCAAGGCCAAATGCAGAAATGGTGGACAGGTGTGAACGCAAAAAGACATATTTTCCTGGTTCCTTCAGGTTTTTTTAATGAGAGTCTACTGTCAATTTAAAAGTAATACTGTTGTGAGTGACATTTGGAGTTGTTTTGAAGTTCCTGCTCTGGGGTAAGTGGAACAATGGAGTTAAACTTTCTGGATTTCTTCATTAATGCAATACATATTGATGCTGCATTTAATAAAAAATAATTTGCGACAGTTTAGTGAGGGAATCCCATGTAAAAGTAGAAGCAAATGATGGCAATCATATTTAAAATGAGCTTGCGTTTTGTTATTTCAGCGTCAAACAAAAAAAAGTTCAGTGTTTGTCCAAGTTCGCACTTGCCTCTTAAAAGTAAAATGTGGCCATGTTTTTATTTTTGTTGGCAACCTTGTGTGCAGCGTAATACAGTCAAGCGAACATGCATCAAAAGGTTGCCCCAAGTGCTGGTCATCCAGCTGAAACGGTTTGGCTTTGACTGGGAGGCCAACCGGGCGGTCAAGTTTGACTACCACTTCAAGGTGCGTCATCCTAGTTTCGGCTTCTCATACTGTCTTACGGACTCTTTGCATGTTATGTTAGCTTTTCTTGTGCAATTATCAACCATAGTTCTACAAAGAAAGATCATTGTCATGAGGCTTTCGACAAAGGTACTCTTTATTAGTGCAGCAGCCAATTTTTTGATCAGTGGTTCTGTATGCACAACTCATTCTCTGCTACTGTCAATGATGAGAAGAATGTTGCCAGAGTGGTGGTGAAAGGAATAAAAAAATTTTTTTTGAAATGAATAATAATACGTGGAGTTATATTGCGGGAAAATTCGTTTAGATACGGCTGTTTGTTTTTACTAGAAGTAAGAGTGTTAATAGTCCTCGAGAATCGGCATGAGTAACAAGCAGGCATCTATTATTCAGTGGGCTTAGTTGCTTCATGGAACAAAAGCTAAGAAAGATGCACGATTTTGGTGTTTGAAAAGGGTAAAGTTTCTTCGCAGTGTTTCAATAGACCCTTTTCAAAATTCACCGCCGCCTATCGAACGAAACCGGAAACACATTTTTTTTTCGCCATGTCTTGTTCACCCAATGGACACTTATTGGCGTACCGTCCAAACGCGGTACACGTCCAGCAGGAACGCAAGCGGTATCCGTATGCACTGCAGAGAACACTCATCGGCATCGCTGGGACACACAGCCCGCCAGCTCGCACAAGTGGACAAGATATGGCGGAAGAGCCATGTTGCCAGACTGAATTTTCTAAAGGGTCTATTTTGACAAAGTACGGGGGAACTTGAAATGAAATCTAAAAAAAAATCATCCAGCTTTGTTTGGTGGACGCTGATAAAACAGCAAAGCTGATGGCATTTAGTGTGGTTAAGTGAAGTGAAATGAAATTGGAATGAAGTGGGATTAAGTGGGAAATTAAGTGGGTGAGGGAAGTCGCAGGAGTAGCAGTAGCCGTATTGGTGAGTTGTAGGAGTAGTGGCACATATCTTTAGTGTGATTTACCCTCAGAAAGTGGGTAAATCCCGCTACGATCTACAATTGCCAGCGGACATGAAAGCGTTGACCAGCAAGACTTCGCTATAAAAAACATGTGTCAACCCACATCTTGTTGAACTCTGAATTGAAGAAAAGTGAACACGGTAATGCAGAAGATGTGGGCTTAGAGCCAACTTTATCCAGGTAATGCTTTCCTGTGCTTCTCTGCCTGCCTCTTCTCAGAGGCAGGTGGTGTCCAGTTAAAATGCCACTTATTTGCATGTGCCTACCTGCCTTTCCATTTCTCTCTCTCTCTGCCTCTATTGCTTATCATTTGATTAGTGAGTTAGAGACACATTCTATCCTTTGCTGAGAAACAAGCACAATTCCGAATGGTGCCCACTTAAGGGGAGACGCGGGTCGAAAAGTCGCGGTTTTCCGGAAAAGTTTCGCTTTTTTTTTTTCCGGCTGTATTGGCATCCTTGGACTATAATCTATTACTTCTGAAAATATCAAGCTGAAATTCGCATGAGAAATTATCAAAAAATGCTTCCAAGTGGGCAGCGGTGACGCGAGAAAGGCGCGAAAGTCGCGAAAAACGGCGAAGTTCGCGTCGTCCTGTCGCGAAAACGACGCGTTGGCCGCCATTTGCAATCGTGCACGCATGCTGCGAAGGCTGTATCCTTCATAATCCACTAGTAGCCAGTCTCGTGCCTTCACGCAGAATAAACAAAAAACGAGAAAAACAACGCGTACGTCACGCGTTTTGAATATCGCGGCACACAGCGCGAGGCCGCCATTGGACGGCGGTGCGCTCCACGCTCCTCCCCCTCCTATCTCTCCGGCAAAAGAGCGAAGCCTCGGACGTCGCGATCGAGTTTTTCTGCGTTTCTCTGCATTTTTGCGTCATGGCAAGCCCGAAGAAGTGCAGTTCAGATAATCGAAAGTTCAGAACTCGCCACAAGTATCGAGGGAAACGGCGTCGGACGCTTCGCAAAGCGACAGCGAACGACGATGTCGCCCCCGACCAACGCCCCGACGCTCCGACTTCGGATAGGCCTAACACCGTCACCGAACCCTGCGACAGTGGTTGTGAAATAGCCGCTGCCGTGGAATTCGTCAGTGCATCCCAAAGGAAGATTGGATTCTTCGAGAGTGAACGTAGACCGGTAGATGCTGCTACTGCGAACATGCTGCTTTGCGAATGTTCGCAGTTATTCACTCGCTCCAGATGTAAGACTGTTGTCTTTTGACGATATTTGCAGTGAAGTGTGCTGATGTGGGGCCAATTCTTTTTTCGATTGCTGCAAGTCGTTATGTGATGCTGCAGCATGCACCAGTAGCAAATATTTGTGTGGTGCACTCAGCGTGCCCATCAATTATAGCCACACAACACATTGTGTGACTATGAGCTGCTTGCATTGCAGGAATCAACAAAGAAAGCATATTCCGCGAGATTGGAGCAGCGAGAACACCCGTGCAAAGATAAACTTCCAGTTATTGTTTGTTGTCCACAGCTCCCGCCCACTACCATGTGTAATAGCATCTTAACACACTTTTCATGCACTTCAGACCGGATTTATTCGTGCCTTGGCAAACTCGGTCGCTGTTTTCTTTAATGCTGTGATTAACTGTCATAATCCACTGGTCAAGAAGAAGCAAGAAAGCTGCTCAGAGTGCCTCTAGATTCACTAGAGAACTACAAAAACACTAAATGAGGCCGCACATAGCACAAGGCAAGCAGTAACCAAAGTGATGCCAATGGTTGCGATAGTGTTGTAGGCAGTTGGCTTCCGAAGTGGCCAGACATCCGAAACTTTTCTGCTAATGACCGCTATAAATATGGGGTTCTACACTTTATGGCTGTTTTCTAAATTTGGTGTATATTTCGTTGTTCTTTTTTTTTAACAGTGTTCTCATTTCTTTTCATTTTTGCTTTTGTTTGATAGAGTGATTACTGCTCAATGGGCAAGTGTACTTGTGGTAAAAAGTAAAGTGTTGTAGTGAAAAAATGAAATGTTCACTTTTCGTTTGATAGCATATCTCTGCCGTGGCTCGTTCATTATGGCCACCTATATCAAATAGTACCCCCATATTGAAATGTACAAAGCTCTTTTTGCTCTGTTCTCGAACCCTTTTTGATGCAGTTCCCATGGTCCCTGGACATGTCTCCGTACACCCTCCACGGGGTCATGGAGCAGGAAGGCCGCTCAGCAGGCGGAGGGGACCCCTTGGACGAAGTGTTCAGGCGGCCTCCGCCGGCAGTTTATGACCTGGCCGGTGTCGTGGTGCACAACGGTCAGGCCAGCGCTGGTCACTACTACTCGTACATTCGTGAACGCAGGTGAGGCAAGATTTTCCTGCTGTTCTGACTCTTTATCTCTCTCTCGCTTTTGTGCTTCTTTCTAAATGACAAGGTCAATACTTTGCGAACACGGGGGATGTCCATTGAGAGATCGTTTCGACAAGCTTCTTCAGGGCTGCAACCTTCGAACAAGGGAACCTGATTACAGCCTTGAAGAAGTCCAGTCTGCTTGTTCAAACATCATCTCAAGCAACTCCCAGTGTTGACGAACTTTTCATTTCTTCATGCGTCTATCTCCCCTGGAATTTCGCCTTTTGAAGTGATGTAGCGAAAGCTGTTTATTTGGATTTCACAGTACCGGAAAAAATGTATGAATTAACTGCATTACCATTTATCAAAACTATTAAGAAAACAATAAACCTTTTAGGTAAGTGCACTATTCATTTCCTTGATCAATATGTAAATCTTCTACCTTACTTCGCATAAGATTGGCGTAAAAGCCAAATTCTTACCACTCGTAACTTTGTTCACGATGTGACTGTGGCTGAAGACCTCCATGTCTTATCTTACCCAGAGTGTGCTCATCCAAGATGTCGTTATTATCAATACCATGTGGTTTATGTTGATTATGATGGCGATATAAAATGCGCACCACTGTTCAATTGTCTGCGAACGCTGTTTCCGCTCCTTTGCGTTGCAAACTTGCAGCGATTCGCTCTCCGCATGCTCCGAGAATTGTTATAATTAACTTGGTTGCAGCTAAATATGCCTTTGATGCTATTGAAAAATGCATATGCTTGCTGGGACCAGATAACGTGTCCAAATTTTAAAAACCAATGAACTTTTACTGTAGTTCTTATTTATGTCGTCATTTTGCATCATTTTGTTTGTTAGCATGAAGGCTTGGGTTTGATTCCCATCCTCGGTGGCCACATTTTAAGGAGGACACTGTACATGCATGCTCGTGCACATGGGTATGTGTTTAAGAACCACATTGAACAAAATGTTAAAGAAGGTGCTGAATATAAAAATAAGGCCTCTCAAATCAATTTGCGTCATATCTTTTCAGTTGTAACATTAATTGCGAAGACTGGAATAGGTCGCTGGACAAGTTTTTGCCGAATTTATCGAAGGAGTGCTGTTATTACACAGTTAAACCCAATTATTCTCTTACAGAAAGGCTTGATTTTTCGTATCACACTGTTGTGTCCGTAACACAGCGCAGTTTTAGCAGTGAATGTGTTTGCTCTTTTTTTTGTGCTTTTCAGGAGTGACCCCAGGTATGTGGCTCGCAAGAACACCTGGTACAAGTTCAACGACACAACGGTGGAGCAGTTTGATCTGAACGACTCGACGCTCGAAACTGAGTGCTTCGGTGGCACCTACAAGGCTAAGGTTTCAGACTCTGGTGTGTGCTATTTACAGAAGGAATTTACAGAAACAATCTATTTACAGAAGGAATGGAAGGTCATGTTTTGTGTTTTTTTTTTTTTTCTTTCTACCAGCATCGTGTTATCCCGAGACTCGGCAGCGCCACTGGAATGCCTACCTTCTCTTCTACGAAAAGCAGGAGGACTCACGGACACCTCGCACGCCACACAAGACGCCCGGCCGCTTCTCATTCCGCAGGGACCCCAAGGACCCGACGCCGGTCAAGTGCGTAGCATCAATGTTATTCTCGGAATTAAGTTTTGTGAACCACATTGGGCGTTGAGCAGCTGTGCCACATGTATAATGAGAAACAAAGACAAGACATACCTCTTCCATCGCCATCTTCTTCTATTGCTTTGTGATGTGAAATGCAGTTGACTCGTATTAATTCAAACTCAAAGGGACCTCTAAATTTAGTTTGAATTATCAAAAGGTTTGAATTGTCAGACTTACTGCATGCAGTAAACGGAAAGCAGAGGTGTAAGGTACACAAGTTTATTGGCCATTTACTGCTGATGAGACCTTTTAACGAAATTGTCAATTGCCAACTGCTTCTTTGCTATATAGTAGACTCTCAGTAAGCGGAAATTCGTTTAATGGACATGCTGCCTAAATGAAACAAATGCTTCTGACAAGATTGGTTTCATTCTTGCATTGTGTGTCCCTATTCAACTTTCAGTAAACGGAACTGTTGTTGAACGGAACACATATTACTAGTCCCTTCTGGTTCCATTTAATGAGTGTCTACTGTATGTGCCTTCAGCACAAAGCTCTCTATACCAGTTGAGAAGCATCGTGGTTTACCATGCGTGTGCTTCGTTTCAAACATTTGTTCACTCGCAAAGTCTTTTTCCTTGAAGGCCTCAGTTGCTTACTTTCGATTTTTAGACTGTTAGGATTGTTTTAGCACACAAATTTTTAAAATAGTAGTGAGAAAGCAGCAGATATTTTCTGGTGTGAACCTGCAAAAAGTATGAATCAACCGAATGATGGAGTTTGAATCAAGAGGCTTTTAAGTACATTGAAAGAATAGAGGGCCAACCAAAAAATTTTATTTTATTTGAATTTACCTTAAGTATGAATTATGAGAGTTTGAATTATCAAGAGTCTACTGTAGGTAGGCAACTACACAGCCTGCAGTATTTGTAGCCTGTAATGCTGATATCATGGATGGAAACTCTAATAATGACTTCAGGATCGGAGGCATTGTTCTAAATCAGTGCACAAATGCCTTGGCACGTGTGCCCTGGAACATGCACACGTGCCCTGACAGTTCACTAATTTTTTGAGTCCCGTAACTCCTTCGGTTTCTAATTCTAAAACTCTATTGTTTTGTTATAGTTGGGATGTGCACCTCAGACTTATACTTTGACATACAGGGCATAGTTGCACATGCTCGCTAGCTCGTCTCTTGAATCGGGGAAGTTTATAAGTCTTTTGCTTTCACCGCAAACTTCGCGTCGAAGCTAAAGACCGTACGAAGGTCACCTGGCTCGCTGAAACATCTGCACTTGTAAACGGAGTGAGCTGCTAGCTAGAAGAGTCAAAGTAGGGGCTAGTGGGTATAACAACCGGGACAGTTATTAATTGACGCTCGTCCTTCCTATACCTGTGCATTCTTTTCGTGCGTCCATCTTTGTGTTCGAACAGTGCGCTGCAACTGCCAAGCTGTGCCAGTTATTAGTTCGTGCTTGCCCTGTACGTGTTCTTATCGTGTGTCCTTTGTGCTTGAGCAGTGGGCTGCAAGCTTTGGACTGCTTGCCATTTCTTGTGTCACATTCCACATTGTTGCTATCACATTCGTTGCTTTGCCTCTGCAGCAAAACTGTGACTGTCTTTTTTATCTAGCAGCACACTTTCCCCGATATTAATTACATTTCAATTATACGTTTCTAGCTACTGCATTTTGCAGCAATTTTTTTTAGCATTGTGCGAAACCTATTACAGTTAGCTCTCATTAGTTCAAACGCAAAGGGACCCCTGAACTTTGTTTGAATTATCAGAAAGTCTCGCATAGATGACTTGGGGGTAAGGTGACACGACACATTATGATTAGGCATTGATTTTGTCACATTTAAAATTTTGTAGGTGTTTTTAAGCCCTAACTGCATGCAATGTACAGAAAGCAGAGTTGTAAAGTCCATAAGTTTATTGGCCATTGCTGATCAGACCTTCTAAAAAAATCGTGGATTGCCAACTGCTTCATTGCTATAGGTATGTGCCTTCAGCACAAAGCTGTTTATACCATTTGAGAAGCATCACAGTTTACCATGCATGTGCTTCATTTCAAACATTGGTTTAATAGCAAAGCCTTTTTCCTCGAAGGCCTCAGGTGCCTAGTTTTCATTTTTATACTGTTATAATTATATAAGCACACAAATTTTTAAATAGTAGTGCGAAAGCACCAGACATATTATGGTATGGACCTGCAAAAAGGGTAAACTAACGGAATGGGGGAGTTTGAATTAAGAGGCTTCTAAACACATTGAAAGAATAGAGGGCCAATCAAAAATTGAATTTTGTTTAAAAAAACTGAAAGTGTGAATTATCTGAGTTTGAATAATTGTGAGTATACTGTAGATGCTTTCTATAAGTGGTAAATTGAAGGCTTATTTTGCGCGTGCAGGTCAGCAGTGCGGCGCACGCCCAGTGCGTCATCGGCGGCCGGCACTGCCCGCCAGCGCGGGGACAGCCTTAGCCAGCTGACGCGGCTGGTGGATCACGGGGAGCGGCAGGGCTGGTTCCCGTCCCACATGCCCCCACATATTGGCCAGCAGGTGCGAGAGCAGAACCTCCAGTTCGCTCGCAACCGGGACGTCTACAACACGCACTACTTCGATTTTGTGGCCTCCCTCACATCTATCAACCTGGTGAGCAGCATTCCCCTTTGTTGGAAATGTTTTATGAGTAACGAAATATCAACTGCCTGCACCCATCATTAACTATCCTGATCTATCTCACACCTTATTTATATGGGTAAAAAGTAGTTATGTCTATATGTGCAAAGTAAAGTCTATGGGTTCAAAGTGAAATCGTTATCATTGTGAAAGGCAAAAATTGTCATCTGTCTATATACACTGCGAAGTAAACCTACAATGAAGTCGACTTATAGCGATACCACATATAATGATATATTGGTTATAGCGATTGATCAACCTAAAGGGAAATCTGCTTTGGTTTCGCAAAAAATCGCGAGAAATTCATTTTTCTGAAAATTACACTTTAAATTTCTGCAGCCCTTCTATTCGATTCGGAAATATCTCCTCTAAACACCGCCTAGAAGTGCTCTTAAGAACTTGTTGTGCTTGCCAAACTGGCGAGAAACATCGCGGAAATTGCGAAAAAACGTCGGTTTTTAGAAAATCGTTTTTCCGGAAAGGTGTGGCCGGGCACTGTCGCTTTAGGCTCGTTGGAAAGAGCGTTTCTCCGTGTTCGAATTCCCCGCCTCAGCATCCTCTGTCATTTGTTGAAAAAAAGAGAAAGCAGTTTATAGCTGTGATAATTCATTGGGAATTGCAGGCCGTGTGCTGCGCTACAATATTTGGCTTGCGTGTTCTCGGGAGCCTCTAGTACCGATTGGTAGCGTTTTCTGGCCATGCTCAAACAGTGTTGCAGGGCTCCTTTGAAGGCCCTAAGCCACTCGGGTTATGAGAAACGCCGTAGTGGAGAACTCCAGATAATTTCGACTAGTACTGGGATCCCTCAACAATACTAGCCGTACATTACCGTACCTGGGATTGTTGAAAACTAAAAAAGTGTAATTTTCCCTGCTTTATACAGCGACTTCTTATAGTTGTAGCATTTTATTGGCGATGGCTACAGCTTTCGGCCTTGTTTACCCTGAAAAATAGATTTATTGTGAAGATAGGGGCACATAGTGCTGGGTGTGGAACTCTCAGTCGGTGTCACCTTTGACTGTGTGCGTCTTCCGCTCAGGACAACATGCAGCACCCGGACTATGAGCAGCTCATGGTGCAGAGCCTCAACCTGGCGGTGAACTTCTTTCTCAACACCTACCTCAAGTACAAGATGAAGGACAGGTAGGCACTGGGCAAGCATTGTTACGTTCGTTAGCCTGCGATCATCGGTCCCTGCTTTTCGTTACACAACTGTCTTAACACGCCTTAAGCTCTATCTCTCTCCTTTTGTACTAGCAAGCGCGCTAAAGGCTGCTGAGAGGTCGCTATCTCTCTCTATTAACTTGAAGATGTGTTAGAGCTGTGTGCTGACAGTAGTTACACTCAAGCACGGCAATAAAGGAATTCGTGGACTATGTTAAATTTGGAGAACAATATTTGACTAACATAGCATAATTTCTAACATAACGTTACATGCTTTCTTTATGTTGTTGTTACTGCATACACTGTAAAGATTAAGTATTGCATATTTTGGCTAGCAGTGGTAATCTTTGCTAATTGTCTTTCCCCTACATTCATTTGAGTGATTGCTTCACTTGCTGAAACTGGCCTAAGCAGTAGTCTGTACTATACCAAGGAGTGCATCTGAACGTTGAAAATACGATGTCATAATGATCAAGGCTGCTATTCGCCGTTTCTTGGTGCTACAGTGAAATCTCGATACAACAAATCTCAAGGCACCGCCGAAAATCATTCGTTGCTTTGAAGAGTCGTCGTAGTGAAAGAATTCAAGGTTAGTGCAAAAGTCGTAAACTGAAACACGTGAGTCGCCTACCTGTACTCTGTATACATTCCTGACTGTGTTATGTTAAAACGAGCGTGAGAAAACAAGCTAACACGAAACTGTTACGAAACCAGTGTACGTTTATTTGAGGAAGAGCGTGACCTATTCTAATGTGGGGAAGCTTGACTGCCGAAAGACGAACTCTTAAGCGTGCGCATCCTTCATACGCATTGCGAAGCATCGGCGTTAAATACCAATTCTTCAAGTTAGTTCGCGCTATGCCAACGTCGTCTTCGCCCTCGTCACTGTTTTCTTATCACAACAAGTCTTAACGGTCTTATCAGTCGGCAGATAAGCTCATGTGCATGCTTCGTCGTCTCACTGTGTGTAGTGTTCGAGCAGTCAGGTAAGCATGCATGGGTAATCATCGGCGACTTCATCCCATGGGTCTCTCGCGTCGCATTTTTCACTCTGTTGTAGCATTTCTTTTATGGTGCTTCCGGAGCTCATCTTGAACTGTTCCAACCACCAATCAAAGGGCTAGAAAACAGCCGTGTAACAAGCGGGCAGGTAAAGCTGCCCGATGAAAACAAAGGCAACATGGGGAAGCCTGGCGCGAAAAAACACCAGACGATGATGATGGCGATAAGGCTATCTCACATTTGAATAGGGCTGATACATAGAGAAATGCGCGGGCATTCTGATGATGATGATAGTGGCCGGTAAGGAGATGAGCATTATTTTCACAGCCGCGAGTAACTTCTTAAAAACGCCATTCCTTATTTTGAAGTGTTGTAGAATATAAGGGGCATGAAATTCGATACGTTGTTCTGAAAGATTTTGTGTTCTGAAATTCGTAGTAGCGAAATATTTTTACAGTTAACCAATGGACATTTGGAGAAGAATTCTTGAAAAAGTCGTTCATCTGAAAAAAATCGTTAATCTAAGGTTCGCTATATCGAGATTTGGCTGTAGCATCGGTGTCATTTTTGTATTGACTAATTATCATCACTACAGAGGTCAGTCTCTGTCGGCTTAGAATAGAACACACACACAGCACGCACACACACCTTTTGTCTGGTGGTGACCCACCCAGCTGTCACAGATGTGGCCGTCCACTTACTGTACTCCACATACTCCACATACTCCACGTACTCCACATACTCCACATGCTCTGAGCTAGAGGCTTACAGGAAAAAACATTTTCCACTAGCGTAAAAGGAACACATACCCCTTCATCCAGCTATGTTTATTGGTCGCGAACTTCTCTTTAAATATAATGCATTGAATGCATTCTTAAAGGAAGTAAATACTTTCCATGTTATCCACTCAAGTGATCGGTAGCACGGCCTCTGAAAGGAGGCTTCTGCTGCGGATGCTACATCCAAAGAGAGCACCTGTCTCCCAGCCCTTGGGACCAAGGGCGCTGGCGAGGCATCGGTGCTAATATAACACTCCTATTCTATGGTGTCATGATTACTTAGAACTCATTCTCACCAGGCATGCTTCACTTCACTTTCATGATTTTAATAAATATATATGTTACGCACCTTTAAAGCGTAGAATCTTGGGCCCTTTTACAGCCATTTAACATAACCATTGCTCCAATCCCGTATCATCTCCTGGCGCTCTTTGGCCATCAATGGCCCTTGCGCCATTAAACAACATATATCATCATCAATTATCATCACTGGACCATTTTAGTTTTGGCAAAGTCATTAGAAGGACCAAGCATCATTGCACTCTATCTGTTCATCGTACACTCAGACCTCAATATAACGAACTTGTATATAATTAAATATTTGTTATAACAAAGTAAATAAAAAATAGTTTTGCAATAAATACAGTCTTAGGAATAACTTTTATAATGAATTTTCGGATGTAATGAATTTTTTCTGGTGAGATGCAATTTGGTTTTAATGAGGCTTGAGTGTATATTGTTGAGACATGCTGAAGAAACCATTTAGCGCGACATTTGGTTGTCGAACTTCTTCTTCGTGCCAACTTGTCATCTGTTTGCGTCCCTCAGCTCGGTGGTTGGCGAGTGGGTCAAGTGCATCGAGACCATCATGTCACTGAGTGAGGCTGCTGCATCGTGGCTCCTCAAGTACATCGCCAACGCAGGCCAAAGTGTCGTCAAGTGAGCATGAGTACTTTTTTCCGTCATATGCATTAGTGTCCCGCCTGCATACTCTGATCCATTCGCCCGCCGGGAACACTTGGTCTCACATTTGTAGATAGGTAGGTTGGTAAGTAGGTAGGTAAGTGATGATGCTTCTCAATGCACGCAACCACAGTGATAAATCTGCCTCCATCAGCCTGTTATTTTTAATATCGAAGGCCATTACTGTTAATGGAAAATTTCCAATAATACATGAATGGGAGACGTGGAAATCAGAAGGGCTTGTTTTTCTTGCTTAGACACAGTATTAATGAGAAGTAACGGGCAATAATGACGAGGAAAGTGTAGAGGATGTCATTAGCAGTAAATGTAATGCAGATATGAAGGAAGAAAAGTGGACAAGAAGATAAATTGCCGCGAGCAGGGACCGAAGTTGCGATTCGAATAACGCGTCCGATGCTCTACCAACCAAGTTACTGCAGCGGCCATCCCCCCGTTCACTTTACGGTGTATATATGCGCATTTAAATGGGGTCAGTCACTGCCTCCTGTTGCCAATACGGCGAGTGTAGAACACTTCTCTTCTGCTGTTGGTCCCTTATCATCTCATTATGAGCTGGCAGGCCCGGCGCGGTAGTCAAGTGGGTAAGGTACTTGGCTGCTGACCCACGGGTCGCGGGATCAAATTCCGGCTGCGATGGCTGCATTTTCGACAGAGGTGAAAATGCTGTTGGCCCATGTGCTAAGATTTGGGTGCACGTGAAAGAGCCCTTGGTGGTCGAAATCACCGGAGCCCTCCACTATGCCGTTTCCCATAATTATGTGGTGGTTTTGGAACGTTGAACCCCACACATCAATCAATGGTTATGAGCCGGCAGCTGACCAATAATCCCTCACACACACCACCTGAAAGCATCAAGTTTGTTAGAACGAGCCCTTCGCTGTGAATGAAGGAAAGGAGTGGAAATTCTAATGGCTTGGCAAAGTTTTCCAGGCAACATTTTCCAAACAACTTGAATTCGCTATTCGATTGCAATGCGAGGGTCAGACTTCAGGCACGGCGATCAGAGGTAATACTTGTGCACTTCATCTCTGAATTGACTTGTGCAGAGCAAGGCGTAACCCGCTTGACTCGGAAGCGCGTTCAGACAGTGCTGGCGACGAAGCAAACACTGTCCGTGTGTGCTTCTATGCCGTCCATGTTGTGCCTTGTGCTGCTCAGGTTAATGCAAAGGCGAATATAAATCAACAAGCCCTGTTGTCATTTCTATTACCTAATGTTCTTTTGCATATACATCTGAATCGCTAATAAATTTCTGCGATTTCAGGCTGTACCTCCTGGAGTGCCTCAACAAGGAAGTGAGGCACACGTTTGCCCAGATCCTGGAGAAGGCGCTGGTCTTCTGCCACAAGCTTGAAGGGGTGAGTGCGCCCAGTTTCGATGGCCTGAAGCAGTGGTGCAGTTCTTTTTGTTGCCAGTATGCTGGCACTTGATTGATATGCATGCTTGTCTTTGCATTTGATCTAAGTGTTAGTGGAGACTTATGCTAAGCATCGCAATTTGTTTTGCTATTTTCTTTTTAGCATTATGCATTGTCTTAAAGGACAAACAAAGGGTAAAAAGTGTTGTTTTTTTCCCCACAAATGTTGCTTCTCTATGCATTGTACAGTCGAACACGGGTATGCATTGTACAGTCGAACACGGAGCTAAAGGCGCGACCTGTGGTTGGCTGATCAAAACTCTCAAAACAGCAACAAAAATAAAAAGAAAAGGTAGGAAGGAAGAAGACGTCGGCTCCTTCGTTCCTGCTCTCCGAGTAGAGAAAGCATAAGAGAGAGAAGAGAAACGAAAAAAAAGTCGTTCCACAAATTAGAGATCGTGTAATCTGAGCCCTCTCGCCCTTACCTCTTTTCGAGCGTTTCGGGTTTTGGCGAAGCCGTGGTGCCGCGATGAGGTTGTCGGGCACTGCGAGTGCCAAAGAGCGCCTTTCAATTTGCACGGGGATCCGCACTGCAGCGGAGATCGCGGGGAGGGGGGTGGGGAGAAGGAATAGGTGAAGGACTGCCGAAGCGCACCTGCCAGCTCGCGCGGCGTTCAATGTATCTGAAGGTGGGTAAAAGTACTATTCGATATAAACGTGTTGATTTCTATACTTTTACAAAGAAATTCGAAAATGATAACTTACCAGTTCGATATACCTGAAAATTCGATATACAGTTAAACCTGCTTATAACAAACCTCCATATAACGAATTCCTCGATATAACAAAGTTTTTCTATTCCCCGCCATCGCCCCCTAGAAGCACGTGTATTTTCGACCTCTATGTAACAAAGTAACAGCGGGAGACAACCTTGATGTAATGAGCTTTCCCCACGGACAATCTAGGAATTTTGCTCCGCATTTTGTTACGAGCATGCATCTTCAGCGGCTGCCCCGATGCTGACAAAGCGCGAAGCAGCTCGGCGCGCACTGCACACCAGGCGAGAGCAAGCGCTCATTATTGCGCTCGAAGGAGCGTGAGGCAAGCAGGCGGGCCTGCACCCCACGAGCTGGCGTTGCTGCCGTTCTCACCGCCGCGGGTGCATGCGCGAGTGTACCCCCCTCAACGACTCCAAACAAAAATAAAAAATAAAGAACGAAAACTGCTTTTGCACGTTGGCAGTGCCATGCTTTAGTTAGCATCACATATGTGGGGCCACCTTGCATATGGAAGGCGCTTGACCGAATAAATTTCCGCGGTATCCGTTTCTGTGTCCGTGTCGTTCGCTCTTGGTTTTCGACGCCGTACGCGCGTGCATAGTTCGACTGCGCGTGCATTATAAAAACTCAAGAAAAAGAAAAAAGCCGCCCGCGCTCGGCACTCAGCTCGTCACAATGGGCCGACGCGCGCTTATCTCCCACGCGTACTTTGCCCCGGGAATAGAAGGGGGCGGGGGGTTAGATGCCTGTGTGCGTGCGCTTATCCTTCGGCGGGGAAAATAGCGCCCTCGACTTTGACCGGAACGATTGAATTCAGTTGCCGGGCGCTCGAAGTAACAGCTGGGGCACTTGTTAGTTCGCACTCATATTTGTGCCTGTGATTACGTTTTGTGCCTTGTTTTTATTTAAACAGCACGTGAAGAGTCGAGCGGTAAACGTTGTTAGTTTGCTCTCATCCTGTGAATTGTTTTCGTGCATGAGCAGCGCGTTCCATGTTTCTATCTGCTTGCCGTTCTTAGTGTTACATTCAAAGTATTGCAGTCATTAATTACATCGCCCTTGCGGCGAAACTGTGACTTTTCTTAATTTCAGACCACCGTGTCGTCATCACGGAGGGGATGTCAGATGAGGCGTTGATGGAAACTCTCTGAGACCAGTGTAAAACGGTTCTCGGAGGTCGACTCGTCACGTGCTTCCGTCTTGCACCGCGAGTTCGCAGGCTGGTAGCTTTCGCGTATAGCTGATTAGTTCTGGCAACACGACGGTGCGTTGAATGCAATGCAATGAATGCGATAGCAAGAAATTGTAATGGTATATGAAATAAGGCTGCAGTAAACTCTTCTGGATCGAATATTGCGAAACTCCTACAAAATGCTGGTGTGAGCAAATATGGCCTCTCCAGGGAGAAGTGCTCTTTTCACACAGTCACTTCGTGTTGAAACTGCTCTGATACTCGTTGAGATAGCAAGCGCACCAGCGATCGCGACCGCCCTTTAAATTCAAGTTCATCAATGCTACTTGATCGATTCGCCCCCCCCCCCCCCTCCACGTTGTTTCATGCTCTTTCAAGACGGGTGGTTTACTCTGTTTGAGCATTCGACGGCAGTTCTAACACGCGGGGTTATCTTATGCACTGTCCAGGTGATAGGAATAGGCCATTTGATTTGATCTCTGCTTCTGCATCCCTCGAGCACTTTTACCCACTCCTGAAAGTTATGATGCGCAGGGGCATCTGATTCATTTGGACTTGTTACGGAATAATGACGCAGTGTTTTTACTGTAGAATACATAAGTGTTTTGTGTTAGCTCTCCCTCAGTAGCCCTCTTGTTTATTTGCGCGTTTATTTTCCGAATTTTTGTACCAAACCTGCATATAACGAAATCCTCTTTCTAACGAATTTTAACAAGACTTAATCGATTTCGTTATATTCAGGTTTAACTGGATGTGGGTTCGATATAACCGCATTCGACTGTAGTTCTATCAAGACAACAAGCGTGTTTTTGTGTGTGTGTGTGTCATATTTGGTAATATATGTAGCTTTTGCTACTGTTGAAGTGTATTACCACTACCTCATGTGCTGTGTAGCTGTTTAGTAATTCTTTTCATCTCAGTTGTGGGGTCTTGAAATGGCAAGAGAGAGCACCACGCTCTTGGAGAGAACGGACACAGCAGACACGGTCGGAACAAACCAAACAATACACACACTTATTTAACTAATTTGGAACGACGATATCGTCGACCGAATTATGGTAACATAAATCGTGACCAACACGCTAGAACATTCTTACACACTATTACCATGCACTCCAATACATAACAATAACACACCCAAGGCGATGTCGCCAATGCTCGACTTACCATGAGGGCCCCGGCGCGCATTCCGCGGTGCCACGCACCGGGGACCCACGCTCGCGACAACCGTTCGCGGCAACCGCCATGCGCAGAAGAGCTCAGCTTATTTCTTACTCGCTGCTACCAAGGCTTGTCGTCGCCGGCGCTATTATACCATGATGATAATGATAGTGGTGATCAACGGTCGCCAACGCAACGCCATCTACCGCCCAATAGTTGTAACCCGAAATGTGGCTTTTGGGCGAGACATGTGTGCCACGCAGCGTAAACAACTTTACAAGGGGTGTCAGCACCTCCACACAGTCTAGCGAGAGAAATGATAAGATGTGGGCCAGCAGACACTCTCGCCACTCACCTTAATTTATACTGTCGTGGATCACCGAGCCTTTCATGTGTTTTTTCCTCCTAGAAAACTACCGTATTTTTGCGCGTATAACCCTGCCCCTGTATATAATCCGCGCCCCCACTTTCAGCCGAGAAAGAAAAAAAAGATCCTCGCATATTGCCCGCACATTTGATATACAGGAAAGGCTGTACAAAAGCTACTGCTCAAGCAACATAGCACATATGTAGACAGAAAAAGCTTTATTTAGCAAGCAGAATACGCTGTCTGCAAGGCCAGTCACAATTCACTCACTGTCGCTGCTCTCGCTAGAGCTATCACTTAAGCCGCAGTCCTCACTATTATGCACAAGGTCATCTTCGGTTCTATTTATGTTGTTTGTGATGCAGCATTTCTTGAAACTTTTTCGCACCATCTCACCTGAAATGGCCTTCCATGCCTTGACAATCCACTTGCAGAATAGGGCAATATCAGGCCTTCGGACTCGCCCTGTCGGCGTCAAGTCGTAGCAGCCTTCGGCCATCCACTCGGCGTAATAGCGCTTGACATGCGCTTTGAAGGGCTTGTTAAGCGACACATCTAGAGGCTGCAACATTGACGTCATTCCACCGGGTATAACAACTAAGTCGGTGCCGTTGCGTGAAAGGCGGTCCTTCACTTCCTCAGTTGTGTGGCCGCGGAACGTGTCAAGAACGAGCATGGACCTCTTTGCGAGCATCGCACCAGGCCTCTTCTCCCATATTGTCTTGATCTAGTCTACGAACAAGTCATTGTTCGTCCACGCGTACTCGTGTGCACGCACCACCACACCGGCAGGCAAATGAACCTTTGGTAGAGTTTTCCTTTTCAAGATGACGTACGGTCGCAGTTGCGTGCCGTCGGTACTTGAGCAGCTTCTCCTCATAAGAAGCCGGCAAGCGTTGACATATTGTAGTCCACCGTCTGATTGAGAGCCCTTGCTGCTTCATAAAGCGGTGCAGCCATCCGCGACTCGCATGGAACTCGTGAATAGGCCTAGCTCCCTCGAAAGTCGCCGCGCTTCCACTTGGGCCATCTCGGTCAATACGGCGTGACCCCTGCTTCTCACATCTTCGATGAACTTTATTAGCTCCGCCTTCAGCTCAGGGTAGGCACCAGTCTTGGGGCCACGAAATGACCTACGGTCGCAGTGCGCGGCTTGTAGGCTGTCTTTCTTCTTTCTCCACAGTCGCACGCAGGACTCATCCACATCGTGCCGTCTTCCCGCTTCGCGATTACCGAATTCCTCGGCGACGGCGATGATCTTAAGCTTTTGCTGTGCCGTGAAGGCCTGCCGCCATACGCTACTCATGGTGACAGAACAGATCGACTTAGGCTTGGCGAACGGGTCGAGGTGTGGAGAACTAGCGGTATCAGCGAGATAAAGAGCGCTCACACTCAGCGGCAACTTGACAGCACTACCCCTTCTAGTACATTGTAACAGCACCCTGGAAACAACAAAACCGAAACGCATGCCTGCTACCGCGTCAAAAAGTAGTACATTAATTTACTGATAATATCTCTATAGGCACTATAATATCTCATTGGCCTTGCTGAAATAAATACTGCTTTATTTATTATGGAACTTACTTTACTTGTTATGGAACTTTTTTAGACAGCACCACCTTTTCCGCAAGCCCTTTCCAAACGTAAACATGGCGTCCATGACGTAGGGACATGTGCAGAGTCACTGAGCGGCCGCAAACGTCCAAAAAATATACTTGTGGTGTGACAGTGAGATTTTACACTGAACAATCGAATTGTCTGTCCCCAAATGTTTTTCTAAATGCTTCAACGATGCAAGCAAGCGAAACCAAAATCGACCGCAAGCTGCCGTGCTACTTGCGGAGCAACACAACACGAATTTGCGGAAACCGCCTCAGTAGCCTTCGCTACACTGTTAACGGGCTTCACAGCACAACACGCATTGCTGTGAAGCAGCACTATAGAGAAAACCCCGCGTAATATCCGCACCTGCACTTTGCCACTGAAATTTTAGGGTTTTTGGTGCGGGCTATATGCGCGAAAGTACGGTTAATCACATTCATGTCACAGTTTTTGCACATTTTATTAATTACATAAGCATTATAAAGAGCATGTGATTTTGCAGCCCTTGTCCTAAATACTGTAATGTGTGTTAAAATTCTGTTCCTTTTGTTTCCTTCCTAAGATCTCTTTCTGTGCATACCTCGTACCTTGTTTATATGCACGCACTTGTTAACTAAAAAAAACTGATTGATCGATTGATTGATTGATTGACTGGCACACAATGTGCAGAGTCGGGTCGATCTAGATGTGGTGGGTGCCTGCCTGATCAACCTCCTGGACCAGGATGTCGCTGACAACTGCTGGCACTCATCGCAGTACTTTGGCCTGCTCAGCAACTATGCACAGCTGGTGAGCAGAAGGGATTTTTATCATTATTAGCTGGAGCATACCAGCAGCCATTTATACAGAAAGGAAATGGCATTAATTTGTGCGACAATTATATTTGCAACACTTGCGGGCCCAGTGGCAGGCCTCTGCTCACGAGCTCGCATATCTCCTCTACATCTCTCAGCAGTAAAACAAAAAAAGCAAGAGAAATTATCATCCAGGCTCCTAGCGTGATTCGGTGGGGTAGCCTTCAGCTTTCTGATTTTTGTTTAGAAAGATCTGACAGAAGTACAACTGACATTGTATTCACTTGCATGGCTGGCGCAGGGTTTATTTTAATGCTTAAAAAAAGGGGGGGGGGGGGTGCAGATTACGCAAAACTTTCAAATGCAGATTCGCAATGATATCTGCTAAGATCATGGCACATAGAATCTAGTATTGAACTTTACCCTAACCTAAAGTCAGCTCATGGAAAATTACAGCAAGCGACAAGGAGAATTTCACCATCGATGTGCCTAACGCTCAAATGGAAAGATAAATGTCATTGACGGTTCGTCGAGACAAAGAAAATTATTGGGACCAACCTACTGTTTGTGTAGAATCAGAATGTGTTCAAAGTTCCGTCCGACAAACAGGTGCGCGTACATCCAGTAGTGGTGCACCCAAAAGTGGTGGCAGCGGTGCAAAATGCAACACTGCATTTCAGTGAAGGCACAAGGCACGAACACCTTTGTAGTCAGATTGAAGTGCACGTTAAGAGACTGTGGATCGTCAACCGATTCATTATCTCCCTCTACAATGTGCCTCATAATTGTAATCGGTTTTCGGTGTGTGTAACCCTGGAATTAGGCATTTTTTCAAAGCGTTGCTGGAATTGGAAGTCTCCCACGGGTGAATCCTTGCGAGCCAATGATGACCACATATTCAATGTGTGCGCACCAATGTCTTCAAGCTTTCTCTGATGTCCTAGCCATTCATGGTGCCAGGTAGAGAGAGCACAGCTAGCCTCCAAGATTGCGGCAGCAGGACCTGGTCAAAACATGGCCTTCGAGATAGTGAGTGTCATTGTGGGACAGCCGATCATAGAGAAATGAGATAACAGCATTGGGAGCCATTGCTTTGCATGAGTGGGAGCCAGCGAGGAAGACAAACATTCGTGAACAATGCACACTTGGGCCCACCTGTAGCACAGAGCTAAAGTAGCCTCATTCTCTCTTAGCAGCACTTGGTATTTGTTTTTCTTTGCAGGGTTCGAAAGCGTGCCTGCATCTTTTCAATCTGGGTGCCTTTGAGAAGCTGATGGCCTTCCTTTTGGGACCTCTTAGTGCCAATATGGACTCAGAGGTATACTTAATTATGCATGGCTTTTCTTTCTTTCTAACAAGAGGACTACAAACTTTCCGATACAACAGACTATTACTCAGCCTTGGTCTTTGTGTTAAATAAATAGAGCAAAGTTTTCATTTAATTGACCATAATGCAACAAAGTAAATGCTACTATGTACAAAATGAGTGTCATTTTTTTATGAGATGGCGCACATGATGCGTACTATTGTCATGCTGTTGCAAGTTCACAACAGCCTTGACCAAGCCACTCTCTGCGCACTAAAGCCACGGTAATTTTATATTCCGGCTGGTAATATTAGTGTCTTTCTGCCAAGCTAAACATCGAGCCAAGCCAGTCTGAGAGGTCTGAGATCACGATGGTAACGTGAATGGTTCAAGTGTTGGCAGCTCACTGAAATGTGGTGCAAAGTTATTGAATCATCCCTCAAGTGTGTTCGCCAATCTCTTATCACACATTTTCTTTCGAGCTATGTGTAAATAAAAGGTTTTTGTCGGTGTTTTGCTCTGGACGTTTGTCACTTATTGCAGTAACGTTCTGAGGCATCACGACCAAAATTTCGAAAGTAAGGTGTTTTGGTGCTCCGAGCAGGTGAATTGCACTATCAAATTAAAATATCAATGTGACAGGTGCCTTGGTGCTGCTCAGTTCAGAACTCTTAGACCAACTTTGGATTGTCCACGTGTCATCAAGGCTGCATGGGAGTAGTGGCCTGCAAGGCGGCCTCATTTAAGCAAATTTGCCTTCCCATCCACACGAATAATAAACAAATGATTACCAGCTGATCAATGCAAGCGGCTGAGAAAGTATGGTAGAAACGCTTTATTATCGGGCTAAGCTTTGCAGCTGCAGACGTGCTACATAGTGTCCCTGCACCTACTGCAGCAGGAGTCCTTCATTAATTAGAACTTGTGCTGCAATTTTGTTGATGACCGCTGCGAGTGACTGCAGTCTTTTGTAACCATTCTGTCGATTACATTCAGCATGTATCTGTAGAACCAGCCTGCCTCATACTGCTGAGCGAAATCGAAACGACTGCCCACGATCACACTACCCCCCCCCCCCTCCCCACCACCTCTCAAGCAGAGTTTGAATAGTATGGACCTCGAATAATATGAACTCATTTTGCTGGATTATCAGGGTTCTTCGTTAAGAGAGTAGGGTGTAATATGTGTTTCACTGTGGCACTGAATTGTGACAAGTCGAATTCACTAGTGTATCTTTTTCTCGGTCGGTTTATTATGTAGCTTTTGCTGTGGCAATTCTGCATGCTCCAGAGGGCGAGGGTTTTAAAGAAGGGGCACCTGAGGTTATACAACACAGTTGGTGCCTTTTCAGAAACTGACGCCATCGTTCCATTACAGGATTTTTTCACCCGGCGTTGGAGCCACACGCAAATCCATGAGTTTGGGTACCTGCACAGCACCTTGATCCACCTGATTCTTGCCTGCGACCTGAGCTGCCTTCACACATGTGGTATGTGGCTATTTCATCATGCTTCAATAATTAATTTCTTTTGCTGGTTTGAAGCCTTACTTTATTTTTATTTTATTTTTTCAATTTAGATTATTCAGGGGTAGAAGTGCTATGCCAATCTGACCTGCTGTTCCTAAACGGCAATTTGCTTGTGCAAAACCAAATTTAGTCGAGTTTCATCATCGATCTGGCAACACGCATGGGCTATACAAAGTATGCAGCCACGTCCATACCCCATGTAGTTCAGTCACGTCGTATTTTGGTTCACGCATGAATCTTGCGCCACGTGAACAAAATGCATGAATCTTGTTAAGGTGGCATTTGCGTGCATACCTCATTATGGAACACAATGTTTTAAACAGCAAAGGTTAGTCAAACCACCAAGATGGCACTGGTGTTGCAAAAAACTCGCCGTACTCTTGTCGAGCAACTGCCAAGCACAGCACATGCTCTGCGATGGAGGCAGTCAAACCATATAAACTGAAAAATAATGAAAATCAGTTTCACTGGTGAATCAATGAGTGCGATAGCAACGATTTGTAATGCTGTAATGGTAATGGCGCACGCGCTACTTTCTCTCCGATTTTTGTTGTTGCCTCCATTTTACGTGCAACGCTGCCTTGTACAAACTGAACCCAAATGACTTCGAACCATCTAGATAAACCTACTAGAACCTTCCGATGAGATTACGCGCACAACACATACATTATAGCTTTTTCTGGAACTTGCGCGGCCGCTAGCCATAACGCTGCAATTTTCGATGGCACATGTATAAATTAAGTGCCGACACACTTCACTGCTTGGCAGATTATTGTACGGCCGACGCATTTATGTTCGCTGCTATCAGCCTACAGTGTGTATTGCTTGTAGAGTAAATTTCGTTTCCTGGGCACAGGTTCACCCAAATAAAAAGCTTGATCATGAAAACAGCGACTGGTGCCTTCGTCAACGTCACGACCTCGTGACAATACGAAGGCTGACAGCTCACTCTTTTAGATCAGAAATTGCAAAGCTCTACAAAACGGTAGTGTAAGAAAATAAATGCGGCTGCTCCAAGGAGAAATACTCTTATCGTACAATAAATTCCCGTTGAGAGCGCACTGCGTAGAACGGTTTACGAGCTGTGCAATGATGCTTGCCGAGGTAGCGCGCACGCCAGCTATCACAACCACGCCCTTCTAATCATAGTTCACTGCTGCTATTCAAGTCACCTCCTCCCCCCGAGTTTTTTCATGCTTGTTCAAGACGAGCAGTGTGTTTCTTCTCTGTTTGAGCATTCGACGGCAAGTCTAAAACCCGTAGGGATGCTACGAGTGTGCCTTCTAAGGCGACGAAGATCGATCGTCTCAATTAATCCATGCTTGAGCAGCGCTCGTTGCTCCAGCTGGCGCTATATTACGCGCAGTTTGGACGTACGCTGCGCGGGGAATGTTAGCAACTTGTAGCCTACTTGGGCGGCGACCGCAAAAACCCGTCCAGTGTTTAAATAATTCATTTCCTGAATAAAAAATTTTCCGCTTTATCACCTAGCAATAGCGTAGCGAGCGCATGTAAATTTCCTTGCAGTTCTTATGCTGACGTGGCGCTTCAATGACCGGAACATAAGTTTTTCTTCATTTACTTTTACAGAGTCTTATTGGGTTTAGTATGAAGATAACTGTTATAAACTCATCTCTAGTCTAGAGTTGTTGCTCATGTTGGATGCGGTGTTTTAATTACATTTTAAACATTGCAAGATTATAAAATTATAGCTTTTCATTCGTCTGAGGTCCAGTAGCTATCCAAAGCACCGCTTATATTTTTCTTTGAGCTGCTGTGTTTTCAGCTTTGACGTTGTGAGGATATACAGTGAAAGCTCGTTAATTCACACCTCATTAATTTGAAATTTTGGATAATTCGAAATGGTTGCCGTAGTCCGGTCCGCAGTGCATAGGAGACCATGTGTAAAACGATTCGTTAATTCGAACAGAAATTGCTGCCTCTACGAATAACTGGAAGGGCGCGCCGCCGAGCGTCATCATCGTCAAACACTAGTGGAAGCTTTTACGGTCACGACCAGTTTTTTTTCGAGCTTCAAGTGGCCTCCGAGCAAAGGGCGAGCAAAGTACGGCCTCCAAAATCCAGGGAGCAATTTTTTTTTTCGTAGCCCTCCCGCTATCTCAGCCCCTGGTGCCACTTGTACGCGGGACCCGCGGGTCGCTGAAGAGTCGGCGGAGTAGTCCTAGCAATCCTAGGCCGCTCCCGGCAGCGTCACTTTGTTCCTCGAGCACGTTGTTCGTTCCCGAATGATTTTGTGCGCGGGCGACAGGAAGGACTTCGGCATTACGCTGCTCACTGCCATGCACATGTTGGTGCGCGCATGGGAACAGGTGACCGCGACCACAATCGCAAGCTGTTTCCGCCACAGTGGATTTGCAGCTGGAAGTGCGCAGGATAGTTGTGACGTCGAGGTGGATGGGGCTGAAGAGCTCATGCCAGTGGCATTGTGCGACACTCTGCGGGGCGTACGTTTTTCCGATTATGTTGAAGTTGACACCGGTGCATCGGTGTGTGGTGCGCTGACTGATGAGGACATTATCGCTCAAGTAGCCGGTGCGCAGCCTGATGCTGAAGAGCCAGAAGGTGAGGAAGACGAAAATGACGAAGCGCCTGTGTGCCCATCAGCTTCTGCAGTGATGGAGGCACTTAATGTGGCGCGTCTCTTCTTCAGCTTTGAAGAGGGTGAAGAGGATTCCCTGCGCCGCGTCCGCGCGCTGGAACAGGGAGCCGCAGCTGTGGCATTCAGAGAAAAGAAGCAGATGGTCATCACCGACTTTTTTGGCCAATGAATATTTTTCGTGCCCCCCACCACCAAAATCCACCCATTTTTGCTCACTTTCATTATTTCGAATTTTGTTTAATTCGAAATTGCTCAGCGTTCCATGGAATTCAAATTAACGAGCTTTTACTGTATATATAAGGCTTGTGTGAATAGTGAATTTTAGGTTCGAAGCAAATTCAAAGGAACAGTGATTTTTATCGAATAATTTCGATGTCGAATGGTATGTATGACATATAATAAAGAAAGTAATATTTATCATGACCTAACACAATATTTCTTTTGAATTGAAATAAGGGCTCTATTCGAATGACATTTGTTTTTCGTTCAAAGGAAGTCCAAACAACCTTGAGTACTAGTTTCGGTAGGATGCGAATGATAAAATACTTAACGTTTTAAAATTTATTATACTTGGAGCATGCAAGCCATCATAACAAGCTTGATGAAATGAAAAATTGATTTGAGGGTAACATGTTCCTTTAAAGGGGCCCTGCAACACCTTTCAAGTAACCATGGAGCCAGTAAACATGCTTGTTGTCTTACAAATTTATCCCTGCAAAGTTTCTAGAATCACTCCAGTACGAGCGGAGTTCCAAAAGTTTGTCAAACGCTGCAGTTGCATTCTCTCGTCTCATCTCTACGAAATTGCTGTAAGTTAAGCAGGGAGGAATGGCATGGCGACAGAAAATACGGCACATGCACCTCGTGACCTTGAGCACCTCTTTTTTTTTTTTTTCGAATGTACGCGGATTTTCAGTGCGATCGTGCATGTACTCGTGGACAACCCGCCGGGTGGCCTCCCGCGGTGGCCCCGGTAACGACGAGCGTGCCATGCTCAAATCAGCCAGTGGCTGTGACCAAAGCCGTGTATTCCTTCTTGGCTGTGACGAGTGATTTTTGAGCTTGTAGTGTCATTTGCCAACGGAAGAAAGCAATTTTTAGATTTGCAAATTTATTGTGAATTACAGGCCGCGTGGTGCGCTGTTATATTTGCCTCGCGTGATCTTGGTAGCCTCGACTACCGATCAGCAGCGTTTTCTGACCATGCTCAGCAAGGGTTGCAGGGCCCCTTTAAATTTGAAGAGGGGCTTTGCGGCAAAGCGAATGTCCCTTTAAAATGTGCTCTCACGGCTTAGCACTCCTACACTGTAGGGAAACCAGTTTTACAGGCTATGACATGCGAATTAATATGCGCCTATTCGTTCGTAGCGAACATTTCGAAAATATTCGATAATTTAAATTCAAATCGAAGCGAATTCGAGTACTCAACTATTTGTTCGAGTATTCGAAGCAAATTTGTCCAAGCCTTTTATATATATATAAATATATATATATATATATATATATATATATATATATATATATATATATATATAAACTTGGAATGAGTGTGGTTGCTTCATTAGAATCGCATGTTTAGTAAAAACCACTGAAATTGTCCAGAAAGCAAAAATTTCAATTAAGAGTGATCTGGTGTGACTCTAGAAATCCGCTCCAAAACTAAATTTTAATGCTCCAAAACTGCACTATTGCTTTTGCCTGAGCTGCTCTAAAAGACTCAGGCTCGCTTGTACTCCTGATTAATCCTAACAGCCTTTTGAACTAAGTAACCAGAAACAACAAATGTTGCTCTTTTTTTATAGGTTTCTTTGTTACAAAAACTGCATCCCACTAGATCACCGAGGAAATAATTTCCCGTCACAGTAGACGTTGTGTCAGGAAAAGGTCTTGACTTCAGCCAAATTTAAGGCAGCAGAGATCGGTTTAGCCAGGTTTTTTTTTTTTTTCCTACGGTGTTATTCTGACTCTGCTTTTGGCACTGATTAGACATCATTGTTACTTGCATGTTCAAAACAACATTTTTGACTGACATTTTCAGCATTAGCTTCAGTTAAGTCATATGATATAGAACTGAGGGCATGCATATTATTCCGTTATAAAGGTGATTATTTTTTAGAGTGCATCGTTGTGGGGGCACGGTATATGAATATAACAGAAAGCTAGCCAGAACATGTTGTCTCCTTGGTTGTACGGTAATTTCATACAGGGCATGGTACTATAACTCTTTAAGGACATTATTTATGACATCATTCAAACAGTGTTTGTCTTTTTCAGAGCCGTCAGAAGAATACCCCCAGCCATCTGATCTCCTTCCAATGCCAGAGCTGGTACGCAAAGCGCTGTCTGGACCAGGGGCATGTCGGTACCTGCGAGAGGTGCGCATTATTGCAGTTTCGCTGTATCTAGTTCCACAAAGCAGTGTGCCAGGCGAGTTGGTTTCTTGCTTCCATCATTTCAGTGCTAGACGACACCAAAGAGTAGAAGGCACACATGACACGCAGTGCGCTGTATGTGTCTCGTGTGCCTTCTTATCTGTGGTGTCAAAGCGCACTGTAATTGTGGACGCACTATGTGTGGTGTATTGTCCTCGGATAGTGACTTATAGGCGAGTCTTATAATACGTAATTCGTAGCAGGAATTTACGCCAACCTACTGTTTTGCTCAATTATTCTCCCTTCTCACTTTTCTCTTCTAAAAATATTTGAGAATTTTGTGCTAGACCATGCACTTCTTCTCTTTCATAGTGATTACTCGAACAAGCTGAAATTCATCAAGTCATAAATAAAACTAATGGTTATCTAGTCACATTGTGGAGCTCGCTGCTTGAAGATGATGATCTTGCAAGGTGCATTCGCTTAACACAAGTTTCAAGGGACTGGTTCGCAGGCATAATCCCCAAATTATGCAACAAAATGTGTTGGTGTTTCAGTATTATTAGAAGTGCACTTCTGAATGGAATAACAGAGAATTTTTGTGCAGCTTTTGGGTTACCTATATCAGAAGCACTTCAATCCTCTGAAGTGTTGGTGCAGAAAAGAAAAAGACAAAAGAAGTGCTATGCAGAATCAAGTCAGTGAGGTTCCATTGTGTTTTGAATCTTGTATATGTTACATACTTTTCTGTTGCATTGTTACTCACCAAAACTCGGTTTTACTGAAGAGAGCTATGGGATATAACACAGTTTTGTATTTATACTGTATTTTATTTTTGTATAATTTACACACCCAGTGATTCGCAGAAAACTTTCTAGAAATGGGCCGAGCATATTGCCGTGAATGCTAGCTTTTCTTGCATAGCTCAAGAATGGCTAAGAAGCCACATTTGAGACCAGAATTTTGTGTTTTTGTTTTGATTTTAGTAGCATTTGTGGGTGTGTGCATGCGTGTGCAGCTTATACACTAGAATGCATGATAACATCATAGGTATATACTAAAAGCTACCTATGAGAAACTTTCATAGTGCATCTGTGTTATACAGTTGCAGTCACTTTGTAATACATAAAACAATAAAGGGCATAGTCTATTTATTGAAAACAAGGTTGTTTGTAGCAGGCAGTAATTTTTGTGTTATGCATCAGCTATTATTTAGTGTTACTATACTACAACCGGAATCATCGATTCTATTGGAAGTATGGTGATAGGAACAGTCCCACTCGTGCATTCGGCAATGTTCTCCATAGCCGAAGACACCTGACTTTTGGCTCCCAGTGTCAGTCGGGAGTGCACGCCGATTGGTGCTAGCTTGTATAGGTCGCCAATGAGAGGGGAAATTCCGTGGACTTCCGCAGTATTATCCTGCTATATTTCTCTGTAAAGGAGTTCATTTTTCTGCGAATATCATGCAGGGTGCTTTTAGTGTTGACTGCAGACATTGATTTGCCTTATCTCGATTAGGTATGCCTGGTATTTCTTACAGGGTCGTTCTCTTCAGCAAGCTGCACTTTCAACGCTCTCTCTCTCTTTTTCCTCGGGATTCTCAGGTTGTGTCAGCCTGCCGGGAGACGACGGGCTTCATGGACACCCTCGTGCAGCTGGTTGTGCAGGGCAGCTTCTGCAATGAGCCTTTCTCGAGCCTTGTTATTCGACTCATTATGGTGAGCAGTAGTACCTGCGTGCTTTGAAAGGGTTTGCCGAGCTAACATCGAAGTTCTGAAGTGCTCTTTGCATTGCAGTTTCTCGCTGTTACGCCTTTCTGTGCTTGCGCTGCAAACCCTTTCAGTACGTACTTTAACCAACTAGGCCAAATAGCCGTTCTTCTTCAAAGTATCTGTGTGCGTGTGTGTGGGTTGAAACACCCATCCCTAAGTGTTACCGTATCTCATAATGGGTGAACAATCACCGACATTTCAATGTCAAAGCGGGTCTTGGCTAAGTCATTCAAAGTGCGCACCCAGCTGGCATTCGCAAAAGCCGAGTCCAAAAAGCATGCGACCTTTCCCACCAGTAGCGACGCTGGCGCTAACAACTTCAGTGGTGTGGGACCAGTCCACAGAAGGGGCGGTCCCGACTCAAGAGGAGAGTGAAAAGCACATCAATGGGCACGCTGCATGGGCGGGCCAACGTCCCCAACATGGGGCTACCAACGTAGTAATGTGGCAAATTGGGCTAGTTGAGATATTGCCGCGAACCATGCATTGGGTTTGTTTATTTGTGTTTTGTTTTTTCGGCCTGGCTGCGCCGGCCTGTGCTTTCACTGCTTTCACAGCGTTTCGAACAAACGCTATCACAGCGTTTCGAACAAACGCTATCACAGTGTTTCGAACAAACGCTATCACAGCGTTTCGAACAAACGCTATCGAACAGCGCTTCGAGCGTTCCGAACGAATGGCGTTTCGAACAAACGCTATCACGGCGTTCTCGATACAATTCGAGTATTCAAGAAACCCTCGTGCCGAGGGATATAAATTCCCGCACAGCCGATGCCGCGACATTCGATCGCCGACGCTCACTAGCGTGCCCGTCGTTTTGCCGGCCGCTGCTTCGCTGCCTGTGTATTCTTTCAGTTGTTAGGGGAGCACAGGTTCGCTCCAATAAACTTGTTTTCCTTATAGACAACTGCGTCGTCCTTTGCTGCGTGACATCTGGTGGAGGTGCGGGGCACATGAACCCTAAGCCATTGCCAAGCCGACGAGCAAGCCCAACACGACAAGCACGCCCAACTCGTGTCAGCCGCCGACAGCAAGGCCTTCAGCCAGAGTTTGGACTGCTCCCGGATAAAAAAAGGAAAGAAGATGTAAAAACCACGATGATCAACGCAGGCACCATGACCAGCGCTACCAACCCTCCCGTCGTTCTGCAACAACCTCGTGAGCCCCCATCATTCCGAGGATCTCCTGGTGAAGACCCGGAAAAGTGGCTGGAGAAGCTGGAGCGCATCCGCATCTTTAACAGGTGGGATGACGAAGAAACGTTTCGTCATGTCTTCTTCTATTTGGAGGATGCAGCTCGAACGTGGTTTGAGAACCATGAAGGCTCCCTAACCGACTGGACTGTCTTTAAGAACGAATTCCCCAAAACATTCGCTACGGTTGTGCGGAAAGAACGAGCCGCCCTTTTGTTGGAGACGCGAATGCAACACCCTAACGAAGGTGTTGTACTGTTCGCTGAGGAGATGAAGATGCTGTTCCGGAGAGCTGACCCCGAAATGGCAGAAGATAAGAAGGTGCGCTTTCTGATGCGGGGAGTTAAACAAGAGCTCTTCGCTGGACTCATCCGCAACCCCCCTAAGACCGTCGCTGAGTTCGTCACCGAGGCTGCGATGATCGAGAGGACCTTGGATATGCGTTCGCGGCAATATGATAGACCACTCAACACCCTTTCGGTGAACCCGGTAAACGCCCCTGGATTGGCGACGGAAGACTTGCGGGAGACCATCCGCGCCGTCGTTCGCGAGGAACTGAGGAAATTGTTCCCAGCAACGCCGCAGCCCCAAGTCGCCTCCCTCACTGACGTCGTCCGCGAGGAGGTTCAGCAAGCACTGGGGAATTGCACGCCGTCGGAAGCATCTTGCGAACCACAAGCGATGACCTACTCCGCTGCTGCTCGTCGACCCCGACCCGTCCCAACCCGTTATCAAGAGGCCCCGCCGTACCGCCGCCCAATGTCGCCCGCCCGACCCCCTGTAACCCGAAACCAGGCGCCCAGGAAGACCGAAGTGTGGCGAATGCCAGATAATCGTCCGCTGTGCTACCACTGCGGAGAGGCCGACCACGTCTACCGCCACTGCCCGTACAAGAGGCTGGGTTTGCGTGGGTTCTCCTTCGACGCACCCCGCCCGCGAGCCGGCCAGCGCCCAATTGAGATCGAAGAATACCTGTCGAACACCAGCCGTGGACCATCCCGTTTCAACCGTTCGCCGTCGCCCTACCCGTACCAATCCCCCAACCGTCGCAGCAATGCTGACTTCGTCCGTGGAAGGTCCCCCAGCCCACGAGGGGGAAACTAAAAGCAGCAACTTCTGAAGGTGAAGTTGCACAACGGCGGGAAAATGAAAACCCTCCAACGATGCAAGACCGTGATTCACGACATGCCCTCATCCCGACGACTTGACGACACCCTGACGAGACCCCCGAAAACGACGACAGCTAAGCTGCGCGACGCGTACCCGAAATGACGAAGCCTGCCGCTGAGAAGACGACGATGACGACGCATAGTGCCCGACCATCAACACGTGCAAGCCGCGATACGACGCCCCGACGCACCCGAAATTCGAGGAAAGCGGCATCCGACGTCCAGTTGTCCATCGACGGCCTTGACGTAGTCGCCCTCATCGACACGGGAGCCGACTACTCGGTCATGAGCGGGTCATTCGCGTCCAAGCTAAAGAAAGTTACAACCAGATGGGATGGCCCGCACATACGCACAGCAGGAGGCCACCTCGTGACCCCAAGTGGAATGTGCACATCGCGCGTCACCATAGACGGCACTACGTACCCTTCGGAGTTCGTCATTTTGCCTAACTGCTCCCGCGACGTAATTCTCGGAATGGACTTTTTGACGGACAATGGCGCAATAATTTATCTGCAGACCAGGTCGATAACGTTTTCTTCCGATCACTCCACGACGCCGCAGCCGAACCTCGGACACCGTGCTGCTGTAAGGATCACCGACGATCACGTCACCCTGCCACCCCGCCCAAGCTTGATGATCGCCGTCTATTGTGAAGGTGCTGCTCCTGACGTCGACGCTATTGTGGAGACTGACCAAAGGTTGCTTCTAGACCGCGGTGTGTCTGTCGCAAGAGGCATTGCGCGGTTTAAGCAACGCAGATCCCACGTTTTGGTCACCAATTTCACCGAGGAGTACCAGCATCTAAACAAGGGCGCTGCAATTGCGTTCCTCGAAGAAACGCAAGAAGCGAGTCAAGTGATCGCGGTCGCCACCTTTGAACGCGCACGCGCAGATGCTTCCAGGCTGCCACATCCTTTCGACGTGAACCCGGCGCTGTCGCAAGAAAATCGGGACAGATTACTGGAGTTGCTCCGTCGCTACAGCGAGTGTTTTTCCTCGAACTCGAAGTTACGTCAGACACCTTTGGTGAAGCACTGGATAATAACCGAAGATGGAGCCCGACCTACCAGACAGTCACCGTACCGCGTTTCTTCACACGAGCGTGAAGCCATCCGGACTCAAGTAGATGACATGCTCAGCGACGATATAATACAGCCATCGAAAAGTCCGTGGGCTGCGCCGGTTGTACTCGTGAAGAAAAAAGATGGCACTTTAAGATTCTGCGTTGACTACCGGAGACTAAACAAAATCACCGAAAAGGACGTGTACCCCCTGCCACGAATCGACGACGCCCTCGACCACCTCTGCCACGCCAAGTACTTCTCATCCATGGATCTGAAGACTGGCTACTGGCAAATTGAAGTGGACGAGAGAGACCGAGAGAAGACTGCATTTATAACCCCGGACGGTCTATACGAGTTCAAGGTGATGCCGTTTGGGCTGTGCACGGCGCCCGCAACGTTTCAGAGAGTTATGGACACTGTGCTAGCAGGCCTGAAGTGGCACACTTGCCTCGTATACCTCGATGACGCTGTCGTATTCGCCCGGACTTTCGACGAACACCTCACAAGGTTGGAATCGGTACTCGAGGCCATTCGTACGTCGGGGTTAACGCTGAAGCCTGAGAAGTGCCGTTTTGCGTACGAGGAACTCAAGTTCTTGGGTCACGTCGTGAACGCCGCGGGAGTCCTACCTGACCCGGCAAAAACATCAGCCATTGCGAACTTCCCAAGGCCGAAAGATAAGAAGGGTGTGCGAAGGTTTCTCGGACTGTGCACATACTACCGGCGCTTCGTCGCAAACTTCGCACGCATTGCAGAGCCACTCACGCGCCTGCCGAAACAAAGCACCCCTTTCAGCTGGGAAAACGACCAAGAAAAGGCATTCTGCGAGCTGCAACAACGCCTGCAAAACCCGCCCGTGCTCGCTCATTTCGACGAAACGCCGAAACAGAAATGCACATGGACGCCAGTGATATCAGTTTGGGTGCCGTCCTCGTCCAAAAGCAAAGTGGTTACGAAAAGGTAATCGCCTATGCAAGCCGTGGTCTGTCGAAGGAGGAGAGAAACTACTCTGCCTCCGAGAAAGAGTGCCTGGCTATCATATGGGCCATTTCAAAATTTCGCCCATACGTCTATGGTAGACCGTTTAAGGTTGTGACAGACCATTATGCGCTGTGTTGGCTCGCCAATTTGAAGGACCCCTCTGGCCGTCTTGGGCGGTGGAGCTTGCGCCTGCTAGAGTTCGACGTTACAATATTCTACAAATCCAGCAGGAAACACTCCGACGCCGACTACCTGTCCCGCGCCCCCGTCGACCCACCACCACAGGACTCCGATGAAGACAGCGCGTTCTTCGGAGTCGTGACAGAGAGCGACCTAGCCGCCCAGCAGTGTGCCGACCCTGACCTCCGCGCCATGATCGACTACCTCGAAGGACGCAACGTCGCCGTGCCTAGGGCTGAACGCCCTAGGCACGCAACTTACCAGCATTCAGCCTCAAAAAATCCATCCTAGTGAAGAAGAATTTCAACCCCGGAACGAGAACGAATTATCTACTTGTCATCCCCGCAGACCTTCGTGAC